TTTGCATCGCTCGAGGCGAGCCGCGAGCCGCGAGCTGCGAGCGAAAGTAATCATTACGCCGGATAGAAACGAGAGAATCCCGCGCCCGCGTCGCGCTGGATTATGCGAAGGAATGTCCAAGACACCGTACGTATTTCGCGTAAAGAGAGTTTTGATGAAAAACCGCCCATATGTGTAACATTTGGCGACGCGACGCGCTTCGACGCGTTCTCCAAGTTCTCTTGTAGAAATAGGATCTCGTATCGATGCAGTCACAATATGTTTCTATAAATAAGTGCGATATGCTCGTGCGATATATTCTAGGAATCAGTGTCAATGATTTCTAGTCAAGGAAACGCACAGTTTACAAGCACGCACATACTTAAAACTGTAATTTATTTATATCGCGCCGCGTATTCCTACGTCCTATTTTTCACTGATAATGAAATAACGGAGGATTTGAAAGATATCAACGAGACTTTATCGACATTTAGTTTTTCACTTTGCGCGACATGCGAAATTTCAAGAAAATTTTATCGTGTAATGTTCAAAGATGGTAAGATGTACATCTAAGATCTACATGTAAGATAAACGATGCATTATGTAGCAGAGAGGATAGACAGTTCCGATTTCATTGATAGCGCTCGATGAAGCGTGGCCCCGGCCTCCGGCCGAATGTGGAACGCGATACGGATACCGTTTAGCGTAGCGGTCGCTCGACTCGCTCGCTCGCGTGCACTCCCGAAGCTCGGAGCCGGAGCACGCGACGCCGCGCCGCGGCTGCTCATCTACCTGCTACCTGCTGTCGCCAAGATCGACAAGACAGCGCCCAATCCAAGACGATGGAGCGAGACGAGCGAGTCGAATCGTCAACTTTGCCAACAAGCAAAGTCGACTTCCACACCACCAACGATCATTGCCGACGTGAATTTTTATATTCGTAAATTTCTACCGTTCCTACGTAAGAGGAGGGGGAATCTAAACGGTCTACTAGACACCTTCCCGCCTCCGGATACCGAGGGCCGAGGGTCGAGGGTCGGATATGTGACGATTGTCCTGTCATGCGTTGTCGCTTCTTCCCTGTCACAACTGTCTCGAGCGGTTGGATCGCACTTCCTTTCTACATCGAGTACGCGCGTTTAGCTATTGTTCTTGCGATAAATCATCGAACGCTTCGGTAGCTTCGGGGTTAAGGTTACCGCTTTGTTTCGTTTGCCAACGTTTACGCATCGCGAAGCAAACCGTTAAAAAGAAGTTGTTAAAACCGTCGACGTTGGATTCGTAATTTTAGGTCGGGAGAAAGGAATGAGAGAGAGATAAAACAGAAGGAAACATGTTGCTCGACGGGTGTCGCGCGTCGCGCGATTCGAGGTCGGCGAGGCCGATGTGACGATTCTCTCGTTTCGCGCAATTAAACAGCCAGCAGCCAGTGTTTTGACATCGGCATTGGCTAGGCGGCGCCAACTGGTCTTGACACTCTTGACTAGTGACGAGCTGACGAGCGAGTCGGGTGTCATTATGATTCTCGCGCTAGCTGCGCACGCAAACGAACGGGAACAAAGGCTCTCAAGGAGACATTATTCCGTTAAAGGGATACTATTCCATGACGAGTACGCTTTCGCTGGTGCTGTGCACTGCTGCTTTCGTGCGACGTGCGACGTGCGACGTGCGACGTGCGACGATAAAGAATAGGGAAAATGAAAAAAATTAAATATTATCTCACCACGATACACGATAAGATGATAATCGCGAAATATTGATTGAATCGATTGGAAAACAGATGACAGATGTGAAAACTAGAGAGAAGTTATTGTCGCGCGTGATATAATCGAGACATTAATTTACTCCGATCTCTCTCTTTACTACGCCTCGATCACTGACGATCTTCTCGAGGATTACCATCCGCGCGGCGATCGGTAAACTTGGCGTGGAATGCGCAAACGATTAAATAAATAAATATGTTTCATGGACAAATCCATTTGTTAATGGAATTATTAGATATATAATGGAAACTATTGTATATATAGGTATATATCTTGCTTGGGCTTGGGCATCTGTCGAATCGCATTTCACGCACTTTTATCGTGACGACGCGAGTTGAAATTTCAAGTTTAATTATAACTGGAATCTCGAGCTAATCATGCACGGGCGGTTTCGGTGAGCGATAATCAAAGATGGTCGCAGGTTGCCTCTGCAAAAAACACGAAAATTATCATAAAGGGCCCCGCGTTCCTCGAGGAGCAACGCATGTAATTTGGAGCAATTTGGCAATTGCATATAATTGACGAGGATGCCTTTTACTTGCCGATGGGCCCGCTCGCGTCGCGTCCCCATATCCGAGTTAAGTAGGGCTAATCACCGGGTTGCCGAGGCTCGGGGAACATCAAGAGCCTGTCTTCTAGCGCCGAAACGCCGGGATCGTGTATATACTTACGCCGCGCGCCGCGCTCGGCCGTATATTCGGAATGCCGAATACCGGACCTTAGATACACGTACCTGGCCCCCTATCCGTGGAATGGCAGGGCCCCCGGAGTGAAGCCCTCCGCCTACTTCTCAGAACAAGGACCCCGGCTCTCCATTGTTCTTGCTAATTGCCACCCCGTAACCATCCGGCCCGGCGCGGCGCGGCGGCGTTCACCCGCTTCCCGAATCGTCTCGAGTCTCGGAGTCTCCCTTCCTCACATAATTCTCGAATAGAGCCCGGCTCGATAGTTACAAGTCCCAACGCAAATACCACCTTCGATACCGTACCTTTGTGAAATGAGAATTAGCCGAAAGCCCCGAGAGCGAGCAGGATCAGGCGGATCCCCACGCCCCTCGCCTCTCGTCCCTCGTCCCTCGTCCCTTGCCCGAGGGATGGTTCGTTCATCGCATAGCGAAAATACTTGAGCTCTATTGACCCGTTTCTGTTTTCTCTTTCAAACGGATGCATTTTAAGAACATAGGCCGTTACTCTCGAAGTAATCCCTCCGGCATTTGTTTATACGTCCTCACAACCTGAGGACGACAAAAACATTCCTCGGACATTCTTGCATAGGATTATGCGAGAACCTTATCTTTAGCTTAGCTCTATGTCTACGATGACAGTTGACAATTTATTCGACCGATCGCCATGCTTCAGATGCCTGCAGTTCAGATAATGAAATAAACCTGCAACTCGATCGGTCGTTCAGTATAGTTCTAAGACCATGCACGGGCATTCGTCGCTTTGGCTAAGAGTCGCTGTCCAAAATTCGGACTCCTTTCCTTCCAAATTTAACCGCGTTGAGAAAAATTAATACTCTGAAATTTTTCCAAAACCTCGATAAAACTATCGAATGGATCGTATGATTCTAAATCGAATCCTATCGAGACACGAAGCGCGTCACTCAACGAAAGTTTCTCACGAATCGCTGGGGCAAGCTTCTTCTCGCAGACCAACAGACCGGTCCTCTTCGGCCTCTTCATCATCACCAGCGGCTCTTTCGAACACTCCTTTCGTCTTTCGTCTTTCGCCTTTCGCCACGGCGATGAGCCGGCCGTCCCTTTTTCCTTTTCGCATATATGTATAACTACGTGCGCGCGCGCGCGAGTTCGTAAGTCCCTTCCGCTCGTAAGTGCCAACAGGTGTCTCGCCGCTGCCGTTTTATCCGAGTCCCCGAGACGTGTCTCGACCCCCACTTTATTTTTCGATTTGCGATCAATTTATAATCCTACGTGCTATTTTAATATTTCTATTGATTTCCGATAGGATATCTACATATTCTTTCGCGTCCTTAAAAGTTGGCGTAATACTTGCTTATGATCTAAATCGATCGAATACGCAATAGAAACGAACGCGTGATAATCCTTTTTAGTCACGATTCACGATCAAGTACTGCTTGCAAGTCGTATATAGATATACATATACAGCATAACAACTGTATATATATATATTTAACAGTTAATTTAGAGAAGATAGTAGCCTAATAATAATGATATAATTCTGTGCGACTTTTGTATAGTTTTCCCACGTTGTCTAATTGTAAGTATAATTGCGCGCCGATTATTTATTTGTCGGTCTTAAAATACAGTTTTTTGGTTGGAACAGTAAATCCACGTACTTAAGGGGATGCTGGAGTCACGGGCGAATTCGATCAGCGTCGATAAAGAAGTGCTCACCGATTCTTACATATACATACAGAGCGCAGGCAAACTCGACCAGCGTCGATAAAGAAGTGCTCACCGATTCTTACACATACATACAGAGCGCAGAGTTTTTGGCTGAAATCGGGGAGACGCGTAACATGTGCATATGAAATTTTCTAACATACTTTTCTCTTATACTAAAGCTCGCAGCTCATTTCTGCAAGCACAGGATTCTTCTTTATTGTATTTCCGTGACGGCTGCAAGGTTTTTGTATACGTACACAGTCTAAAACTTTTATCTGCAGCAAATGTTGTCATGAGTCGACCGCAGAATCAAAAATAAAAATGTAATTTTCTAATTTTTTTTCGTTTTTCATACGCAATTGGTGCCTGCCGTCTTCGTTATCGTCCATACTTTAATTCTGGACAAAAAATTTTTAATTCGGTGAAATCAATCAAAAGATTTGTGTGTCTGAAAATTTCGTGGTAAAACAGACCTGTCTCCAGCATCCCCTTAAGTTGATATAATCGATTTAACTTTTGATAAGCTAATAAGCATTATTTTTAAATCACTGTAAAGAATTTATTGCAAAAAATAAATTCACAATTCTTTCGTTATCCTCGCAAACAGAGACACGACTTGTTATTCTCGCTCTCACGCTAATTACCGTTACGCTCGGACCGCGCGCGCTAATTAGAAAAGCGCGTTTGCTAATGCATTTGGTTCACCGTTCAATCGTTCAATACAAAGAGTTCGCAATGTACTTGAGCAAAGCGACGTTGCGCAATGTTTTCGCGAGTTACATGGATATAGGTACTTGAAGAGACTCGTTAGTCTTTCATCATTGCGCGCGGTAGACACTGACGTGCGGTTTAAAGATACCTGCATATCCTTACATGTCGCGTATATACATATTACGCATACATGCATGGGTCGTCGCTCTTCTAATTGTATGTACATACAAACGGTACTCGTTCGAATCGAGTTTCCGCCTAGCGGCGCTTTCTAGCCTCGGGCGAGCGACTCGGAGCCGCGATCTCGAATATCGCGCGTGAATATAATCCGAAATGTGCCTTTTTTTATTTTCCAAATGATCCTTTTGTCGCGCCCGAATCTTTCGTGCATACTCGATAGCATTATCGAGTACTTATCGATGTTCCCTGAGTCACGAGAAATCGCTATCTTCTAACAATGAGAGCAAGTGGTTACGAAAGACAAAGGAGACTTGTGAACCGTGTATTTCGCACGATCAAGACGTATTTTTACGTGCGTCTTTTCTTGAAATAAAGTTAATTTCTTGGAAAATCAAATAGCGTTTAAAATTATACGTAATTTACTCCACTTGCCGAGTGGAAATTAAATTCGTTGGATTATCGTCACACGATAATCGAGAATTCGTTGATCGTCGTCGTTACACACGTCAGTCTTGCCGGTGGCGATGGGGTCCAATATCGAAGGAACGAAAAAAGAAATGCAAGCGCGAGGAGAGAGGGTACGTCGCCGCGCCGAGGCTGGGCGGTGGGCCTCGGGCTGGGCCGAACCAGGGAGTCCAGGGACCAGGTTGGACTGGGCTGGGGAATAATTAATATACCGTAGACGCATAACGAACGACTCCGCGATGCAGTATGTTTGTTTTCGGATGGCTATTCCCTGGCCTCTGGCTTGTCGGTCGTATCTCTCTTCTGTCGGGCCGGGCCCCTCGACCTCCCGCTGCTTTCCCCCCTTCCCTTTTTATTTTAAACGCGCGCGCACACGCGTATGAGACTATTCCTCTCTTTGGAATATTTTTATTTTAAAAGGCTACTGTTTTTATACTGTCTATTTCGACTCAACTGGTATACATACTTTACGTTTACGTTTACGGTATCTTATAATAATGCATATTTTACAGGGTAAAAATACGTAGAAAGAACCTTACCAAAGTGATTTACTTTAAGGAAAAGAATTCAAATATTCACGAATCTTTGGTCGTTCGTTTAAAATGTAAGAAGTCGTGACAGTAATATTCCGTACTTATTTTGATAAAATAACTTGATAAAATGAATGGCAGAGCGAACAAGAAATCTCTATAATACTGTTGGAATGTTTCTGACCTGGATTTCAATGTGAAATTGAAATATCCTTTCAACACCCTTATACTTCCCAACCCACGTATTATTTCCTTAATTTCCTAATTTGCGACATATAATCACATGCAATGGAACGCGATGAAATCGTCAAGCTCTATTATTCTTTCTCTCGTGCATGGTATTTGATGCAGAATTGCATCGAGAGATAAAGAAAAAGAGTGAGAGTGAGAGAGAGAGAGAGAGAGGGGGGGAGATACATGCGCGCACAGCGGAGCAGCGCCGCATGCCTCTCTCCATACATCCTCTCCACTTTAATCTTTCTTTTGTGACTCGGCTGTTTTAGCGTTTTTTAGTCCCCGATGAGCTGGACCCCGACAGGCCGCGAACGGAGAGAGGGGCCGGCACCGGCACTTGCAAGGCTCGCTCGCAGAGACTGAACAAGCGAAAGAGAAACAGAGAGAGAGAGAGAGAGAGAGAGAGAGAGAGAGAGAGAGAGAGAGACAGGCAAGGCATCGCTGCAGGCTTATTAGCAAGAAACCGGTGGAGAAAGACGAGGTCGCGAGGGGAACCCGGCAAGATGTTAGACCGGGGGTTGGAGTAAACGAAGCCGAGCATGCTCGCGGATAAAGATGGCTTCACAATATCGTAATAAACGTTTCTCGTGTCTCTATTTCTCTCTCTCACTTGTTCTCTTCGTTTATTTCGTACGGTCCTCATTAACTCACAGTCCTCGCGTCGGGAGGGAGACCAACCATCAACTTTGTTACGTATATTTACGCTGCGTCAGGCACCGAGGCATGTTCGATGCGAGACCTTCTCGATGTTCCTGATCTCTGAAACAAATCAACTTTGATAAAAATGTTAAATAACTTAGTTGCGTCTATATATATATATATATATATATATATATATATATATATATATATATGTATATATATATAGACATATATATAATCCAATTAATTTAAAAACTATTTACCATTATAGGGTTTTTGGTTGCAGGTTCCTCGAACGTGGGAGAAGTAAGATGCTACTGCAATCAACCGGAATGCGTTCCTCAGGGATACATGTGTCGCGGTAGGGGCTGCTTCACTAAATTACCATCGAACGCAAATGCGCCGATTTCGAGAGCGGAGCATACCGCTCATAGCGGTTGCCTCGACGAGAACTTGAAAAGTCGGCAGTGCCCCGCAGGATTTCTCTGCTGCGATCAGGATCTCTGCAATCACGTGGACAGTCCCGCGATGAGAAATAGGCTCAATAAGACTCTACGAGGTTCGACGAGTGCTAGCTTCCTTTCTCCCTTTCATCTCTTTCATGATTTCATGATATTAAAAACATTCTCAACAATCTCAACACACAATATAATATCTCTGGACCGTTCCACTTGTCATATCTATCACGTTCTCATGTACCGTTGATTATCGTAATGTACGTGTATCCGTAAAGAAGAACGTTGCTCAAAATCTTGGCAAAGCATCAAAACCGAATTAACGTTCTTTTAACACACACGTAAAAGTATCTCCTAAACTTTCGAAAAAATAAATTGTGTTCGTTAAACATTGATTTTAATTTGTAACTTGATGTTATCATTGTAGTATTAATCGGCGATCAGCGAGCGTATTTGGCCCCGCACGTGCATCCAAACAGTCGCGGAAGTCAGACGGCTGATGGCTGGTTCCCGACGGCGACGATCATTGTGGCTATCTGTGGATTCATCGTCCTGCTGATGATTGCCAGCCTAGCTGTCAGATGGCTTCAACCTATGCCGGCGCAAAACGCAAATAAATTTGTGCCACATCGAACATCCGATAACGGGCCGCCCTTATTGGGACCACCAAAAGTGCCTCTGGTTTAAGAAATTTCGCGATCCTCGGACAAAGTTTCCCGATAAGAGGTGTTTTAAGTAATAGTTAAATTAATAGAACTGGCTGCGCTAGTTTTGGTATATGACTCACGAAATCGGAGTTGTGCCATATACGTATACATATATATTTGCGTAGCGAAGAATACCGGGTACTCTTAACGTACGTTAATCTTGAGAACGATCAAGATTATGTTAACCGGACAAGATTTCCTCGCGACGAGTAATCTTATTCCGATTTAACTTTGTTTCAACTCCATTGATTTCTCTTACAATATGCATTCATATGAGAAATAGAACGGTATGCAAATTTGCGAGGTTCCACAGAGGCAGAGTCATATACCGAAGCTGTCGTGAAAGCTAGCGGGCCGTCGAAGGCTCCACTTGGCTGTGAATTCTACGGAGAAAGCAACTACTGTGTAAATTATATATTGTAATGATGAACGTATTACTCGTTGCATTTCCTCGAAACGTCGACGCGGCGCACGCGTCGTCGCGAGATCAAAGAGTGAGAATGGGTCAAGATTTTTCGATCCTTTAAACATGACGTTATAACGACACAAAGTACATGTTATGAATGTATGCTTCTGTGTCGCTATATGATTGTAAATATAGATATGTATCTATGTATTTTTTATCATCTTGAACGATACAATCAAATAAATTTGATGATATTATCGAGTTACGATGATGTGAGAACATCCTTCAACGTTACACGACCATTAAATTCTGTTCCCCAAGAATATTATATAGTACACAACTTTAATTTACGAATGGTATACGTCAATAAAGAAGGGAGAATTATATTTCGCAAATGATCTATAAGAATTATTATAATGCAAAATAAATTTGTGATTTACATAATTTTTTCATTTGAGTCACAGCCATTAAACTTGTGAGAACGTGCACTTTACGTTCATTAGCATATTAGCATCGTTCTTTTCGTATAAGCATTATAATGTGATAGTACGACATAATAACGCGACTAAATAAATACATACAAGTCTGTCTAGACCTTGTTTTACACATGTTACTTGTGAGGAACGAAAGGAAAGAATAAAAGTCAAAGACTTTGAGTAATATATATTAAATGTCTTTTCACTGCGTCTGTATTTATGTTTATTGCGTCTGCATTTTTGTTCATTGCGTCTGTATTTACTTGTTCATTTTCATCGACAACATACACATACCATATCGGTATCCGGTATATAGGAAGGATACGTCATTACTCTATAAAATAGGTATTCCGTTTGGCCAGCTCAAAAAACAATTTCATGTTGCATTGAAATTTCAATCATAAAACGCGCATATATTGTAATATAAACGTTTTGGCATCACAGTTTAAAAACCGTTCAATTCTATTATGTATAGCATTCAATATGTTCACAAATTTTTCCATTCATACCATATCTGGTTATGACTATCTGCTACTCTCCTCTTTACTTTGTCCCGAAAGAAAGTGCATTACTTTATAAAAATACTGCTCAAGGTATTATATTATTGTATATTATATTGTATCCCATTCCATTATCTTATATCTGTTTTCTAATCTTCGGCCAAAAAAGAAAATTTTTCTTTTTCTTTAAAAGAACCGGGTCTCATCTTCTCAATTGAATAGCGGGCATTACATATCGTTTATGTATGTACATGCACATCAAGTAGGAATATCGAGATTTAGCTTAATCCTTTCATCAGTCATAACCCATATGACGGGTATTTTTGTAATTAGTACAATAATATTGAGTGAATTTAAGAAAGTATTTCTCCCAACGATTTGACGTAGGCCTCGTGAATTTTTTGGATGAAATCCGGGTCGCTTTTCAACAAGTAAGTGAACGCTTGTAAAAGCTGAGTCTTCGTTAGCGGTTCCAACGGTCGGGTTCTAACGGGTTCAGGTGGGCTGGGAGCGGCGAACATCACAGGTGGTATTAACGCCGGCGCCGAGCCTCTTCCTGACAACGTAGGTGCCGCCGGGATAATATCGTCCGATGACTAAATCAAATAGGAAAAAAACAAGGACTCTCGATTACATATCGATATACATATATATGCTCATCAAATACAAAAGGTAATGATTTTTTTTCCTTCAAATTTTCTTACCGTACTTCCAGAGGCATGAGCAAGTAATGATGCAAGTGGGTTGGCGTTATTGGAATTGGTAACGTTTGAAGCTTGATGATTTCTTAAAGTAGAAGACGTTACCGTGGTCGGCGACTGTATCCTGAGAAATCCAATCGACCCATTTGAATCATTGATGTTCTGAGTGACAGGTAGCGGCAAATCTTGAGAAATTGGCGCCGCGTCCTGCTGTGGAGTCGCTTTGTTTCGTCTTTTAGACTTGTTTGCGGATGGAATCGTTGTCGCGTGCGACTGGTGAGACGGTTGCGGCGTTACAGATCTTTGTTGTTTCTCAATATGTTCTAAAGTATGCGCCGCTGGATGAGACATTAAACGTGCGAGTAAAGGTTTACTCTCGACCGCAACCGTACTTCCTGGAGTAGGTTGGTCGCCTGCTTTGAAATGTCCGGTATTCACCTGACATAATATACAAGTACAATGTAGAGTACAAGTGACGCGACGGCGGGCAATTAAGAAATAATGTCAAATAGAGCAGCAGATAAGATAGGACGCTAACCTTGGCTTTAGCAAAGAAGTCCATAACGCTTTGCGAGGTGACGTCAGGTCCTAAGGGAGCAGCTAGAGGTCCCGAAATATTATCGATCATAGGCATAACTGACGGAGATTTCAATCCCGTTACCCTGTTACCACTGTCGCATCCACCACCGCTACTACCTCTGCTCGTGTTAAAGTCCTCTTGCGCCTTGCTAAGCATACTGAATATATCCACATTGTTTACGTTAGGTCCCGAGGTCTTTTTAGCCTTAAGTAACGGCTTGTTACTGATTTTACGGTTCTCTTCACATTCTTTCAGAAGTTTATTTAACATGTTTGCAATGCGTACGCACTCTTCTTTTTCATAAAACCAAATACCATAGATATTGCATCTAGAATTTCTGTATAGCAAAAATGGTTCCTGTAGTTGCAAATCTAAACCTGGAGCAACTGGTTCCACTAGATTGTTTGTATTCAATCTGTAACAAACATATACTTTTGTCATATAGCATTTTTAGTCTTGTTAATGAGGAATATATAAGATAGATACTAAAGATACTTAAAGATGAGATACTAAACTTGGATCAAAATAATTTGCAAATCTCTCAAGTAAACCACTGGCGATGCAAAGCAAAACGTCACACGCTATATTTTCCTGGATGGTTGATAGTTGATATATGTATAACACCTCGGTGTTAGGCTATATACTACCTGTTCATTATGAGAATACTGTTGTACGGCTCGCCGTTTCTCGAGTACAAGAACAAAGCTCCCTCAATGTCGGTCTTTTCCCATTCATTTTCATCCGCGTTGAACGTATACAGAGCGACGTGAGTCGCAGTCTCCAATATATCCTTCACATAGGGGTCAACTCGTTTCAAAGCGGCCACGTTCATTCTCAGCTCCGTTCGGTCCGTCATGATTACAAATTACAACAATGATGATGATGATGAAGATGATAAAATAGCCCGACTTGGGATCCGACAATTACGAGCGGAGCGGAGCGGTTAGCGCGATCAGCGATGCTTCCTCTTTCACTCTTTCCTCCACTGGCTCCACTGCACTGGTTGACCACCAATCACGGAGAGAGAGAGAGAGGGAGAAAGAGAGTCGTATTTTCTTCTTCTTCTTTGAAATAGAATGGCACCGGGTGGAGAGAAAGTCTACTCATACGGCCAACAACCAACAACTAGTTGAGAGTTGAGATTGAGAGAGTAGTTCTGGCTAGACTCCACGTGAGTCGTATTTTCAAATAATTCAAGCAGCTGCTCTCACAATAAACGCCATACCGGCCATACTAGATTTCTAGAGAATCTGGAGTATGGTATATGGCTATATGGTATCATGGCTCGGGCTCGTATTGGCTCGGATTCTCTTGAATTCATTCACAAGAAGTACGCGCAACGTCTGCTCTTACAGAAAAGTTGCAAGTCGATTGGCTGTTGCTATTCTGCCAACGTGTGAATTTTCCCTTATCAACACGCCACATTGATTTGTTGGATTGGATCTCCAGACTCCAGACGCGATGAGCCGGAGCGATAAGCGATGAGCAGATACAACTGTTGAGTTCGTCGTTCGTCTTATCAACACTCTGCGTTGCGTGGTTGGTTCTAAAAGTAAGCCACGCACGTTCGACTGCTACTCAGCGGCTTGGTCTGCTGAACGCGCCCAATGAGAGCTCTGCCTTTTCCAGATCGCGTCCAGTGTGTGAGGGCCATAATAAAACCCGGTGTCCACGATGCAAGAACTGTGTCCAAGTTTCGATTTAAGCCAATGAAACTGCTGCTTTTCTGTAAGAGCTGCAAGTTGATTGGCTTATTCTAGTATCGTGTACATACACAAGGGCTGCGAGCCAATCACGTTCGATTGCTACTGAGCAAGGATTTATTACATTTACCAAATTGCAATCGACGATCGGTAGTGTAGAGAACCATGAGTTCGGCATTACCGATCGATTACGATAGGTTTTGCATAAATAAGTTTCGAGAAACAGAAGTGAGTCTCTGGATATACTTATATAGCGCTTCCTCAGTTCTAGGTTCTAGTTGATTAGTTCATTAGTTGTGATTAGTTGAGCCTTCTCCTTCTCTCGCGCAAGCGCATTTCATCATTTCATGTATGTACGCGACACGCGTGCATTTTGTGATTGTTTTATCAGGAAAATGTGATTTGCAGTTTGCAATGTTTGCATAGGACCTTGCATTTGCATAGTAATGTCCTTTTGATTATAAGGAGTGTGACGGTGTGACTGTGACAGTCGAACGGTCGAACGGTCGAAGGCTAGTCAGAATGACTGATCAAGATACAAACAATAATACTCTTCCGTTACGGGAGAGTTTGGTAAGTTATATCGTTCGTCATATTTTGGTTATGTATAAATTTAAAAAGTGCATGTTATAATGACTTTGTAAATTTCGATTGTGCATACATTTAGCATACATTTAACAAGCATTTAATAGATAACGTTGTGTGTGTGTAGTATCGTATCTAACGCTGATACACATTACTTTAATACATTACTTACATATATAAATTCATATGTTATGAATATATATGAAACTTATATAATAAGATATTAAAATTTACATAGGTGAAAACAGCAGTGCAGTTTCTACAAAACCCTAAAGTGTTGTCGAGTCCATTGATGCAAAAACAAGAATTTCTTAAAAGGAAAGGCCTCACGGATGAGGAGATTAAAACAGCTTTCAAATTGGCATCTGTTGACAATATAGTTGATCGCAATGTCATTCAAAGTCAGAATCCATATACTGCTGTACAAATGCCATCAGGATCTATTCAGTCGTATCGTCAAACGAGCGTTTACCAATCAACATTTTTACAGCAAGTCAAAGAGTTCTTTAATGCGACTGCATTAATTGGCGTGACAGTATATTGCGCATATTGGTTTTATAAGGTATTTTGTATAGAGAAAGAGAGTATAGAGAAATTAAAAGATCTTTATTTCTTTCGTGCAAAATATTTGAAAAGTTTTTAGTATTATGTGGTTTTGCATTCTCCGGGTTTTCTGTTAATTGAACTTGAGTATATAAAAATATGTGTAAATGTGTATATATATATATATATGTTCGTTTTATGTTATCGAAATATAATTAAATTTCTAATTTTGCAGAGATTTATAGAACCCTTTTTGTTTGGTCGGAGAAAGAAGAAGAGTGTAGAAGATAGGGTAACCGAATTAGATAAAACCGTCCAAAATTCTATGAAAGAAGTCAAAGACTCTATTTTGAAGGTAGAAGGTGAAGTGCAAAAACTGACTCAGCATCAAGCGTTGGATCCAACTATCCCGCAATTGGTGCAAGAACTTAAACATGATTTATCTAGTCTAAAAGCTTTACTTTTATCGAGGTATATACCCATTTTCCTTTTTTCTTATATAAAATAATTTTTTTATGCTAATTTTATATATTAATAATATACAGTGTGTACATCGTAACATTTGGGAACCATTTCAGCGGTGGACAGAAGACATAAGAACAATGAAAAAAGTTTATATCAACATGTATCCTATTTGACGAGATAGGTTGTTTGCGAGTTATAGTTCACGTTTGTACTCCAGTAATGTGGAGTTGCTTAACGTTATAGGAGATTTTCGCAATGGTCATCTCCTATAATGTTAAACAGCTCCACGTTACTGGAGTACAAACAGGAACTATAACTCGGAAACAAGGTCAATCTTTTTTCATTGTACTTGTATCTCCTGCCCACCGCCGAAGTGGGCCCCAAGTGTTACGATATACTCTATGTGTCATACATATATGTCATAAGAGAGCAATGCACATAATAAATCGTTAGTAATAGCAATTTATTGCCATACAATGAGATTATTTCATTTAAACATTATTATTTTATTTTCGCATATGATATTTGCTTATATTAAGATCATTATTTTTACAAGAGATCATCACGTCATCACAACCTCATACTCTCGTACATATACAGTTCTATCTGAACGTGCTTAAGAAATTGATACCAAGATATTCTGGTAATTTTATTTTAAACAAGAGTTAGTTTTACAAAATATATAACTTTAAAATATAAATATGTGATTTTTTTCATCTTATTCCTATTTTTGACTATCTGCACTTTTAAAGTAACAACATTTTATTGTAAACAACGTTCCGATTAGATTGCGTGTATGTATCTTTTCATATTGTAAATTTAACACACAAGAAAAGTTAACTATAACTCAAAATTTTTATAGATCAGTTGTCTGCAATCACGTGTATTTTTATTATTAATTTTCAATTATATCTTAAAATAGGAAACAGTTTCCTACCGCCCCGGCATCTATACCACCATGGCAGTTGGGTGCAACAAACGCGAGCCAAGAAAAAGCAACTGAACGAGAAGATGATGCTGGAAGTGGAAGTAGTACTAACAATTCGGATAGTTCTTTGGAAATGATTCGAGAAGATCCACCTAAAGAATAAGTTTAGGAATTTTGAGTCTATCATAACTACTTCCATAATGATAATCTTCGATATGCGATATATTCGGCATAATGTATTGAAGCAAAAGGATCATAGTTTCAATAGTACATGATATTAGAGACATGCTCCATATTATTTTTATACAGGATGTTAGAAAAGAAAAGTTTATAATTAAGATATGTCATCTCTTTTTTAACACCTTGTATATATTAATATATTAATAGCATCGATCTGCATTTTTGGTAGTAGTGTTCATAACTTTGTAAATGTTTTAATGCCTAATCAAACAATGTTCCATTATGAAGAACAACTTTTGAGATGTCGATAACGGTCAAAAAACAAGTTTCTATATCGATTGTGTCATTTACTATAACATAACAAATCGATCGAACGTATTAAATTAATGTAACTGCAGATTTCCAAACAATTTTCTAATAAAAAAAATTTTTTTTTATTTTTTGTATAAGATCTAAACAAACTGTAAATAGTTCCTTAAAAAATTAATTTACTTTGACACTTTACCACAGTACGGACATAAGAAAAATAAGGAAAAAGGAAATACGTAACAAGAAATTTTTTTAAGGTTTTTGAAAAGATTTTATGTGAGCAAAAACGATATTTTCGATTTTGCAATTGTGTGAATTACATATCTAGTGTGTAAGAAATGTCCTTGTAAACTTATGAGAATTAGATTCGATTGTTTTGGTGACAAATCGATATAAAGGCTACGGTCAACGGTCACGTTGACCGTAGCCAAAGATGTAGCAATTCTCTACATCATCGTGAAATAAACTACTTAATATATGTGACATATATGTAAATGTTCAACATTTTAATCTAGAATTAAAAACATCGAAAACAGTTACAATACAAAGTATTGTGTTTAAGAATCTTGTAAATTTTATATCGAAAATGGAATTGTATCATATTGCAAACTGAGAGAAATTGAGGGTACTTTCACATATAGTACCTGTCCGCGTTACAGTGCAAACAGTGTTATGTGTACAGATATAATTTTATCAAATAAATAAATTGAATAATTAACTTTACTTCCATTTTCCATAGAACACTATATGCCGTGCCCATGGCTCATGTCTTGAGAGAATGATTGTTATTTACAACAGAGAAAGTATATAAATTCTACGATACATAATAGAAAAACGATAACTTTAATTAAAAAATCTTTATTGAAGAATGACTGTAATATCGCTAGATCTTGTACACATGGGTGTATTGTTCTTTTTTAAATTTTTTAAATTGAATAAATTGATTTTACATTTATGCATAAATGCATGTGTATGCATCTGTGTGTGGGTATGTGTGCGCGCGTGTGCGTGCGTGCGTGCGCGCACGCACGCACACACGTACACCATTCATATATAGATATTAGATGAAGTCCATGTATTGTAACTTACTCATATCATTCATACAAAAATCAGTCATACTTGAATTGCGTCCAATACATCCGAGTAATATGTACAAACTGTATAATGTTCGACATTATTTTTATATCACTAAAGAAGCAAACAAAGTACACAGAGCGTGTACGCGCATGTATATGTTTATGTGTACATGTATGTGTATAGCTGGCTATTATATATCACTTACAAGGAGAGCTCATGATATGTGATTCATTCAATTTTTTCACCTTTCGTGAGTATGATATAAATAACGTACACTTGGAATTATTATAATTTAAATATTATATTTAAGATTTTGTTTAAAGTGTAAGACAATAATCTCTTAAGATTATAAGTTGAGACTTCTCATTCTTTATAATCTTTTCCTATATTTTTGAACATCAATAATTAAAGAAAATTGTACATATATTATCATGTATATATATTTTATACAATACATAATTCATCTAGAAATATAATTATATAGTATAGTTTGTACAATGACAGTTTTTATTATAGTTAAAGGTTTTATTGTAAAACAATACAAAATTTGAATATAATATATACAAAAAAATGTGCGAGCAAAATGAGTATTGTATAAAAAATATTTTTTATACAAATAATTGATTACTCATGTTAAAATGCTTGCAAGAAAAGATATATAAATCAACTTTGCCTCAATCTTACAATCTTAGGGCTATTATTTAGAAACAAGAGTTTATGAGATGATAGTTAAGGAATATCTGACCATTACATCAAGACATTTACGAACGTATTTTTTTAGAAGTGTGTTTTCTCATTTATAAATTTATTAATTGCAATCATTTTCTGTTGGAAAAACGAAAAGTATCGGTAAGTCGCATATTATAAACTTTTCTTGTAAGAGCGCAATCAACCTTATAGATCATGATTACATACGTGTAATATTCCATATCGCGGAAGTCTCTTATCTCAACGAAAACAGATGTCACTCTTTCCTGGTTTTATATTAATACTTTTTTTTTTAGATATAACCAGGACAGCTGCCTCACTGATACAGTGAGTTACAGCGAAATCCATTTGACTTAGGTACATCTCTCTCTCTCTCTCTCTCTCTCTCTCTCTCTCTCTCTCTCTCGCTTTCTCTCTCTTTACATCCTAGGTTAATAATATACAGTAACAAAAGTATTTTATTTCAGTGCTTTATCTTCCATGATGTGCCGCTGAAATATATAAATAAAAACTTCAAGTACAGTCCTTACCTAAAATGAAAAATCTTGCCAGCTTAGTGCGGTTCTATTTTATTTTCATGATCTTTGGCAAAGGCTTATGTAACAGAAAAAAGAAGAAATTCACTTTATAGTTTTATAACACACATGGACTACACACTGTACAATGTAAAGAATTATCCTAGGATGTTTTGTGCTGATGTAATTATTGGCTGAATACCATTCCCTTCGATATCTATTCGCCGCTGTTCGAGTATAGAAAAACAAGGACAAGAAGGGGGTGGTTGGTCTCTCTCTCTCTCTCTCTCTCACTCTCACGCGCGCGCACACACACACACACACACACACACACACACTATACGGGCAGCGACCTAATGTTGCTATTAATTAATAACAATAATAATTCTAGGCTAGACACGCTAACTGAAACTGCTGATAGTTTCAACTCTAGAATATCTAGTGTATCATTCAATCTCGGCTATGCTACCAAGTATGATGTAAGTGTAAATTCCTTGAAAGAACGGATCGTACATCCTGCGTGAAACGAAGAGCGTCCAAGACTGGAAGTAAGCTTAATAAAGCAGTGTCTCCCGCATCGCTGAACCATGACTTTATGGGTATCGCGTTGTCTATGACATAAAAAAAGAAGAGACAATGATACAATATAGCAGCGCGTTATTAATCTTTTTGCTTTAACTTTATCCTATCAATAACGTTATATTACATGTAACATGCATTTCTTTTATCAAACAAGACAAATCACGAGAAGATACAAAGTCTCTTGTAATCATATTTTAATTTTTCTATTATTTTGACGTTACATTAAAAAAAAGATAAATAAAAAAACGCACGGACTCTATTTTCTAATTAATCTACGCATTATACATTATAGTATCGCATCTCTTTTTAAAAATAAGATCTGTAATTCACGTTTGCCCAGATACCATTAAATACGATATCATTAAGTTCGTTCATTTCTACAAAGATAAAATGATATATATCGGTGAGGCATAGAATCATAGAAATATTATATTAAATAATATTACATGCACTTAACAAATAGTATTAATAAATTAAGTTAAAGGGAAAACTGGCTCTTATTTTACCAGGTGTAAGCATGAAAGACAGGCACAGGAGTGATAGATGAAAAATTCCATTAAAATGGTGTATATATATATATATATATATACTTACGTGGATAGGCTCTGTAAGCTCCTGGGCTGTTGTCAAGAATAAAGACTGAAGAGAGATCTGAACAAATTGCTGATAAATCCTTAGTATAGGAACCCATTTCTGGCGTACAATGTTGTCTATAATATCTGCGCCTTAAAATACCTCTGTTGTTATCTAATTTATCCGCAACTGCTGCCCCATATATTTCCATGGATGCAGTAAAGACTACTAGCTCGTACCTAGTTGATACAGATAATAATGGGAAAATAATTAATACAATTTTATCTTGACAACTTGACAAGAACGAAATCTAAGCGTGAACGTGCAAGGTTTGTTTGCTGGTCTAATTTTGGGATGGCGTTTCTTTTTATGAGAATGATAATAAAATACTTACCACTGACTAACAATATCCAAGAAGAAGTCTACGTGTGGTCTTTTATGGACGAAAAATCTAACAGGATGTCTGTCTATCGTCACTTTAAGAACAAAATCTGGAGGTGTACCAGGCCTAACAGTTGGCCTTGCTACTCCGTCGTGATGAGAATGAATTAACGTTTCATCTAAATCCAGTACTAATACTTTTCTCTTAACTATACCTGGAACATTCTTGCATTATACACAAATACTGAAAAACATTGAACGCAATGTAATAAGTAATAAAAGTGACAGGCAACAGTGTCACTGGGATACCTACTAAGTCTGTGTCTAGATAAAGGTGAAAGTGGGAAGATCTCATATTTGACTGGTTGCATCTGTGAGATCTAGAACACAAGGATAAATATAGTTATATATTACACGATTTATAATATATAAAAAAATATATAATAACTAGATATTAAAATCAATGAGAAGTAAAAGCCATAAATGGCCCTAAAAAATATTAAAACAGAGATTAATACTTGTAAAATAAAAATAAAAATATTTATTTATATATTCCATATCCATATTGAATAAAAAAAATGATTATAACAGTGATTATATGACAATACATGACAACATGTGCACGTGATGATATCCAATGGTATAAAAATAATAAAAATATAAAGGGATATATAGCATAAAGGTTTGGAGTAATAGACGCAAACTTGTTCATTTATCTTGTGTGTGTGTGTTATGCAAAATAAATTAGAATACACGTTTGAACATAAATATTTAAAAAAGATAGCGTTAAGTAACTACTTACACCTCTAACTTGCATCTTGTAAACAGACACGAGTCACATAAAAAGATAAATATTTCTCAAGAGAGCAACTAGTAGAACATGTGTGTACAGAGTCCATTATTTCAAAATTATAATTATAATTTAAAAGATTCGCTCGGCTAAAAGAAGGGAGTAAAACTGAGTTCTTTTTCTTAATAAAAAAAAATGTCTTTTCCAGGATGTGTCAACTCATACGTATAGCGTTTTAGAGCCTTGTAAAATCTATGAAAAAGAAGACAAATGAGAAGAATCGTTGGTTGTACAAGAAGTTGTACAACTTTTCACGTAACTTTCGTAGGTATATACTATATAATGTTTCATCACGTTTGGTAGATCGAAAGGGGAGATTCGCGAAGTAGAAAAGTCGTCCAGCGTATATCATTCGATTCGAGAGGGTTACATGAAGAAATGTCAACGATATCTATATCGCGATAGAGAAGAGAAGTGGAGTGAGAGGAAGCCGTCCCGCGTCCGCCGTGGCGGTGGCGTGGCGGCGACGCCGGACGCGACGGTCAGCCGTCACGCCGCGCCGCGCCGCGCCGCCGCCGCGCCGTCAGACGGCTGAGTCGCTGAGACGGCTCGTACAACAGTTAAGTATGACTCGTGCCTGACTGTGGAAGAAGGCGCGAATAGAGGCGCGAAGCACCTACTTACGGCTCTAACCTGCTTCTTGAGTAGAAAGCAGATGCAGGTCCACACACGGGAGGCCATTAAGAGGAAAGCTCTCATCCCCATCTGCAATTGCTTCAGCATCTCTACTGTTCTTCTCACCGGGCCGAAGTCCGGCAGCACTTAATCTCCAGTGTCGAATCTGTCCTGTGTATACTGTGTGTATACGTGCGTGCTCCAGGCTCCTTTCTTTTTCTCCTCCCCGCTATCCCACTATCTTCTATCCCGCTATTCGCCGCTCGACTGACTGCTCGAGCCCGACTCACGAGCACGAGTCACGTCGCACTCGCGTTGGCCTCGTTGCAGATCGCGAGTGCGAATTCTGTGATCCGTGTGATACCTGCTCTGCTCGCCGTCGCCGACTCGCTGTGAGTGCCGACGACCGACGACAGCCCGGACAGCTGCGGACAGCCCAATGAACCGAAAGCCGAAAGCAACGAGTTCCAGCCTTCCAGCTTCTTCCGCTTCTGCCGCGCTTATCGTAAACTCGTAAACAACGTCGTCAACACCACCGCGATCGAGTCAAGATCAAGACTGTCGCGAGAGTTCCGAGTTGGCGCGAGTCCGCCGTTTTTACGCCGGGTGTCCGCCGTGTCGGGCTGTCTGCAGTCTGCGACGACGAATCGCGTTTCGCACGTGTTAACGCACCTCACCGTGGTTCTTTCATGTTTTTTGGCAAAACCAAAGTACGAGAGCCTTCTTACGCGCACCACGCAACAGCCGCCATCTTCCGCGCATCGACCCAATTTTTCCGTGCGCACTGCGCTGCTCTCGCTCTCACACTCTCTCTATCCCTCTCTCTTTCTCGCACCTCGCGCAGCTTGCGCTTTGCGCATCGCGCCGGCCGCTCTTATCACATATAAATCGCGTTGCGTCTTCCGTCTCAAGTCTCAAAATCTCAAGATGTTCAGCGCGTTTTTTCTTCGCAACGTTGCGCGTGGGGCTGCTCCGCCAACAGTCATGCGATATAACATATACGACACGCACGCGCACGCGTGCACATCTCACATCAGAAAAGTTAAAATTTTCTAAATATAGCTCTTACGAAATTGTGAGAAATTTGCGGGTATTCGTCGAGTCGGTCAAGTCTCAAGTCCGAGTCCGAGTCCGAATCGAGATGACATTCGAGACAGCCGTGCTCCGAATGCTCCGATTCCTTTCGTTGAATTCGATTCGAGCTCTCGAAAGTTCGCGTAGTCGAGGTCGATCTCGATTCGTAACAACACGTGTGAAACTTACACGAACATTTGCTAGAAACAAATTTATTAATTATATTTAAATTAATACACACATTCGCTTGCTAAATACAATATATCATCAATTATGTAATAATGATAATTATCAAGTAATATACAACAAAATGTACAACAAATTTTCTATGTATGCTAATAAATAATAAAGTACAATTCTTTATACAATTCCTTAAATTCGATCAATTATTTTGCTAATACATAGTTCTAACGGTTTTTTTTTACATCATCTTTGTACTTTACAACGAAATATACAGAGGAAAAAATTACAAGACAAATTAATTTTACTTTATCTCGTATAGCGAAGCTTATAATTTATGATCAACTATGTGCGCACACACGCACACGCACACACACACACACACACACAATGTTTGTCATATACATATAGTACATGTCATAGACTTATTGCAATATGTTTCGGAATTTTAACCAAGTGGATATATGTCGGGTCTTTAGAAAGTGTAATTTTTATATGAGACATCATATTTAACAATAAATCTATGATATATGGAGGAGTAAAAGCTATAGTGGTGCAAGTCATCGACATTGACAAAGAGAAAAAACAAGATAGTTTATCAAACTACCTGCAAATTACATAAAATATCTATGTACTAGCACAAATAGTTAATCAATTTTCACAAATCATTTTTACAAAGTAAACAGAATTACAACACAGCGATTCGGCAAATACTGCGTGAGAGAAGACATAATTTATAAATGACTTAAAAAGATGATGCATTATTATTCCGTTTTTATCATCGACTGTATTACACGTGTATTGGCTCTTTGATAACGTAATATTATTGTCCACGCTATCGGGAAGCAGAGGCTGATGAAAGAAATATCGCGAGAATATAGGTATGTATGTACATATATGTGGCAGAGACATGTGAATATATCTCGTGGTAAAAATCGGTGAAATATTAATTAAACGTATCGAAAATGTTCTCTAACGAAAAGAAAAGAATAATGAAGCAAAGTTTAACAAATCAATTTGTTTAATTTACGTATTTTTAATATCGTTATAAAAAAATGTTTCTTTTTCATAAATACATTATTAATTAGAGCGTGTTCTATATTGCGATAAACAGAGGCTACGTCTCTTCAATAGAAACATTAAAATAGAACATTAAAAAATTTTCCCCCTACTATTACCATTGTTTTGCGGTTTTTTCAATGTTTCAATATCTAACGTATCATGATAAGGCGTTTTCGATGTTTGGCTTTCCTTGCATACAGCAAAGAAAAGTGTTTTTTTCTTCCTCGAATGCTTCGTATATAATAACGGATCAGCTATATGACTAGCTTGACGATCTCAAAGGCACCTGCTTCTCTGTTACTAATCTTTCATCTATGTGCATATGCATCAGGAAAAGAATATAAAGTTGTGAAGGAATTACAAATTCCATCATAAAATATACATATAATCACCGATATTTCCATTTGAATTTATTATTTTTATTCAAGAGTGATGTAAGAGAGAGAGAGAGAGAGAGAGAGAGAGAGAGAGAGAGAGAGAGAGAGAGAGAGAGAGATGTATAATCATTAAACATAAACTTTACACACACACACATACATGTTTTTGTATAAAATCTATTAATTTCTTTGAATTTTTTTCTTTTTTTTCTTTGTTTTAAAGACTGATGGAGTTGCAGGTTCTCGCCAGATCTCACAAGTTATTTATTTAAGTTCATTATGTGTATTAGTCACTTTTAATATAATTGGAAATCACTGAATTTTGTAAAGAAGTACGCAGTTTGTGTGTGCGTGTGTACATGTGTGTGTCTACTCGTCCGTCCGTCCGTCCATTTCTGTGCTGTACATAATCTATATACGTAATCTCTCACATTAAACAAACATTATTACAAGCTGGCTAATCATACTATATTCATAAATTGTACAAGCATGAAAAATCCAAAATAATGTTGTCTCGTGGAAAAAAACGTATCATTTAACTTTATTTTGTACACATGTGTTTAAATAAATACACACGAATAATTATCACATGAAGTTATCGAGTCCTCGGCTTTATGCCTTTTTCAATATGACAATATTTCAATTGGAAATCGCGATTTATCTCTCATTTACACTATACAGAACGATATTACTTGTATTTTATACAAAATATCTCAAATATTACCTTCCTAAAATCAGGTAGAGCTTCACGTTAACGCGGTGTCTTAAAGCTGCCGGAAAATAAGAAATATTCCGTTTTCTCCGCTATAGCTTCGTACACACAAGTTGCCCTCACATAATATATTGCCAGATATGGCGTTATGGGCATTAAAAGCGTCTATTTTGCGCTACTACCGGAACAATTCTTGACATTATTGACTTCTTTAGCAAGATAAGAAATGTTAAATAAGCCGACATTTCTCTGCTCATGTATTATTTTGGTGTCAATTAATCCAATGATACAGTTATTATTTATCGTAAAGACTTTGATTCTCTATGTATGCAAAACCGTATTAGAAAGGATATAGAGGCAGTTTATCCATTAAATTAATGGAAATATAGCTAGGCCTCTCTACCGCAAGATCCTTTTACACTGATATAACGCCAATCGGGCACCGTGTTGTATAGTGACGTGTTATCGTACTGTCATTAATATAATTTCCACCTAGATATATATCCATCTTACGCGTTGCGCCGATTCTATCGTCCGTACTCGATCTACGATGTCTCACATTAATGCCGTATTTTATATATGCAGTCGTAGCGTTTACCGCAACGATACTTGGTGTACCACATTATCACGGCACCATACCATGACAACTAGGCACGGCCTATAACGCTTTCGGCGTTTTCTTTCTTTCTTTCTCGATGGATTTTCGCCATCGTATACGTTGGTTGTATTCGACGATACCGTACGTGGATCGCGAATAAACAGTCTTCTGATCCGCCGAATTTCTCTCGAAACTCGGCTTGTGGCAGCGCAGTTAACTCTTTGAGTGTACATTTGTTTTTTGTGCTTTTTTCTTTCGTGCCGCTAGCATATCATAGAAAGGATTATGCGATATACTTTGTCTGGAAATAAACAGTAATGTGTTTGAAAAATCATTTCGTCACAATTTTATTTTGCACTTTACTGCAAAAGAATGCAATAGAGTACATGTAAAATTGGAATTTCTTCGTCGTTTTAACTTACCGCACACATTTGATCCATTCATCTTTTTCTTCGTCGGTAGCGGCGGACATTCGGTATACCGTATGTTTCCCTAATCGCAAATAATCGTAATAGATAAGTTAAAATGTATTCGTTCTCGTATAAGTATAACGTTAAATCCTTTCGTATTAATTAATTAAATTAAATTTCAAGCAATCGTACCTTCGACGACTTTTCCTTCGCTATCAGTCTTGCATGCCTTTATAAATTCGGAACCAGCAGCATACAATTCGAAACAGTGCGGTTTATGCCGGTCTTGAATCTCTCGGACCTGAATATTCTCTAGCGGAATGATACCGCGTGGTTCCTTATCCGTTGTATATTCGAAATAGTACAAACAATTGTCGTTCAATATGAACCATCGCCTCTTCCAACTCTTGTAACGTCCGCCTGTAACAATAAAATGCGGAATATATATAGAATTAAGAGCTTATGGTTTTCACATAGATGTTATTTACCTGCTGTCTCCATCAGGGCAGCAGAGGGACAGAGTGATACAATATAAGAATAAATGTTCTTTTAACGATAAATGTGACAAAAAAGTTGAGGAATATTATACGAGGAGATATCACACTTGATCTGTTTTTTATTATTTCCAAATCTTTTGGGAAACGAAGCTAAATCAACATAAATATATATATATATATATATATGTGTGTGTGTATATATAATTCTGACTGACACAACAATTATTCCAGGCCTTTGCGAGCCTGTGAAGAAAAAGTCTGCGAGAAAAAACCGTCAAAATGCGGTCAATCTAAAAAATGTACGTGTACGAACGTAAGCAGTAATCATTACCTTGCTTCCACAGCCAGCCTTCTTTATCGGGATTGAAGAAGGTGTGCATCAAGTCGTTGCCATCGTCTTCTGGTATTTTGAAAGGCTCGGTTTTTATACTCTCATACAGACTCTGAAAATAGATACGAATATTTAACTAATTGTAAATAAGTAAATTTATACTTTCGATTGAGAGACGAGAAATAATATGTTAATCTTGCGAAAGTATAAATACCACAAGCAGTTCCCGAGGCAGATCTCCACCATTGTTAATCCCTCGATTCATCGAAATAAATTGATCTACGCTGGGTTTATCCTTAACGCTCGGATTATGCAACGAAGTGTTCAACATGATGATGGCGAAACTCAGCACGTAGCAAGTGTCCGTATTGGTGAAGATATTCGGATTTAGCTGGCAGTACCTTTGAGCGAAGCACTCCATCATGCGATCGATCTTCTGCGCTTCGCCGGGCAGTCGGAACGACCAGAGAAACTGACGTAGGGCTTGTACAAGTATGAGATCGGTGAAGTCGTGCAACTCAACGAAGGCTCGCAGCACGCGTTCATTGAAGTCGTGCCGTTCACCGAGATAGTCGCCGATCGCAGTTTTGTTGAGGCCCTCGCCCTTGTATAGAAACTGAGCAACGTCCTCCGGCGTCGGCGTCAGCAGATTGTGCTCTATCAGGTACTCGATGCCCTTCTTAGGATCCATATTGAACTTTTTGCGGCCGATCGACATCTGCTTAGCCTTGTTGGACGGTTTAGTCTCGTCGGCCGTAAGTCCGCCGCCCTCCATCGCCTCCATTTCTGCCACAACCTCGCCCAATTCATCTTTCAGTTGCTGAAAACAAAATCGTTGAGAATAAATTGTAAAAACGATTCAAATTAGAGATTTACTTTCTTACTTTCTATAATAAAATTTAGTATTTTCAATATTTTAGCTGCAGTATCGGATGTATTACACATGCATAATATATGATTCTTGGGTTACGAAAAATTCGACCGACTATATTAATGTCGAAATTATATTAATCGTCGCGTATTAGCGAAGTGTATGATAATTCAGAACGGTCAATGACGCAATTGTAGACTAACGTAGACCATGTAGACTATGCGCGCACGGCTTCCTCCAGTTCCTCCGCTGTGCAACAGCGGCTTCCTGCTTCGCTCGAATACCGGTCGACACCGTTGACCGTCCGCCTATTTCCCACCATGCGCCACTCACAATCAGTTCGACTCAACGTACATTCCGCAAATACCGGTTTGCGGAAGCAGGACCGTATATCTTTCAGCATTTTGCGACGATGCCAGCAAACGCGTTGGGTCGTTGGGCGACGCGTTAAACTCGTTAAAGACTCGTAATGTGTCGGCCTGGCTCACATGCCACGAGTGATCGCGAGTCGCGAACAACAAATGCGACGTATCAATATCCCTCCCGATGTCTCGAAAATCACTCCAATGCGGTGTACCACATTTATCGTGACAAACTTGGTTTTTTTTACAAGTAAAATCATATTTTTCCGATTCAGTAATCTTCTCGACGTGCACGTATGCACGCAAACAACACATTCGTAACATTACAAGCGTTGCAAGTTGCAAGTAGCACGTCCTAGAAAATAGCACGGTCGCGTTATCGCGAAATATCTATATCGATGCAAACATATTTGCGAGTCAGGGCAGTCAGGCATGTGTTGTCAAGTTATTAACTTGTCAAGCTGTTTTTCGAACTGACAGAAAAAATTTCAAACTTGACGAAATATCAAGTCTGATCCTGATGCTGATCCTGAAGTCAGATCCGTGTACAGAAGGCGTCATTAATGCCTTCCTAGCTGTGTTCTTGGGATTTCTATAGTGCACGTTACATGTACTATGCTTCAGGTGGAAGGCATTAATGACGCCTACTATACGTTGGAATCCCTTTTCCATAGAAGCGTTTCAGGAAAAAGGAAGGGCCGACCGGAAGCGGTAGTGCGTTGTTAACTGATCAGACTCGTTAATGGGCCGCCACGATAACGACAAGGACAATAACTTAGTCGCTAGTCGGCCCTGAGTAGTATTGTCCGTAAGATGGTGTGGTGGCATTTCTTTTGTATTTATCGGTGTGCATCCGGTCTCACGTCGTCAGCGGCAGGAAGGTCGCTGACGACGCGTGAAAAACCGGTATACACATATACATATAATGCCCCGTGCACCCAGAAATTATAACTCTTAAATTGTAGCTCGCTGACGATGAGAGAAACTTTCTTTCGATATCATATATATCGTTCTCTCGAAAATCCAAATTCTTTCGTACCTATTATTTGAAAATTTCATCTCGTTTAAGAAACGTTCGTAGTCGAATCGTTGTAATATTTACAATGACTTGGGCGGCCTTGGACAGACACAATGAAAAGAACAGCGAATGCGCGCGCTCACGTATATACGTGACGTCGAAGCGTAAGATTAGTAATAGATAGCGTTTAGCATTGCTAATTATCGCTTTGTCATCATCGAAGCGAGATACGAGCAATTATAGCGGGCACTTATACTAGCTTCTGTTGAAACTCGCAATCGAGAGTCATCTCAGATGCTCCTGGCAAATTATTGAATAAAATTTAATTGCAGATTGTAGATACATAAATATGTAAGTATTGCGCTCTGCGACGAAAAAAAAAAAAAAAACAAAACAAAAATCTAAAGTCGCTAAGAGCAACGTGACTTAAACTTTTTATTACATATTTTTTTAACTTTTACAGAGTAACAAAACTATAATAATTTTCAACCTTCATTCCTAGCTCGTTTGTTACCTCATTCAAATTTGTTCTCATTTCATCATTTGCAAGAAAAAGAGTTTTGCCTTCTGGAATCGACGTGTACCTACTTACATAATTCGTCTGTTTCCATGTCCCTTTTGTTCCGTCCTCTGCGGAATGATTGCCTTATTCCGTTCTATTTCTGTCATTATGCGTCCTGTACAATCGATCGAAAGTTCAGCACTACATACGTTCCCTACTCAACAAACTTCCTTCCTGTGAAACGGGACCAAGTAAAGGGCATCCATTCATGCGACTCGTATAAGGATACGACATACGACTCGTCGAAAGTACGCCAAGATGACTTTATGTGACAACTGGCCCTCTCTCTCTCTCTCTCTCTCTCTCTCTGCACAATACCCCCTATTATTTGAAATATCTCACAAAACATTTCCTCTGTTTTCTCATCACAAATATTGAGATAATGTCGCGTTTTGCCATAATCTTCTTTCAAACGTAAAACGAGTATTATTAGTATCGATTACATATATATCTGAGAAATCTGATTTATAAACGGATGCTGCCGTGTATATAAGCCGCGCGCGTTTATATCTTCAGTAAGTTTTTTCTCCTAGAGACGAAATATCATCAATGCGCGCTACATAAGAGAATTTTCAAATATAATAATTTTAGAAGACCGTTTACAAGGTTTCTTTAATTTCAATGCCATGTCGAAACAGTCGAAACAGCAAGATAATCGGTTAAACGAAGAGCGAAAGTTTCCCGAAATCCCGTTCGATTAGATGCTACTTTATCCGACTGGTACCAAGCCAGACGTATGTGCTAGTTTTGCAACCAGTCTGCGTCATAAAAGTCGTACGCGAACAAACTGCATGCCTGCGCGGTGATTTAGCGCTACATTAGGCCGAGCGTTGTCTCGAAAACTAATTATGTTTTACGAACATGTGTTCTATATATAATAGTCAATTATCAAACTCGTCCTTTGTTATACTATGCTCCCGTCGGCGTCGCGTCGCGTCGTCGCGATTAATACAGACTCGAAATGCTTTACACTGCAGTAAATACATATTTGGAATATAATATAATTGTAATTAATAAATCGTGTTCCAAGTTTGAATTCGATTTGAATGGAAAATTATCATTTGTACATAGGAATATAAATAAGAGAGGCAGTACGTTTCTTACAAATGCATAAAGTAAGCTATTTGCTAATAAGATAATATCGCGATCAAACGTACTCGTTTAGAATCTGAAGAAGACGAACGCTACGACGAGATACAGACGTCTTAATTCTGACGAGAAATATAATGTATTTCCAACTATATATCTATATATACCTATATATCTCTCTCTCGGTATGTGTATGTGTATCAGTTTAATACTTTTTCCATGCAAAGGCAATATAACCATGTCGTCATATCACATATAGACGTCATGTTGCGTAAAATACGAATATGCTCTCGGGCTTTAAACGTTATATTTCGATATGCATTTTTATATCTACTACTAGTGTAATAAAGACGTTTCCCTATTGCAATATTATGTGTACCTATATGTTACGTGCACGTATATCGGTATATCTGTAATCTCCAATTATTTTTACGCTTAATGAAAATATATAAATTTTTCACAACACTTAAGAAATCCATCATAAGATAATCCAATATTTTGTGAAATCGCATGGTCAAAGCTCAGAGGCCAAATAATAATCCGTTTTTATTCAAACCGATAGCTTAAACGAAAACACGAGATATTCGCAACCCACGTGTTATTCCATTTTGTTGTTCTTGATTAGTCGTGCAACTAATAAGGATCAATCATAAAGTATTGGATGATAAGGTGATAAAAAAAAATTTGTCACACGTCTCTCTCTCTCTCTCTCTCCAAGAAGAGCGTAGTCGACTGTAGATGCGAGTGCAAGTTGTAATCGGGGAATGGTCGGACCAGTTGAAAATGCTATACACGAATTCTCCGAGTCGAAGAAAACTGAGCCTTTTTGGCTACAATCCAGGAGTTACGACGTCGCGGTAAAAAACGCACGCGTACAAGTGCTTCGATGAGAGTTTTCTCGTTACTTAAGTGTAACGGACGGTGACTCGAACTTTTAAGGTTTTACGACGCAAAAATCCATCATCGCACCTATGCCGCGTGTTTTATTGATTATTTGATTATAAAAGTGAAAAAATGTGAATATGTCGAACGAGAGGACTGGTAAAACTAATCATATGGTAATGATACTAATACCTCTGCGTAGCTGTAAATCAATGGGATAACCGGATAAGGTATAAACAAACACCCGAATCGCCGATTAGTTATTAATTCAACAAAATGCATATTGATACTAACAAGACGTTATTGTTCGCACGAATGACGAATGACGTGTATATCAGGGTTCAGATAACGAGGATCTATAGATATAGCGATTATTTAAGTGTGAGCGCGGCGTCACGACCGCGACGTGCAATCAACTTTTCGTTAATTCATCATTTAATCGGGCGTTACATGTCGGGCGAAATAAACGAATTTTACACGTTTGTCGCGCTATGTCCAGCTGATTCTCGTTCCACCGTTGATCGTCGTTTTCCGTTTTATCGTTTCGTGGGCAAACGGTATCGCGAGTAATGCAATACATGTACAATGCCGCGCGCGCGGCATTTTTATTTATTGTTAGGTACGTGCTCTTGCTTTATTTACGATGCGCGTTGCGCATAACCATATTTAGTCGATTACTGACCTGTCCTTTTTCTTAAGAGTATGCTTACGGAAACATATGGGTCAACCGTCGAGGGCATTGAGGGCGTCGAGCCGGTCAAACTCGCCTCGTTCACCGTACAGGTATTATATTTATCTCTGTTAGCGAGTAAATGCGTGCACCTCGGATGAAAGATGTGTCAAAGTAGGCTATTTAAATCTAGCGTTACACGTATACGCGCTACTTGGCGATCTACTTTCGCTCCACATCACTATATACGCGGGTCATCGTATCATCGAATCCGAACGGTTCGATTTATCACTGATCCATGACCTAGCTAATCCCTTTCATCATGATGGAAATAGAGGTGGAGGAAGGAAGAAACTAAGAAAGAAAAGAGAACGGAATGCGCGTCGGGGTCCGGGGGACGGATTCGGATTTCGGTTTATTGCTTTTTTTTTAACTGCCCAGTCTAGCCGGAGTACGTGTTGACGTAAAATCGCGTCGTCAAGAGGCACGCGATTTTATATCGCCACATCTGCGCCTCGTGGACATCGTAGACATCGTAGGGTCGCGTGCGACGAGTGAGCGCGGCGAGTGCGGAGCCTCGAATGGACGTTCGTGGTTCGTGTGTCTCGACTCTCGGTTCCTTCTATAAATAAGTCTCCCTGACTCGGTCTACTATCTTCAATTCGTGACGTCGCACAACCGCGCCGCGCAATATATTACCTTCGTGAAGAATCGTTAACGTTTTACGTTACAAGATATGCGACGCATCTTTCGGATACGCGCTAGGCGGCCAATTCGATCTTCTCATTACGCGCGTTCTATCTTACATTCACGTTAGCGGAAACGATCAACATCTATCTCACATTTGATTCTAGATCCTGAAACGAGTCACGGAGACGATGTCGTCGCAGCAAATCGATGGCGTCGCTTTCATTTTACTTGACGAACAAACCTTAAACTAGGGCGAAACCTTAACTTTAACTTACCAAAAATATTTGAAAATACTAAACGTGTGATTTCGTATGTATGATATAAAACGACGACGACTTCCCTTTTCCTCACGCGTAGTCGCCAATTAACTTGGCAATGGTCAGTCTTACTTATTGTTAGAAAATTACAACGTGTTACCAATGTCTTGCGCGCGCGTGCGCGCGGCTTCTTTCTCGCTGTTTCTCTCGCGATTTATTAAAGTCTACTAAATATCGGCACTTGACGTAGAAACGATTACGTGACATGTGACATTCTTGAGGAAATTCGAATACCGTTGGATACTCGGAATAACCTAACGTTCGACGACGACGACGACGACGACGACGACGACGACGACGCAGTTAGGCTCCGAACGATAGATCTAGAAATAAATCTGGCGGGTCGGTCCGAGTCGACCTTGAAGGATCGCGGTACTTTTGCGTATCGCTCCGCCACGTCGCGCGCGTCAGTTACATGTTCCGGACAACTGGATCATCTCGGTCGTCATCTCCGACGACGATGACACGATAATTCCTATACTAAGAATACGCATACATTTAGACCCGCGCGTAATCGTAGGATCGTACAAGGTACAAGGATCGTTTGCCGACTGACCGTGGTGGACAAGACGCTGAGGTCCCAGGCACTCTTAGCTTGCTTCTGATAGTTCTTCTTCCTTTTGCCGGGTCTGCGTAAACTGGAGAACCATCCGGCCGCGATAGCGACGGCGCTCACCTCTCGGCGCCCGCCGGCGCCGTCCGGCTGGATATCACCCGCCCGCGCCGCCCCGCTAGCACCGCGCACCTCGTCGAGAGCGTCCACCGATCTGCCGGTGAAGATCATTCTCGGGACTCGGGACTCTCGGTGGACTCGATCGCGCGAGTCGCCGCGCCGGGCTCCGACTTCGGAGCTTCTTCGCTTATTGTTAGCACTTGACGTCTCTACGTCTTCCCGGCCGAGGAACGACCCTCGCTCCCGCTCCCGCTCCTACGTTCACCATAGTCCCCGTCACGATCCAACAACATCGTTCGCGTCGAACGCGCCGAACGTTCCGAGAAATAGACGAGGTACAAAGGTCGCGGAACACATAGAGCACGCGGTCGGAAGTGCAACGACCCGCGTGCGCGTGCGAGAGCGCGGCACCGACGCCGACGCCGACGCCGACGCGACGACGTTACCCGCGCACCAAACTCTCGTCCGCTCTCCAAACTCTCCAAGGCACCGTGAGAAAGTGAACGTCCTCGCGCGTACACGTATTCTCGAGATCGCATTCAAATGAAAGAGACGATGGGTGACTTTTTACATTTCGCGCGACAAAGGCGACAAAGGCGACCAAGGCGACGTTTCGAAAGCGACGAACCGTAAATCGTGTGCGTGTGTGTGTGCGCGCGCGCGCGCACGTGCACCCACAGTCACAGTCAGTAGACGACCGCCTCGACGCTGCTGACAACCGTCAACCACCGTCACGCGACACGCGATTTCCCGCGACTGCGGTGTCTGCGGTACGTCCGACGTTCCGACCCGAGTCAGGCCTCAGGCCTGTTTGTTCTGACGGCTAGCGGCTCCGCACGCTGGCGCCTCGCTGCGGTCGCGATTAACACTCAAATATTTACAATTGCCGTGAAACGCACGCGTATATATATATCGTACCTGCTTCCAAGAAGAGTCTCTACCTCCCTCCCTCCCTCCCGCTACCTCTGTACGTCCGTGAGAACATCCAAGAATTACGCCAAGATCTGACAAAGTTCGATAATGCGACGTCGCCCTGATAATTTCGCCTTGAAGGACGTTCGCTTGAATGACTCACGATCAGAGTCGCGTATCGCGGACGATTCTCTCTTACTCTCTCGTGGGCGACAGGCGACATACGATTCACGAGAATCGGCCGAATAAGTACCTGCCTACCTGCTCCACGTGTCACGAGTGACGAGTCACGAGTCACGAGTCTCGAGCAGTCACGAATCACAAGGTCGGTCGAGAAGATTGACCACTATTATTCGCCGTATTCACGTGCTCGTAATATACGATCGGTGCTGGTGCTGGGACTTGGGACGTTGGATTAAAGAGCGGGAGTGACGGCTGACGGCAGTGACGCTGCCTCGTCGATGCGCGATGTTACTACGAAATAGATGTGTCAGCTACGTGTCAGCTGCGCGTCTGCTTCCTCTTTAGGAACGTACTCGCACCGCACACGATTTATCATATATGCGTCACCCCTGTGATAGTAATACTTAGTGTAGATATCACTTACGATCCAAACTTACTTCCTCCAGCCCCCAGCCGCGTATACCGGTAGAGCCGGATGCGCGCGCGTCAGAGTATCTACTCCGAGTTCCCATTCCTAAATAAAATCAGGAATGAAATCGTACTTTCTGACAATGAGAGCGTATTTTGTATTATCGCGACATGTATTATATCCGCGAATACATAGCTGCGCGAACAGTCGAAGCGAAGCAGAAGAGAAATGCCCCGGATCTGCCCCGACATATTTCTCATAAACAATTCCATAAACTTTCCATCCATTCCATGGCTCTTTGCTTGGGAAGAGAGAGAGAGTCGACCGATAAAATAAAATAGAGATCTGAATGCGTTACAGACTGCGTATGCAGACACACGTAGTCTATTTCGGTTGTAGAGTCGATAGAGTCGATCGTGAGCATCGGTTCACGAGTGGAAATCTAGTAAACTAACGCATCTTCGATGCAGGAAATGCCATTGATAAAAAAAAAAAAAAAAAAATGTTAATCGTATCACCTGTTGACGTCTGCTTCGCACCCCGAGCGCCAGACAACCCGACGAACACGACCAACGTATCCCGAATCTGCGCCACCCGTCTCGAAACGTGTATAAGTTTCGCGTCATTAACGTCAGAAGACGCGCGAGCTAAAACAACGACGCGGACGTGAGACAAAACTTATTCAAAGATTTCTTTCGCTTGGCGTTTACTCGCTACGGTTACAGTCTCTATCTACGTGTACATGTGATACATCACAGGACAGTCGCGGTCGCGGTCGTACTCTCACCCTCCCATCTCACGGACACGTTCGACGCTCTGTTTCTCTTACGCGTCTGTTTTGATATCCCACAGATTCGAGACCAGAATCATAAACAAAAGAAGCGATGGCGATGAAATATGGAAACGACACGTTCACGCGAAATGCAGCGAGATCGCGCGACTACGCGTGACGTCTCATTTCATTATCATTAAACCGGTTAGACAGATATAAACTCACAAACAGATGAGTAAGCGGGACTATCAGGCATCGCGGAAACAGTCTTATCGTAAGAACATCCTGGACGTTTTCTCGCTGTATAGATACAGCTGTGTGTTGGACGTAGACCCAGTCGTTGCGTTGCTTTGCCATCGCATTAAACATCGTTGTGATTAAACACATATAGACACGGCATATAGAGAGGTTTTTTCAACATTTTTATAGAATACGTTAACTCGTGATTTATCTCTACCTAAGAAAAGATACACGACATTTTTCCACCAAAAACACTCGTACAGCGTAACGTAACTTTTTGCCTTTTTAAATACACGCTCTACATATATTCGTCTATTTTATGAACGTAAACCAGCGTGAATGATTACGAGCAGACAACGTCTTCACGTATCAACGTATATAAAACGATTTACTCGCATATGTAATGTAGAAGACGTTAAATCTATTCAAATATTTAAATATGTACATATATTATATATGAAAAAGAGAGACATATCTTTCCCTTTCCCTTAAAATTTTATTTGCCACGTTATTTTATTCACTTTATTTATCAAGAACGTCAACATTCACTGATGAGTAAATCTTATCTATGAAACTTGTAAACGTGTAAGTGGTGCCCTCGCGTATCGTCGTATCACGTAGATTTGTCCAATGGAATGATATGTATATCGGTAAAACAGATTCATTTGGTTGTATCTTTGCGTGCTATGACTAAATGCGCGAAATGCGCAAACCCTCACCCTCCTACACGTATAATAATTATAATAATAGCGCGACGGTGTCATATATTGTTCTACGTTTAAAAATTCTTGCTTGATGAATATACTATATAACATCACGTCCGGCTCATATAGATAAGATGTATCGTTAGGACGTAGGACGTGGAGAGTTTGAGCTTATCGAATGTCCCTCTCTATCATATGTCAGATTAACGGGTCAGATTATATTCACACATACATATATACCATATGTAAATAGCATACTCACTTGTATCTCGAGCAGCAATTCCGTTTTCTTCCGTCTTATATCTATCAGGATCTTCTGTTGCTCGGGAGTCAATTCTACAATCATACAATAATCATCGACGTAGAATTAGAGTACGTAGACATTAGAGGTATTGCGTCTGACGTCGAAAGTCGAAAGTCGAAAGTCGAAACGCGTGCGTTTGCTCTTGCTCGGCAAGTTGTTGCCTCGCCAACACGGGCAAACGTGTTACAATAAATGTAAAATTTTAAGGACGGGACGATTACGGATCGGAATATCGGTGTCTCTGTTGCAAAGAAGACCTGGTTAGCAGTACGTTACACGGGAAGGTAAAGGTCTAAAAATAGGACTTGGAACGTAAGGTTGCGTATATAGGTCGTTTCTACGAAGGAGCGAACGCTACCGGCTAACCGGTCGCGTCGTACACATACATATACACATATGGTATATACATATTATATTATAGTTTATAGTTGCATATATACGATTTGCCGGCGTGCACGTAGTACGTACGAAAGAATTCTTGTACGCCAACGCGTACAGCGCGGAGATTATGTGTATTATGTATCTACATACGCGCCGCGATGTGTCATGCGTTTCTCTTATAACTCTAATTTGATTAGCGCGCATGACAATAATCAATACTTAATATGACAATGAAGAATCAAGTCATCAAGTGGCGAAATGGAAGGGAACGATTAAAACTCGAAACGCACGACGGCTGTGACCTGTAACGCGGTCGCACCGCGCCGCGCCGTCTTGAGACTCGCAATTCGTAATTTGCAATCAATGAATGATGAATGAATATTATCCGTTTTCCTTTTGCCGAAACTTTAATCCTAAATTGACAGTCTGTATATTTAATATAGAGACGAGTGATATTTCATATAGAACCATGCTCCTAAAAATAATGGAAATACGCTGACTTCTTCGAAGGCTCGCTTCTCATTGTCAAATAAGTATGTTGCTCTCGCAAGTTCGACATTATAACATACAAATACGTAATAGAAGATGTTGGAACTTGGAACTGACCGAACGATAGAGGAAAAAATAGACAGTCTCGGCTCTCGGTGCGGGTGCGAGATGCCGAGGCCGAGGCCGAGGGCAGAGATATGAGAGATCGTCTCGTGCGCATCGTCGAAGGAAGGATTTAAGAGCGAGGCCGCGAGAGGAAACTGGAGAAAACATGACGTGTCAGCATCCTTTCGTTTTGTTTACTACTTTACTACGCGTATGTGATAGCCGTGCGTATACGAATACGGCGGACAAGAAAGAAAAGGAGGAGGAGGAGGAGGAGAGCGCGTGCGCTCCTTGTCAGCTTGTCACGGAGAAAGACTCGATGTATGTATGTATGTACATATTGGCTTTCGCTCCAGCTCCAGACTCGATACACGCAGCACGCTCCAAACTCGGACGTTCTCGGTCAATCCCTTACCCGTCGTTCCGAACTGGTCGACCTGATGACCAGCAGACGTCATTCCTACGCTCCCTAGACCGCCCAAATCTTGCCACATCTCCGAAAAATAGCACTTTTTGGACTCACGCGCGCACAGAATCACCCACCTTCACTCAAGCGGCTCCATTTTCACCGAGACCAACCGAGACTGACGCACTGACGACCAACGCCAGTGTCGCCAGTGACCAGTGACGGCTCACGGCAGTGACGCCGCCTAGCACCACCTGGCTCCGCCGAGGGAACTAACCTTCGCTTCACCCGTTGCCCGTTGCACCGTTGCACCAATACATATATGTATACTGTACATACATACATACCGCCATTACCGCCGCAATCAGCTGCAACGGCCGCAACATCCAGATGATCCATAGGTGATCCGGGTGATCCAGAGGCAGCGTCATCTCTCGACGCGTCCCACTCCTCGACCTCGAGCCTCGAGCTGCATATTACGCTTATGTGCGCTATGCTATAGATTTTCCTCTCCTTCATTTTATTTCACAATTTAAATTCAAGAGAGCTAAAAGACGTAGGTATTTATTAAATTCAGCCTTCAGCCTGCTCCAGCCTAAAACTTATGATGGTTATTGCCGACCCTTGCCGTCAAATGATCGAGCGTCGATACACTGACGCTCGCTTTATCGGTGTCGGTAATACCTGTATCTGTATACGATATACATATATCGCGATTCGCAATATCGCCGTCGCTCGGACCTCGGACCTCGGACAGCTTAGATAGTCAGACCTCAGATCAGCTCAAACCTCAAACAACATCTCAATGACCCGCACAGCACACTAGCACGTATACCACTGCACTGACTGCACAGTGCACTGTGCACTGTGCACTGTGCAGAGCAGAGCAGCTGACACAGAACGCGCAGAACGCTTCGACATAACATTAGCATTAGCTAATTGCTAATACAACATTATAGTATACATAGGGCCGATATCACAGTCTCCGATTAACGTGATCCTCCGCGTAAACTCACTTTGCATCTCTTTCTAACTGTCCCTCTAGAAAAAGACCAAGAGTGAGTTTACTTGGAGGATCACGTTAATCGGAGACGACGGAGACTGTGACATCGGCGACGAGTTGATGAAAGTGATATGAGACGCGAAGGAATGCGCGCCGCGCCGCGCGGTATCTCGCTAGCTCTCGTCTCTCGCTCTCGCACACTCGGCTTCTTCTTTTTTTTTTGCCAGGCAGCCAGGGGTCGTAAGGTCAGATTCGGCGTATAATCGTTTGCATCCGAGACGCATACGAGTACGAGTACGAGTACGAGAACGCGGATGCCGCGAGTTAACGTGCCCCGACTTACATCACTGGCAGTAAAAGGTCGACAACGACAATTACGGCAAGCGAGAGTGCGGCTCGCCAAGTTCTCGCATTGTTCAATAATTTGCGAATCGGCAGGATTTAGGTCATGATCGGCATTGTTATTTCTCCGATGGTGAATCTCGGCTTCAGTTTTGCCCTGACGACATTCTTGATCCCTCTTCTTCTTATCGCGTACCTAGGTAATTATAACTTTATTCCAAATAGATATGTATGTACATTTTTTTCGAACTCTTTGAGAGAAATGACGTGATATAATACTCTCTCCAGCTAGACACGTAGTCTCGGCGCTCGCGCGAATGGAATTTCTTCGTGCGTGTATCAATATATCAATCCTTTGTGCATATTATACGAGTACGTGTCATGTATATTATATAGTAATATTGTATATTATGTACATAATACATATGCAGTATGTGTATCTCGCTCCCGGTGTTATATATTATTTATTATTATATACCTTTGTGCTTCTCGAGCTAAAACGCTCAATTATAAATACGTAATTGATTGATTACAATACAAATATTTCAAGTAAGTGTTACCGCGCATTTTCTCCATCACTCAATTATTCTTCACTAATTCTCGATTGTTCTCTTTCGGCTCGTCCTCCTATCACGCGGACTATAATATCGCGCGACGCGGGTATTTGGCATCTTTAAGTGGTGACGTGGACCAGAAAATGTTGGATACGCTTTGTCAAATGGAAACATCCGAGTTATATTGTTGTGGAGGAGAACAGCATTCGGAGCATCTTGGACCAGGGACGCAATCACGTAAGTGTACCTAAACTGATATAATAATATATACGTGTATCGAGACGATGTTGAGTGACCGTAAATGGTCGCGGATGGTCTCGCGATACGTGATACGTGATATACATTTAGGGCATATGCACCTTACTCGTACAAGGGCGCTCGATCGTCAAGGGCGCGAGAAATCACTTGGCGCATTTGACTTCGACGAGAAAATTCCTTAAATCGGCTCTCTTCACCCGATGGGGCTTATACGTATGGAAAGAACTCGATTACTTCTCCGTGGACGACCATCTCGCAACGTCCCCGTCCTCCTTCCGAGGTCGTCCCATCACCGAGAACAATATACAGGTCGGGGATCGCGTTTTCTTACCTATACCTACAGAGATTCGCGGCTTTCACAAGTCAGAACAACTCTAACGTAGAGGCTTGTTTTTTCTCTCGTAGGATTACATAAGTGACGTCACGTCGAAATTTCTTCCGAGGAGATTACCGCCTTGGCAGGTGCACATAGTCACGTGCTTCGTGCGAGGAGAGGAACGTCAGATATGTCTCGTGCGAGCGCATCACTTGCTCCTGCGACAGGAGCATCTAACTCTGGCGGACTTTTTGCCGTTAAAATATTCGACCGACAACTGGACTTGTCAGGAGAGCGATTCGCCCTTTACCAATCTGTACGCCCAACCCTACGCTCTCCCGCGTCTTCGACAGATGCTCATCGAGAGTTTCAGCAACTATTGGAACGACTTTCTTTACAATAACGATCCTACCGAGCGGCCGGAGATTCTAAAGAAGCGTACAGGAATATTTCAGTGCGTCAAGATCGCGACGATAGTGCTAATTTGCACTCTGAAAGAACTGGCCAGGTATTTTCTCGTCCACGTTTTTGCGTTGTCCCGTTACAATCGCCATAATTTCTCTCTCTCTCTCACTCACTCATTCGTTCCATATATACACGCGGCGATCTTGGTGCTACTATGATCGCTACTGCCGTTCATTTGAAAGGACAAAACGTAACAATGCGATAATGTCGTCACGCTTAAATATCCAAACAGTAACTTTCTCTCGCCCCTTTCTTTAGACAGTGCCGAAAGTCGGAAGGACTAAAGTTCCTGGAGGTCCTGTCGATCGTCCGGCGCGAATCAAGCAAAAGAAATTTCACGTCTCGATTAATATTCGACTCCATTGCAAAATCCTTCAACCCGATCGACGTTCTTTACACGTGTGTCGCTCTGTCCTGGTACATGGTGATCACGTCCTTTTTAAAGACGCCTCTCTTGCTCGTTCGAGAATTGCGAGCGTTACAATCGCGACATAGACACTGTTATCCGGACACCTTGACGTATACGCTGTCGTGTTACCTTCCCCTGATGTTTCAAGCGATTCGAGAGACGATGTCTATTAGTTGGATAGCCGTAACTGCGCCCAAAATCATAATCGAAGAGCTATTTTTCAAGTATCCGCAGTCGAATCGGCTGCAAACCATCTCACCGTGCGGTAGGAAGGTAGTGGCTTGGTCAGAAGAGGTCGACGTCGAGCTCGTACGAAAAATCGCCAACGTGACTGGCGCGACGGAGACGGAGATTCTTTTAGCGGCTACCGTGGACGCCCTGAAAGAATACTTTAAGCACTCGGCCGTCGACGTGCCGGACGATGTATTCGCGACAGTCAAATACGTGAGTCAGCGAGCGGTGTTCCTTCGAAATCACGAGGCCAGGGGTATCCTCTGTGTCGCATTGCCCACCAGAACGCCCTTGTTCCACGACGATCTCATTGAGATGTTGCAGGTACTAATATATGCTACGATACTATACTGCGACACTGCGATACTACGACTTGCGCGCGCGCGCGCGCGCGAAAAGATTTATATTTATTATACACACACATCTCCAACGCGTCGCGTTTCCCAAGGTAATTCAGCGAAACGTGCAGGATGCCAGGTCCCGACAGAGCGCAATTTACGCTATCACGGCAGCGGAAACATCCTGCGGATTGATTTCGTCCTGTGTTCCGTCCATCGTTTTGAAATTACTTTTAAATCAACTGTCGAAAAGATACTCTCTATGTTTAACGCACGTCGACGGAGATTTACCTGTGGAGGGCGTAGACGGAGCAGTCTATTGGCGACCGCCGCAAGGAAACTGTAGTACATGTCATTAATTGCGCTTCGTGCGAGTTCTCTGCTTTGCTTTTATTACATCGCGCCTGTTTGTTCACCAAAACGTTGTAACGTATATGTATCATGCTTTTAGACATGTCTATGACTCTGCACAGGCATGGAAACGGAGTACGCCTTGGTATAATGGGAGACGCCTTGATTGGCCCTCAGCATTTTATCGTCGCGAGAACGTTCCCTAAAAGCGTATGTAATCTCGCCGGCGTTCTAGGCGTTCCGAGAGCACCCAGCCGAAGTCCAAGCCCTAATCCACTCAACCCGACTACGTCTCCAGGATACTGATTGAGATGATTGTCTGATTTACCGCAAGAGCAGGGCACAAAATAAAATTATTCCTCGTTCAACTTTATGTGCCGTGTATTTTACATATTTTTTTCTTTTACGAAATATGTAATTTATTAATTTCAAAACGGTCATCAAAATTGTTATACCTGTATCTATCATATCTGTAAAAATAAGGAACACGATTATGTAATTGTATGCTCGAGAGCGGGGTTGACGGTGGACCGCTAATTAATTATTATTAAATAATTCAAGGATATCGACATTTACGATTTACCTCAGCTTATACCTGTTCGAGGAACAGGTATCTGAGTGACATCGAAATTTTTAGATTAGATGCTCGCACATCGTCGATGAGACGGGATGTATATTTACATATTTATATCGTTATAGCACATGTATATTTAACGTTACGTAACCATGCAATGACATAATTGAACAAACAATTGAATGAACCAAATAAATTAGATAAATTCATCAATTTATGCAGACAACTTATGCATTTCTTCCTGAGAAATTACACAAATTTATGTCTTAGATGCTTACACTTTCTAACAATTACTAACATGTGTATGTTATCATTTAATTGACTACTTATCTAATCTTTGGACTAATGACATTAATAATAATAATTAATTAAGGAATAATTCTCTCGATAAAATAATTATTCAAGCCCGTTACACACACTTGTGTAACGGGCGAAAGAACGATAACTTGTAATACTCGGTGCGCTTGAGCCGCGTGTAAGGACATCGATGAAAAAAAAAGAACGAACTTTGTTGTATATAAATGTCGCAGCTTTTATTTTTGTAAAACAATGTAAGTGTTGATTGTGCAAACGTATTTAAGCATTTCAGATTAAATCTCATGGAAGTATATTTTTTTTATACGGCCGAATCTTTTTTCGTTGTAAGACTTTTTTCCTTACAAAATATATCCTTTATTGAACTTTTCAATTTTGTTTTATTTAAACCAGAACTTTTATAACTAATCTCTCGCGTTGGGGAAATTCACTGCTTGTTCGTATTTTATTTGCTTTTATTCAATCTAATTATTTAAAATTAAATCTATCACATACAATTTGCACATGCAAGGTGCACTTTAAGTAGAAAGAAATTTGTAGATACGTACGAATGTGTGCTGTGTATGCGCTCATGTACAAATTAATATATTTTAAACCAACGTGTAGTTATTATATAAGTAGAATGTATTAATAACACGAATAAGTTAAGTACGAGGGGAAAGTACGTTGCGAATAAACACTCGCTACAAATAGGAATTTAAAAATTGTTCGTTACATACATGTCGTAACACGATGAGATTCGTTCGATTAAATTTTCTTTCTTTTTGTTGTTTTTTTTTCTTGTTAGAACGTTTACTAATTTTGTCCTATTTGACGCGTAGATATTTTATAAAGGCAAAGTCTGCATATATGAATCTGTGTATATATTCTCTATATACTCTACGCCAAACAATCATCGTCATTCGTTCGTTCCATCTCGATTGGCCCACTACCGAAAATCTTACGGTTTCTCGTATATGGTATAATACCCACAAAGATTCCAGAGACAATGATCCAACCACCGGCCATAAGGAAAGAAAGCTCCCAAGAACCTGTCACATCGAAGAACCATCCAGCCAACGGAGGTCCCAAAAGATTCCCGATTCCTTGACACAATAAGCTAAGACCATAAGCGGTAGTGAATCTTTCCAGAGGAATCAGTTCTACTAATATAACGGGAGTGAAACTGAAAGTACTGGCAAAGAAAAGACCGAAAGCTGCCGCACTTATAGATAGAAACACGTAGTGGTGAGTGAATACGGACATCAATATGGTAGCCACTCCACAGGCCATCAGGCACCAAGTATACGTTTTACTGACATTCATCCAGGGTTGATCGCCAGCCCAGCCTAGAACAACCTGAAAAAACGATAGTAACGGATATGATGGAATGTCATTCGAGGATAAAATATTATTTTTTAAAGTAAAATATTTGAGATTACCATTCCGATGGTATTGGTTATACCGATGATACTGAGAAGATTAGCGGCATCGGACTCGGCGTAACCGTTTCTAGTTAGATGCTCCGCCAGGTAAAAGTACGGTACGATGAACCATGTGAATAGCAACATCGTCGACAGTGACATCAGCAGGAAATGCAATTCGACAAACATCGAGAAATCCAACATACTCTTTAATAAATCTACCAGCTCGGCGTACCATTTCTGTCAAAGAAGATGAAGAGATGAGGTAATCGGAATAAAACACACGTCTCTTGCAAATCTCTTGTCCCTTCTAATGGGGAGGAAAAATAAACCTGTAAAATACCTGTTCGTTCTCCTTAGCCAACGTGGTCATACTATTTCTGTAGATATCGGGACAACTGCTCGCTCTCAATCTGTATTTGTGCAGATTTAGAGCAGCGCCGCGATACATGACCGAATTTCTGTGCACTCTGATATCTTTGAAATAATGGGTATTGGTGCTAAACTGTCGCCTAAGCCAAGGTATGGAGTCCGTCCTGATGACATCGGCTTGTGGCTCGACGTAGCGTTTAGACGTGGATTTTCTTTTTTCGAACGGTGCGACCTGGCAAAAAAGTATTTAAGTTTGATGCGTCGCGTCGCGTCCTTCGATTATGGATTCAGATGATGAAGGATCGTCCGAATCACTCGCTAATTACCATATGTGTGACTTCCTTCGCTAACAAGGGATTAGTTTCCTCTATCTCCTTCTTGGACATTTTTCTGGCGCAACCGAGTTTCGTCGAGACGTGAACGGAGGTGGAATCTTTTCTTTGTTCGGTGATCGTTTTCGATTCCGTAGCTCGTTTAAGCCTTTATAAAATATTAAATATATGTATTAAATATAAATATTATGTCACAGCGTGTCATAAAATATTCCATGTATTCGGCGAAAGCACCGCGTGCGACAAATACCCCTTAAGCAAAACTCTCGTTAGGCTCGTGTTTTGCTTGCGAAACTTGGTGTTTATTATTAATTGAGAGTAAATTGATTCCAAAAATCGCGCAAAACTTGCTAGCATAATCTAACAGACGGTAAAAACCGAATAAGAATATATGCACAGCGCAATACGACGGCAAATGGGAAAGCAAAATATCGAGCAAAACTTGCCGTTGCGTAATTAACTCGGTCATTCGGACATGCCTTTTTAAATAACTTAAAATATTACCTCAAGTATACCATATTTAAAGGTATTTAAAAAGGCATGACGAATGTGTGTGCAGTTGTGCACGCGCACGTGCTTTCGCGCGTGTGTGTGATCAAACTACGTAATGGCAAATCTTGCTCGATATTTGCTGCCACGTTGCCGTATTGCACCGTGCATATTCTTGCTTTGCTGTTAGATGTTAGATCATGCCAGTAAATCTTACGCCAATTTGCTCTTATTTTATGAACAGCAAGTTATGTTATACAGTTCTACTGTCGTATTTTGTAAACAATTTAATTAACGGATTTTGCATCAAACCTGTTGTTTTTCTGTAATGAAATTTGCTGCTGACATATTTGACAAAATATTTCAGATTTTGCTTTTTTCAGATTTGACTAACTGGGTATAATGTCGTATGAATTAAAAGGATATACGAAGACTTGGATCGAGAAAGAGAGTCGGTTAAAACCCGTACTGTAACTATGCGTAGCAAATTCGTAGCAAATTAACCTCATTGACATAGTGACGCCGCTTTTATTACAAATCTCCCCCGTCGAGTCTTGCAGCTGCTTATCGGACAAACTTCTACATAATAGGAGGCTGGGATAATTTTCCAGAATGACAGTGTACAGCCTAGAATTGGTCATTAATAACTCCAATACTTCCAAAGGCACCTGGAATCTCACATTTAAATTTATTTATTTATGGCGAAAACTAGCGAAATCGGGCATCGCAGTTGTCGTTTTTGAAGTTTGTGTCCTTCCATTGCGACATCGGTCCCTCTTTTTGCTCTCTTTCTTTCTTTCTCTCTCTCCCTCTCTCTCTCTCCCTCTCACCTTTTCGCTCCGCTTTACAAAAGTTGGCAGATTAACTACACTCGTTGTCTGCCTCTTCACCCCGTCGACCGCTTCGGTGCTCGTACTTAGATCTTGTAAAAAATATTCAGGCGCCTGGTCGCTTCTGAGCAGCTTTCTGAGCTCTTCGATGCCTGGGAACTCATCCAACGAACTTCCGTCCGAACGACCGTGTGACTTCTTCAGCGGAGCTTGGTCTTGCTTGCGTTGCTCCAGAATCCACCATTCCGGATCTCTCATAACGGTACCCGCGATGATCATGTTGAAGAAAGTGCCGGCTAGGAGCAAGCAAGCGCCTCGCCAGCCGTACTCCTTGATGAAGTACGCTGTCATCGGAGCGTAGACAAACGTACCGATCCCGGTGCCGCACGCTCCGAGACCTACAGCTAGGGTACGCTTCTTGTCGAACCAGAAGGCGATGCTCACAACCGCGGTGACGTAGCATAAGCCTAGACCGAGGCCCGCGATCACGCCGAAAGTTAAGTACATTACTTCGATGGTATTACTGAAGATACTCAGGATAAAGCCCAGCCCTGACACCAGGCCGCCGATGATGGTCATATTCCTGCATCCGTAACGGTCGACAAGAGCGGACATGATCGGTCCGGATAGAAGAGGTACGGCCATGAAGAGCGAGCCGATCCAGGCGGTCTTGGACTTTGAAGCGCCAAATTCGTGAAGGAACTCGATGTAGAGCAGGCCAAAGCTGAAGGAGACCCCGTCGGCCACCATGGAGATGACCAGGGAGGCCAGAACGACCACCCAGCCCCAACCGCCGTCGGGCACTTTCGGTTTCTCGCGTTCTGTCCCTCTCGCGATGAAACTCGACGAATCCTCTCGCTCCGAGATGCTCAAGGAGTCGATGGAGTCCTTGATTCGCCGATTCAGCCTTGTCCCGGCGACCGACTCGGGGCGACCGTATCCCTCGCGAATCAGTATCTCTTGAGTCTTGATGAGCTTCGGCTTCGAAGCACCGCTTCGTTCCATCGGCATCGGCTCGATCGGTCTCTCCGTCGCATCGGTCGAATCCAAACTGATTTCGCGTACATTACAAGTTTTCGAGGGCGAGCTGACGTCGTCGACGTTCAAATCGACGCTTTGCCGAGGGGAACTCGAACAAATCGTAGGACTCCCGTCTCGCCAGCCAACCAAGGGAGCTCTATGCGGTTGACAGTGGTTGCTCTGGCTCCTCTTTACATACGGATCTTCCCTTCCGACGCTTGCAACGCTTGCGACGCTTCCCTCGGAACGATTTTGATCGTTATTGTTATCGTGCTTGCAACCGTCATTATTTCCATCATTTGTGCAACCGTTCTCGCATTCCATCTGAATTCCTCGCAGGACGACATCGTTCCTGCTAAACATAGTTTCTCTAAATATAGGTAATGGCCGAGTGAATCCAACGACGCCGCCAGCCCTTTAGCCCCTGGAACTCGGTGGGAAGATAACCACTTTGGCCTCCGGTTACCATATGGACCCTCGGGACGATCTTGGACGATTCACGGAAAGCTGACCGCGCCGAGTTGCGCGGCATGCACGCACCGTCGAGTCGCTCGTCCTGTAAAACAATTTTTTCACTGATATTAGCGCTCCATAGTTAATTACACCCCGTAAGATGAAAGAAGATCTTACCGTCATCTGTGCCGATCGGAACAGAAGGTAAGAACACTACGAATTAGGAAAATCGGCTTGTAAATCGACTGTAATAACAGCACGTACTTTTCTAATATTCCTATATATGTACATACATAATACACCGATCGATCGTATCCGAGTATGAGTAATGTCTCATGTCACGACAACAAAACATATTTCACAACCTTCACGACATTACAACGCTCGTGGTGCCAGTCGCGCCAACGCCAACCCTGACGCCCTGACTGATTTGTGATCCAATCTGCGGCGTTGGTCGTTTTACAATACGACTACAATTAAGGTTCGATAATATCACGGTCCGTGGTCCGTGCGGGATCCTTGCGATTGAACAATAAGCGCATGGACTAGTAGCGTATCTCGTATCTCGTATCTCATATCTCGCTTTCGTAAATTTTCCACGAAATTTCGCACGAATATCACGTGTCTTAATCGATACGTGATTGCGTAAGCATGCTTGTGAAAGAAACTCGAATCTTGAATCCATTTTTTTCATACAAAATTCGCATTTATATATAATATAATTTCACGCGACAGTGGAAAGGTTTGGAAATATACAGCGATAGAGAAAAAACCAATTATTCCTCATTCCTCACCATCGAGATAATGCAAATAACGTGCACAAGTGCATACATATATATAGCTAGTACTTGCGACTTGCGACACTCGCGTTGGCGTGAGTAATTATAATACAGTCGTGAATAAATGAAAGAGGAAATCAGATTAAATAAAGATAACTGGTCAGCCAAGTAACCAATTAATAAATAAATAAGGCAAAGCGTACAATTGCTGGGGCTCGATTGATCAATGAGTTACTTATAAGTGCCCGCGCGCCAAGCTGGAGCCTGGAAGCACGGAAGGCGAAATAACAACAATTAAGTTGTCGGAAAGACAAGGAAAGAAATGCGGTTACAACGGTACAACGTAGCGTGAGATATCTGAAATTAAAAGAATTTAATTTCAGATCGAAGAAAGCGTTCTATTTGTGCATATAACCGTTACATTATCGTTGCGTGTGTCATTATCATTATGCGTATGCATGCGTATATCATCTACATATACCGTCGTCATACATCGCGTATTATATATATGTATGTTGCGCGCGATTATTCTGTAACATTGTAAATTTTTTGTTCGTGTCAGTGCCTCTACTCTTACCGGTACAGGAAAAGGAAAAAGGAACAGGAAATAACCAAAAAATTGTTGATTACAACTTCAAAAATTCGAATGCTATGATTGGTTGGCAACAGGCAATAGGCACAGAATTTCCAACGTGATTTCTGATTTCTATTCCCTGTTGCCTGGCATTGTGCAAGGGGCTTTATACTCGACTCGAGGTACATCTCTATTCTCTATATACGATTATAAGTACAATTAGAAAATTAAATTATCTTGAAATATAGGTATAAATATGTGGGCAACGATACGTCTGCAGGTTTTTATTACGCATACTATTATTAATAAATGTAATTAGGTATATAGTTATGAGCAACTCGTTCGTGCTTAACTTTTAACAGAATGAGGAAATATATCGGGGAGAGACTAGAGAGAGGAGAGGAGAACATCGTTTATGACCTTATGACTTTTGCAAGTTTTTTTTCATAATATATGCAGTTAAGATTCAAAAAAATTCTAAAAATTCCCTGTTTTAGATTGTTCGTTATATACTCGATTATGTGCTCGAGATTATATACACGGATTTAAAAATAAAAAAAAAAGAAAGATATTTATCGTATATAAAGTATGCACGAACGTTCCAAAGCTTTTGAAAGTAGTCTCACTTTATTATTAGAAGTCTTTCGTCAGACAGTAGTCTAATAATACTTTGGTATTGCACAACTGTCGACTTGCGACGTAAGTTGAAAAATTTTTGGCAATCGCCAGTAATATATACCTATTTATAAGTCTGTTCTGTCTGATGAAACATTAGATTGAATCTGCCTCAGACTTGATAAAAACACTATTGCTGCATTATTAAAATTTTCCTCATACGTCTGTATTAAGAAATTGTCGTTATATAGATGATATAAAGTCATCTGACAAGCCAACAAATGTCTTTTCTGCGTATATCTGGATACATATAAAAAAAACCTCCTTTTTAATGAGAAAAAGAAATCTAATAAAATGTTTAATGTGTAATTTATCGTATAGTTATTAATCGTAAGATCGACCTGTCCCGGTCAGGCCGGTCATCTTGATAATCGAAAACTTATTTGCCAGAAGCATACAAAAGCTTTTCTATAAAGCTTTCCTCGTGGAGAATAGACGACAATATCTCGACAATTTGTTAATATTTCATATGGATCAGCGATACGGACAAAGAACAACGAAACACGACGTTGCTTTCTCGTTGGAAAAATTTTCGTTCGAAATAATATAATACGTTTATAAAAATTTATTGCGCAAACATTTAAAGAAAGGATTGCGTATCTCATGGCCGTTTATATGGATTTTATGATTATACTTATCGCTATACGCGATAAATATACGTATATGTACATATACATATGTATAACGAAAAGAGGCAGATATTAAACGTAGTCGTTAGCATATCTAGCACACGCGAATACTGTGTGTATACTTTATACCTGCTTTATAGAAACAGTTGACGGATTATGAACGGAAAACAAATTATATTTCTGATATTGCATAGCAAGATGAAGTTTGTTTTAATACACATTTCTTTTTCTTATATGATACGCCCAAGTAAATGGAAGCGCGGAAAAGGTTCGAAAATAAGTAAGTATATTATATATAGTTGGTAAGTGGAATAATACAAGAGTCGCCATCAGAGGGGTGTGATCACCATGGAGACCGACCGGTCGATTTCCCTGCGTGAAAATATACGTCCGTCTCTACCAAAATACGCAAAATACAGAGTAAATACCTAGAGACACGTAAATTTCCGATAAACTTCATTTTGTATATAAAAATCAAGACGTTGAGAAATTTGAAAACACGTCTATACGAAATACTAAAGCTAATTTACGTCTAATTGAATAAGCTTAGCTCGAAAGAATAGACGATAAATCTGGCTGTTGTTACAGCTATAGAGAATGAATAGTGATGCAATGTTGAAAAATTAACATCTCTGATTTGTCGCGCATACAAAAATTGTAGTGTAATAATATTTTCGACAAACTTGTCAAGTTTAGAGAAAATGCTCCTCTTATATAGATAATTTTGATTGTGATTCACAATGTTACTTATCTCGACGATATGTGGACGTACGTATGTACATGCATGCATGCATGTATGCGTGGCTTCTATGTATGTATGATCACATCGAGTCATCGATTAAACATCGCAGATATCTTAACTCGATAGACGATACTCGATACGTCGTACGACGCGACCACGACCACGACCGCGACCGCGACCGCGACCGCGACAGCGACGGGACATCGTCCGTGAATTTAATATCGGTAATCATGCGTACTTAACCAGGATTATATTGCAGATCAATGCATCTTGCAAAGTGTAAACACTCAAAACGATAAAATCTTATCGTTAATTTAAGTATCTATTCTTTTATTAATTACTCTTTAATCAAAATGCACTTTCGCAAGTGAACGTTCGGCTAATCATAATATATCTTACGTGCGGTCATAAATTTTGAATCGCTTATCTCTGAACCTGATGATGCATCGCACCGTATCACAGTTACGTGCGACATTGGAAAATTTGGAAATATTCGAGGGAATAAAATAAATAACGATAGAGAGACGTTAATTATCGCGATGATTACATTTATTAGCTAAGGCTACATCGAAGTCGATGTGAATAAACAAGGTTATTTAATTTGTTATATGTATTCTGCAGTTACTTATACGATATCTCATTGTCAGAGCTTGTGCAAAATTTCGACTTTGTCGGTAAAACACTAAAACATATACCTATCCGTTCGGAATAGCGATAATAAGCGGCGAGATGCACATTCTAGAGACGAGTGACAGATAAACGAGACAAACGTTTCAAAGTATGTGTATCCATGGCATATAGGCATATATCCTTTCTAACAATAAATTAATAACGTAATAAAGAATATGCAACGTCGACAGTGCAGTCGACATATTTAAATTTAAAATATACAGCGAGGGACACTGCTGTCATCCCTACACGTAGTGCAAAATGAGAATAGTGACGAAACAAAGACGTCGTAACAGCATTAGCCGTAAGAAACATTAATGAGGACACGATAATATCTATTATTTTATTAGTATGAAAAAAGAATATATACAAAGTTCTTACGCGTCTCGTTACGCTGCACGATACGTGCTGTTAGATGACAAGTGGCGCAAATCTTTATGCTCCAAGTGCCGAAAAAAGGAGTAAAGAAAGGAAAAAAAAAAAAAGAAAAAAAAAAGAAAAGCAGAGAAAGGAAACGTAGAATACATACGCGTAAAATACCGTCAAGTATTTGCAATCGTATTGTATTTATCGCGTGAGAGCTTACCAACAACGAGCTCCCGCAGATCGTTATAGCTGAAGACTTTGAGTAGCCCAGCACGCGTGTCGTTGGAAAAAGCGTATCGCGCCTTTTAATCGCAACAACACGTTCGTGCATTCGCTCGCGGCGCGAGTTTCCCGATGCGGATGATATCACGTGCGACTGCCTTGGTTGAGGGCACCCGGTAGACTGAGCTGACTCGCTGACTGAGTGCGCGATTGACGCCGTCGACGTGGTTCAGCCGGTTCAGGAGCCTCGAAATCCACGTCATAAGAAAGGTTCTCATCGCCGCACCTGACCTGAACGGAGCACGCGTGTCGGCGGTGTCGGCCTCATCGCGTTTCGCTGTGCCTGTGCCCGTGCCTCGCCCTCGCCCTCGCCCACCTCGCCTCGCCATGCCACGCTTCTCGTCTTCGTCTCGCGTCTCGCGTCTCGCCTCCCCAGCCCACAGTCCCACGGAGTCCACCGAGTCCCGAGTCCGCACTCCGCAGTCGCCAGACCAAACTCTGCGGCAATCTTCGTTCGCCCCGCCACCCGCCATGCCATGCCGTGTTTCGCCTTGAGTCTTGACTCCCGACGGTCTCGACCACTTCCCAATGCCAAAAACGCAGTAGTGCAATTAATAACATCACCGTTCTCATGCGAGTTTAAAAAACAGTTAGCAGCGCATTGCAATCTTTTGAGAATTTTATGATTGCCACGTGCCACGTGACTTACGAATATTTCACGCGAAAATTCTCACTTTTAGATTCACCTGACCGCTAAGTGTTGTAACGTTTTTCGCAAAAGTTTGTGGGTATTCGCGGCGATGAGAATGACTTTTTATACGAGAGTAAAAAAAATATATTTGAAAATAAATGACCGATCGATAAAATTATCTCCGTTGTGTTAACACTCGGTTGACATGACTGACATCTGACACTGACGCCACCCAACCCAACGTCATCCGACGATCCGACGCCGCTAGATATGCGACGACGATTTGCATCTGCACTTGTCGGTAATTCAGCAAGCGCTCTCTCTCTCTCTTGATCAATATTTTCTTATACAAATTTCTTAGCTCTCCTATACATCTCGCTTTATTATTCTTCATCTTATTCATAATCAAGAAATAATATAATAAAAGTGCGTAAATCAAGTGCGGCGATACGGATTTTCTTGTTTAGACGGGCGTCTATAAACCAACAACTATATAGCGTGATAACGAGCAAAAATAAAAGCTAATAAAAGCTAATAGAGCCAGTAAGAGTCAAATTTCCAAATGTCCTCGTTTTTCATTTTCACCGATTCCTCATATCCTATATACACGTGTCACGTATATTATAAGCGCGCATAGACAAAGTTTAAAATCTGGGTTACATATCGTACGACGAATATGTGGACGTCGTCCATTTCGTTTATTACGAAATAAACCGTAAGCGAGCGTTGAGTACGTGACCGCGAGAAACATTGCGATATATTTATTCGGGTCGTTTTCGCATATCTTATATAATTCCAACACACATCATTTTCCAATATATTATCTGCGCTGATAAACTGAATATCGCATTTCGTTCTCGGTAAGTATAGGGATTGCATGGTATTGGCTAAGAATTTATATGTAATACACACACATATGTAAGACTATAATCATAGATTCATTCCTTTAATTAATATATTTAAGAGTCAACAAGAACGTACGCGTTCAGATCGGTAATGTTTTGCACCAATAGGTGTATCGGATCACATTTTATACATATAGCATAGCTATATGCTATATGTACACGTGAGGTATCGGATGCATTATAATAGGGACACGCGCTAGATCGATATATAGTAACGACCTATAATTAATGATTAGAATTGTTGCAAATATAATTCAAGATTTTTCAGTAGAATCCTGAAAAACTCTACTTGACTTTGACATACGACGTTCACACAATATAAAGCTGATTATCGAAACGTCATTCGAGTTGCGACGTTTGCTTGCTTCTTCCCTTCTACAATTTTTTTTTTCTTTTTTTTTTAATACTCTTTTCTACTGGAAGGAATCACTCTGAGATTTTCTTTTCGATCGATATTCTATTAAAAGTGCTCATTTATCCTTTGTGATAAACGCAGATTATTTGCGTCCCGGGTTCCTCGTCTTAATAACTATCGCTTAATATTACCGTTGAGAAAGTCATTAGACTCTCGTGTGAAGCCGGCAACTTGATATCGTAAATATATGAAATACACAATTTTCCTTTTTATATTAAAATATTGCTTTATACTCATTTCGTAGATGCCATATAAGGCTGCGTACGTACATATCATATAATACGTACGCCCGATGTGTACGACGAGCGTATATGCTGGGAAACAACGTATTGCACTCTCAGAATTTAGACTTGGCACCGGTTACGTGATTACGAGACATCGATCGATTTGTGTGTATCTAAATTCTAAATCAAACGTGCGATCGATTGCAAGCGACAATTATACGATACCTACTTTCGCCGCGGGTATGAAATTATATTCGGTCAGTTCGGCACTCTAACAAATATTCGAAACTCGTTACGCGGTCGTTGCTGTTGCTGCCTAAACGATCTAATTATTAATATCTGTGAAAGCGGTAAATATCTTTCGTACTTTGTTTCTCCGTATAAAGGCCTCGTAATGTTATATACGTACGTGTATTCTTCCTATGACTACATATACAATATAAGAGATATCTTTTTGGAATATAAAATTTCTCCTGGTGGAATCGATAATACCTAAAATATCGTACAGTGCGATTTTGACTAGTTTTAAAGAACCTCTATGTCGTACTGCGTTGATCGCTATCGCGCGATGAATAGCAAAATGTTTATTTCGCTAAGTAATATATAATATGTATACAATACATTCTATTTAAAAACCTTCCAGGATGGGAATAAAGACTCTTTCTTCATCACTCATACTCTATCGTGTTCACGTTAACACCTTTCGCGGTACACTAGTAACTTTTCGTACAGTTCGTTATTGCATACGATTGTAAATCGCTACAATGGTGACGTCGTGTCCCCCGGCGTATCTCAAATTTACGATCACAGAAATTCTATACACACCCATGTCTATTTTATAGACGTGTTTTTCCTACGAAATACGTTTATTGCGCTCTACATGGAAAAAAAAAGAAAAAAAATTGCTATCCCAATTCATTACATTTATACATCTCGAGTTTTTGCATTCATTAGTCGTTGAACGAAACTTATTACGATAATAAGCGCATTGGCATTTTTATCCGACTGAAGTGTAATATTGAATTAGATGCAAATGAAATCAAAAGTTAATTTAAATTAGTATTATAATTTGAAATTCAAACTCAATTACGATCCAACGATGCGAAAGTAACTCGCGAAACTCGTATACGCGAAGGACACGCGTTGTACGAAGACGATTACAAAAACTCAGGCTCAGGCTCTGTATGACGCGATTAATTTACAATATTTTTCGCGTTATCCAAAGGAGAGAGGATAACTTGTCAATTGTCAGCTGTACAGTCTGTCTAGCTTGAGAATACATACACGTCGCTCGATGAAGAGATAGCGACTACAAACATGCATAGAACTTATATGTTTTTTTCTGTACACGCAAACCAGGACACTAGAAGTGCCTATTTCGAACCACTACATATGCAGCATCACGTGCTGGTAGTATCCTGAGATTCGAAATTTAACTTATTGTTAGTCGTTGCCGTGCGAACACAATATATATCCATTCGAGCAAGATACGATCATCGACGTCAAAACGTGGTTCGTAGCGAGCCTTCCGCAGACCCTTGGCTTTATATTATCGCAATCGGCATATGCCTAATTTGTACATATATTACTATATCGTAATATCGCGCTACGCTATTGAAAATATTAAAAAAGAACTATGCTTATATTCCCGAAATAATTTTTCTTGCGCAATGTCCAAGAAATTAGAAACGACCTGATAACTTTCGCAAAGCTTTGGTAAAACATCGACTGATAATATAATATAATATAATATAGCGGAGAAGTGCAACACTCCACTTATGTGCGGCTCTCTTGTCACCATACAATTTTACTTTATATAACATTCCTCGAGTCGCTCGCATTAATCATCACGGAAAGTCAATGAACCCGTGTTACGACAAACAAGGGTGTTACGACAAACTATAATTATAACTATGTAATTACACCACAGCCGGCTCGAGAGACTTGTGAATAGCATGTCGCCAGTGAAATGACCTCACCACGAAATTAAGGGTGCCTGTAGCAATTTTCGCAATCTGCGTTGCAATTCCTTTGATATCTCTTGCCATCGCGATTCCAATTTGCGACAGAACCATCGACAACGGTTGCTTGTCTCTGGGGCTCTTGTTCCTTCAATAAATATCGACATATTTACACACAGTTTATCGCATCGAAATCCTTCTCGGTAGTTACCCCCCTAGATTCGTTTCGACACTTTCGGTACAAACCGATCAAAGGCATTACTAATAACAATACGCCGCTTAACGCAATGAACAATCCCGCCAAGTAGAAGGACAGATCGTATGTGCCTGTGATATCGTATAGCCACCCTGAAAAAGAAATTGTTTAGTCTCAGAATTCGCTCGTAGGTATTTCGATATCCAAAAATCTGCTATTTATTAATTTTGTTACCCAAAATATTCAATTTAATTTTTTATTACCGTAACGCTCGTGACTATTTTACGTTAATTTGTGAGGGGAGGGGGGGAAGAGAGAGAGAGAGAGAGAGGAGGATATATATAACAAAGTTTCGCGTCACCGCGCGAAGATTTACCAGCTAGCGGAGGACCCATCAGATTGGCGATTCCTTGAACCAGTAACAAGAGACCATAAGCATTCGTGAATCTCTCCAAGGTGATTAGTTCGACAAGGATAATGCTGGTGAGACTGTAATTTGCTGCGATGAATAATCCAAAGGCACCAGAGACTGCACATAGAGTGTAATAATCGCTGACAACTATCGGTATCAGAGCAGTAACGGTACCGCAGAGCGCCATGCACACCGCATAGACGATAGACGCGTTCACCCATGCCCTATCGCCGGCCCAACCCAGAAAAATCTGTTAAAAAAAAAAGAAGATTCACTTTGATCGCTAGAAAATTATCAGATTGGAATGCCATTTACTCAGACAAATATTTCCGCCGGTGCTTACCTCGCCGCTCATGTTAGCGATCCCGATCACCGAGATCAGAATAGACGCGTCCGTCTCGCTAAATCCAACTTCGATCGCATTGTCCGTCAGATAGACGTAAGGCACATCGTACCACGTGTGCAAGAGAAAATTGCTGACAGCGAACAGCAGGAACCTCAGATCGGCAAAGTACGAGAAGTCTAGCATATCGACGATCAAGTCCCAAAATTCCCAGAGCCCAGCGTACCAGACGAGCTTCGTCTTGGCGATCGTAGTCATTGAATTTCTGTAAATGTCCGGGCAACTCGAAGCTCTCAAACGATATCGATTGATGTTGAGCATGGCGCCTCTGTAAGTCAGACTATGCCTATGCATTCTGATATCCTTCAAATAGGCAGTTGGCAGCCTCCTCGGTTGTTCCAACGTGCTAGATCGTCTCAACGGAGTATCGGAATCGATTTTCCTCAGCCACCATAAATACGCTGGTTCTACCGACTGGTGTTGCTGGTGTTGCTGCTGCTGCTGCTGCTGTTGTTGTTGTTCTTGTTGTTGTTGTTGTTGTTGTTGTTGTTGCTGCTGCTGCTGCTTCTGTTGTTCGTCGTGCAAAATTCGATCGTCCGTGCCCTTGTCCTTGCTTTCGGTTGTTGCTCGCAATTCAGCCAATGGACTCGGCGTGGATATAAATCGGGCCGAGGGTGTACTCAGTTGATCATGGAGGGCCCCGGAATCGCTGAAACTCCTCGACGATATCAAGAGACTCGGATAGTTTTGTAGGAGGACATTGTAAATGGTCTTGTTCGTGCTGAGCAGTTCCAACACCTCCAGAGGTACTCTCTCCCCATTCTTAACAAAGGTAGGCAGATTCACCAAGCTAGAGAATAACTTCTCCCCGCTCTCCTCATCGCCGCCATCCTGTGACCGAAGATTCTCGATAATCATCGCATTGGCCGATGCAAAACCTCTTTTAGAATCACCGTGAGGCGTTTGCGTGGTCGTGTTGGCGGAGCTGGTTGCGGAGAAGGAGTCTGCGCTGGAACTCTGGATCTTAGATCTCTTCTTTTCCCGATTCTTTTTCCTCTCTTGAGTTTTCGCTTTCGCTCTAGTGGTAGTCCATTCGAGGTCTCGCATCAGACATCCGCATACAGCGAGATTTGAAAACAATCCTGCGAGAATCAGCGTGGTTCCTCTCCAGCCGTACTCCGCCAAGAGATATTGCGTGACGGGCGCGAAGATGAAAGTCCCGATTCCGCTACCGCATACCGACAAACCGGTAGCGAAAGATCTCTTCTTGTCGAAATAATACGCCACGATTACCACCGCCGCGACGAAACACAAAGACAAGCCGAAGCCTGCTACGATGCCGAACGTGAAGATGAGTACTTCCATAGAGTTCGCATAGGAACTTACAACAAACCCAGCTGTTGCCAGTATGCTGCCGGCCACCGTTACTTTTCTACATCCGTATCGATCGGTTAGAAAACTCGCGACCGGTCCCGATAACAATGGCATCGCCATGAAGAGACTGCCGATCCACGCCGTCTTGGACTTGCCCTCGCCGAAATAATTGAGGAATTCGACGTATATCACGCCAAAGGAAAAAGTAATGCCATCCGCGATCAAGTTTACCATAAAGGAGGCCGCTACGACGACCCAGCCCCAACCTCCGTCGGGAGGCCTGGCCTCGCAAAGTTGTCCCAAGCTGGAATTGTCTTCGGAGCTGCTCGTGGTAGACGTGGAGATTGACGGGCTTGGATGCGGCCTTTCCTCGGGGGCGTGACGTAGCTGTTGCTTTTGATGCGACGACTCCTTGTTGAATTGCACGTGATGCTGCTGCTTATCCTCCTTAGGAGACTTGCCGTTGACGAGTTTCTCGGTACTCTTCTCGGTCGACGAGTGACTCTTGGACGACAGAATCCTGGTAGGAGACCCGAAAATTGTATCCCTCTCATTGAAAACGCCCTTCAATTTCTGCGGACTAGACGCGTCCTCCTTGTAGAGGCTGTTGGGTCGCTTTGGCGAACCTTGCAAATTTTGCGAAGCTTCTTTCAACTCTCGACGAGCTTCCCGACGTATCCTCGAGCCCGATTGCTCCGTTCGTTCGTCCCTCGAATCCTTTTCCACGAATCTCACCTCTTCTCCCTCTCGCGCATTTTCCATTGACTCTGACAATGAATTGTTTCGGAAGCCATTGACGTATTCCGATCCCCTCCGAACCGAACTCGAGTCTACGACGATCGTCTCCTCGCGATTATCATCACAATCGCTATTGCTTTGATCGTTTGCCATATGTGAACTTTCGTTGATAATCTCATCGTCGCTCGTTTCGGTATACGATCGCCTTACGCTCGTCGTATCATTCGTCGAGTTTCGTTCGTCGAGTCGAATCTGCTTGTCTCCTGCATCGTTAAACTTGGTCCACTCGGCCATACTGAAGAAACGAAGAATACGGGAGGGGGGAGAGATACTCACTTTCTCGATTCACTTTTTTCTCGATATATCAAAATACTTGCGATCCAATTTTCCACTCCGTGAAACCGATCGCGTACGATGTACGATACGCACATATGGACACATACGCACGAACAATCACACACGGTAACAAAAACTCGAGCAACTCTGTATTTCGCAAGGGAATTTTCAGCGGCCCTTCTCGTGTCAAATCGAAACGATCGATTCAATAGAGGTCTAGTTTCGTCCTTGACTTAAACAACGGTAAACAAGGCCACTCGTAGAGCTGCCTGGTGAACTGACGGCGCAACGGTAACAGGGATGCTGACGACCAGGTCGACGTAAAGTTGTTTGGCGATTGATAGTCGGCACCCGGTCGACCATGCAACGGTCCACCACCATTGCAATTGCGGCCCCGGATTCTCCAAGTCCAAGTAGCACTTTGATTACTTGGGACCACCTCCTCCTCCGCGAAACGTTCGTCAACCCAGGCACCCATGCGGCGAAACGTTCTTCTTCGGTTCTCGCGTTGTATTCTACAACAAAGAAAAAAAAAGGTCCAGCTGTACGTCTCATTGTCAGCGATACGTGTTGCGTCTGGATACGTCACATCTGGAGAGAGAATCGATGGATGAAATAGACAAAAGTGAATGATAGAAAAGAAGGACAGAAGGATATAAATAAAGGGATAAGAATGAGGTAATAAATACGCAACTAAATTTCGAGCGATATAAATCACGATTATATATAAATCAAAAGGGTTTAAATAATGTATATAAGCAGTACTTGTGTCGTTTGCGACAGCAAACGGATTCTATAGTATATTTGTCAGAGAGCACGTTTTTCCGAAAGGGCAAACTATCCTTAAGGTATTAGGGTGCAGTCCCACGTAGAGAAAAAAGAACGGAAAGCAAGCACAGTGATGGGGGGTAACTAATCAGAACGTTTCTCCAAATATCCGTTCCGATATGATTTTATATGACCGGGTTCTCTATGTACCAAGAAAAACGGAAATACATAAATATTAAAAATCATTTTTTATCAATTATACTTCATACAAATAATTAATATTATAAGATAATATCTGTCTATGATAAATGGAACGATCTCATGGAATATATTTTATGGAAAAACAAAGATAATTCAAAATTATTGTAAATTTTAGATTAGAATTCTTTCCGTTTTTTCGTAAAATATCGTCCATGGGGAACCCAGTCATATAAAAGCGGAACGGAATGAAAGTGATTGGTTACCCCTTACTATGCTTCCTTTCCGTTCCGCTTCTTCCTCTACGTAGGACTGCACCTTTAGCGATCTCTCTCTCTCTCTCTCTCTCTCTCTCTCTCTCTCTCTGTCTGTCTATCTATCGTTTAAATCGAATCAAATGATACATGTATATCCCGTCGCTAAACGCAAGGTGTAATAACACGACGATCAATGTGACGCACGCAGTCACGAAAAAAATGTCTCGCGCGCTCGGCTATATTTACTCGCTAAAGCAACATTCTCGAGCATTATTAGACGTTCCAAGTTCGATGTTTGGCAAAGACACTCGACACAGTGTGACTCGCTTCTGGCATTTCGTAACCGGCCGAAGTAGCTCGAGTTAGAGTCAGCGATTATAAATGAAGCTCATTGTGTATGAGTTGCTATCAATTTAAGGATTTAACGGTGGCCACGATGATCACGAGTGTATCATACGATCTCTTTTCCTTCTTCTTTTATACCTTCCACCTCGACCCACGATTGTAATTTGTTTTCAAAGTTTGATTGCTGGTATAAGCAAAAATTTCAAGTTCGTGCAGACGTTAAAGGGTGAGTGTCGAGACTCGACGTGACGTAACGCGACGCGACGCGACGCGACGCGACGCGACGCGACACGGTTTATGCATATGATTTGTCGCCGTGCTGCGCCGCGATACTTGAGAAAAGTTCAACTTTTCGATGCACGAGAGATGTCTTTTATCTCCCAGTACTTAATCGTTTTCTCAATAAAATTACATACAGACATATTCCCAACACCGCCAATTAAATTTTTTCCTTTTTTCAAGTAATAGTACATTATATCTCAATGCTACTTTTCAGTGGTATTCATATAAATCATTACGCTTACATCGAAAAAAATCATTTCTTTGGTATTTTAAACTTTTACAATTTTTCGTCAGGAAACCAAGCACATCCAAGGGTTAAGACTATCAAATACTCGATCTCATTACGAAATTGCTTATATCTTTGAAACATCAATGAAAATATATATAATAGTATGAAAAAAATTGAGTTTTAAAATTGCGTTTACTTAATGTCTACTTACTTAGAAAATGACGCTGTCAGTTTCAAAACATATTTTATTAAAATATGTCTCTCTGTCGCACGGTGCGCACCCGTTGTGCTTCTTGAAAATTTACATATTACAGACCAATTCGATGTTGAATGTTGAAAAGCCAGTCAAATATGTTATGTCACAACTTGTCTGTCCTGCAGCGTTTGTCAAAACTAATCGTAGATTTAACGCTGACCTAGATCTTATTGGGTTATTTAACTCACAATCAGAGGAAGAGGACCATTTAACTTTTTACGTGGAACCTTAACACGCGAACGCGAGTGCTGCACACTGCGCGTAAATGCCCGAAATATAGAAATTCACGGTATTATAGACACGCGAAAAGTGAGCAAAACTGCCAAAAGTTTAACTATATATTTCGACACATATGCATAAAATATACGTAAGTAACAAATACGATACATTCCGATAACATGGAATATCGGCGTCCAAAATAATACAAAGATAAAATAATTGCCCTAGTAACTGTCTAATAGAAATTAATTTTTGTATACGTAGAAACGACTTGTCGATGAAATATAGATTTGAGAGATAAAGCATATTTTAGACCGTTCACACACATGTTCAAAAAAGACAAAATTTGTAAGAAAAAAAAAATATATATATACACAAGTAAAAACAAAATGTAAGGTATTCAGTTAGAAGGCTTAAGGCACTTAAGGCCAGCTGTCTTCGCATCGGGTTGGAAGGAATTTGATAAAATTGGTGTCCGATTTCGTATTATACAACAATCGCGCGATACGAGTTATCGAAGGCACTGACGCAAGGCGACACGTATCTTATTTCGGCGATATCTAATTAGACTGTTTCGTCTATTTTTAAAAATTCTGAAAATTCCCCAAGAGACAATCTGAAACTCGTTTACTCGTTCACTCGTTCCGTCGTTTATATCCGATTCGGTCATATATGCGGTCATATGTGTAAGAACGAAGAAATAGGCGCCTTTCGCCGACAAAATTTTACGCAATTTTGGCTTCGTTCCAGTGAGCACGGGTAAACCAGGGTACGTTCACGGTCCAAATTCAACGCCAGCACGGTGTTATATCGTTTATATCATTTACGCATTAACGTTAGAGCGTTGTCATAATTTCATCGATCCCATCGTCGTATACGATCCGCGATGTGCGCATATTTAATTTGCTGCAAATCGTTTGTCACAGTTGTAACATTACTTACGATTTAATCGAAGCGGTGCGGCGTATGCTCATAAATCATAAATCGTAAATAATCTTAGATCTAAGAGGTGAATTCAATGAATACGTTCCTTGAGAATAAACCGAAGATACACGACGTACATTACAAACGTATCAGACGTAAAAGATAATTAGAGAAGGAATCGATGAATTAATGAAAGATTTTTTTATGATTCGTTGAAGCCCTTGAAGCACGTGTAATGCCAGAGGGATGGCATTAAAAATACGGCTTATACGCCCTCCGTTTGTAACGCCGCGCCGCGCCGCGCCTCAGGAAGGTTTATTTATTTATTTATCAATCAATATTAACAAAATAATATTAGAATAGTATTAATGTTCGACCGAAAATTAAGTGGATGTCCATTAATCGTTATCGACATCGGCATCGGCATCGGCATCGAACCGCGAACCAACTTGGAACTTGGAACCATGTGTCGTGAGTCGTGATAACGTGCGCTCATCCACGCGAAGCATCGCATCGATCGTACTCGTGTCAAGTAAGCGCATTGGTAAGGTAAGCGTTAGGTACGCGTTCCGTACGTTTCTAGTTTCTATATACAGCATTTTCTTAGGAAGAATGGTGTAACGCGCCCGTACGAGGTTACTTTACATATAACTCTCATCTTACAGATGTCAAAAAGTACCTATTTAAATTTTTGACATGTACAATTGCAATAAAAAAAAAACCGTTTAACGAAGCAATTCAGAAGAATATAGCGCAGCGTAGCGAGATATGTAATGTACAATGCACGCGCACATTGCACGGCATGCTAGAAAAAAATAGCGTGTAACGTGCTAAGTATCTCTAATTAGTAATTATCGAACCAAAAAACTTGGCAAATCGATTAGATGATTTCAAACGTGCGTTAATTGGATTATAACGCGTTTTTCATGATATGCTGAAAAATCGACATAACGCACAGCTTATAAATACTGTCGCATCTCTCTCTCTCTCTCTCTCTGTGCTCTACATTATCTCATTGTCAGACATCGTTACCGTTTATCATACTCGTTCAAGACAACGTATCTCGCATATATCATATATTAATTTCACGTTTCGCTTCAAAGGCACACTTTTGAGAAAACTATTATGTATCACATCCTTAGAGGCAGTCTGTCTTTATGAATTTTTACCGGTGAGAACGAATAACATATATAGATTCCCAATCGCGAGCAACGGCGTGATTAATCAGATTAATACAATCACGATGCGCGATTTCTCAGCTTACAAGTTCAAAAGATTCAAAGGTCGTATTCTACGGTGTAAGAGTATACATGTATAACGCGCGAAAAACAATACTTAAAAAATTTCAACAACGAGAACTGTCAACGAATTATTCATCATGCTTACGATAACCTTTGCCGTTATCGAAACTCTATTTATTTCCTGCTCGATTCCGCTCGGACTTAAGATCGCGTATTTTAGCGTACATAAGCGCGACGTTAAAATGAGAGCCAACTTAAATACCCTACCATATCACAAGTATCTGTAGTAAAGAATAGGTAAAGAATTGACGAACCATAATGAACGGTGATGCGATCGGTTACTTTCCGTTATCCAAGCTGTTCAATTCCATTCTCGTTTAGCGAAACGGCACGTCGAGGCACGATCAGTTCAAAAAAAGCGTAAGAAACGTAGCGCTCTAACATCCAACTAAGTAATATTGCGAGGTCGCGCAGCTCGCTCGCTCGCTACCGCTACCGCTTGGCCTTTGCACGAGGTCGAACACCCGCGTTCGCGAGACGGCGAAATCTCCAGATCCCGCGAAATATCATCGCAGAAGAGAGAGAGAGAGAGGGGGGGGGGGAAGGAGGAGGGGGAGAGGAAAGAGGAGGAGGGAGGAAAGGAGAAGAGAAAGAGAGAAAGAGAAAGGACGTACGCACGCGTTGTCACGATCGCCGATGGCGACGAACCGCCGATCCACGAGCGAATGCGTTAACTCAAAACTCGAACGAGTGCGCGATTTAGGCGAGAGTCTGTTCTTGGTCGACGCTAAAAGTCACCGCGATTAGCGAGATGCTCGAGAAAAACGATCGTCGACGACGAACGTGAATCTCTCTCTCCCTCTCAGTGATCCGTCATCATGTCCGCGAAATGATATCTTTCATCTCGGGCAGCTCGGGCTGCGCTTTGACGCAAAGTTTTCCGCGCACAAATATTGGAGTTCGGAATGTTTCTCACAATCAGCTGCGAAGAGATCGCCGCCTCGTTTTGCCGCGCGCGATCGGCATTGCGCGTGTCGCGCGCACAGAAGGATGACCGGGCTAATACTGATAGCTGGTACCCGCTCTCGCTGATACATATGACCATTGGCTTCGAACGCGTTTCGTCGTGACGTCACGCGGTGTGCCGATCTCGAACGCACTGCGACGCAGGGAGGGTTTACTCCGAAAAGTAACATGATGCTATTACTTTATCTTACTATGCCGATTATCGGGAAAACGCGTTTCGTCGATTGATCATTGATTAATATCCTTGGATCCTCGCGCTAGTATACCGTTTTTGTTTTTATCGACCAATACAATTTTGCATTGAGATAATTACGAATCGCGTAGGACGGCACTTGAAAAAGCCGAACAATCGAAAAGTGGCGATTGAACGGAAAGCTACCAGTCTCTTGTACTTGTAACGTCGCACAAAAGAGATCCCGCAAAGGGTTTTCTCTTATAACGTATGTATATCTGTAGAGTTAACTAGCTATATATATAGTATGTACTATTGGTGTGCTTGTTATTTGTATTCGTTATCGATTATATGTACACGAAAGCAACGATAATTTACATATCGAATAAAAGTATGAACACGAAAGATGCGCAATCTTTAAAACGCTTTCCAATCTAACGACTCGTGGCCACACAGTATAACCACATAGCTTCCATGTATAATATGAAATGCTTATCACGCGCGAGTCGTAGAATTATACAGATAAGAAACAGCTTTCTTCTCCCGCTTGTACGTACCGCTTTACTCTATACGTATTTTAAAATTATAATATTGTAATATGCGCAACATATTACCGCAATATTACAACATCTTACCACCTTGCCATCAAGCTTTAATTATAGGTAAAGCTAAGATTTCATTTCATTTCCTTTTCCTTTCCGTTCGAAATTTATAATCGAGCGATCGTCATATTATTAACGTAACAATGGATTATTTTCTGAGAAAATCGTAACGTTTACGTTACGTACGAAGTAAGTTATCTTTTTTTTAATTTTTTTCCATTTTCTCTATCATATTCCTACAATGATAGACTAGCTATTCTTTATTTATATACGATATATACGATATATCGCAGTTGTATCGTAAAAGAGTTTAGCATCATAAAATTGCATCCTCGATACGGAGATGATAAAAGTATATATAGAGCTTAGAACTAGCCAAAGATAAGCGTAATAGCGTTCGATAATATCTTATCTTTGTACGTGCGTTTCGTCAGAAAATGACGATACAGGGAGTGCTAGACATTGCGTGCGAGACATTAATTTTTTGTTCATTTTGCGTGTGTGTGGTTAATTGGTAATTTTATTACTATCATTATATCACCATAAACGGGCAAATTGCACAAAACGAAACACGAACGAAAAGAACAACTGGAACATTATGCATCGATATGATATAAATATATAATTATACACGCTTATGTAACAGTTCGTCGAAAGACAAACATAAAACAGCATCACGTTCACCGCATCGGGAAAATCCCGTGTAATTGAAAGACAAGTTAAATACACGATACGATACGCTACCGACATCCCACTCATGTAAATCGTATATATTATACAATGGTGAAATTCTTCAAGACTGCACAAACCTCGGAAATTTCCTAAGGACACGTGGATTTCCACGTAAAACATTTGGCGAGGCAAGAGACAAACAAAATAATTATCACGGGACGCGAGCATATATAAGACGAGTGTATCTTCCCTCAAAGAAATTGCCAGCCAAGTCATCCAACTAATTTCTATTCGATGACAGGATCGGATTTATGCGTAGAATCTTGTGATTTCCCACCGATAAATCGACGTAAAGTCTTCCATCTATAGTTCCGTCATGAGGATAATTTTATAGAAACGCACGTTAAGTGTTTATGCACAGGTGGCAAACAAACTATATCATAGGTATTTATCCTCATCGTAAGAATATTCGTAAAAATTTTTATACAAATCGCGGAAAATTTCGCAGGCAAAAAGATGCAGCAAACGCAGCGTGCGCGCGCGTGCAAGCGAGAGAAAGAAGAGAAACTTCATGACGATTAACCACGTGCGTTAAATGCTGATTAATAAACTAGATTATAATGAAAAAAAATATACGCGCGCGTTACGATGATACGTCAGATCACTTAGTCTTGACACACGCTCGAAACTCGCACGTGTATGTACACGTGCTTTGCTTCGTTATTATTTAGAATTAGATATATCTTAAGCTTAAACGTCAAAGTGATGCAGCATCCATGCATCTTTCCGCCGCGCCGCGCCGCGCTGCTCGGATCTCCGCACTTGACTGAAAATACACGCATACAATCCATCCATTAGAAATATGTTGCGTTACTTATAGCGAATTCGGACGCTTGCACTAGTGCACACTGAGTGCGCACTAAGGCTTGTTCTAAATCAATTGTTATATTTACAGATCATCTTAAATACTTATTAGTCTGTAAAATAATTTGTACAGCATCCATATAGATATTACAGATTGTTTTATTGGCTAAAAAGTTTTTTAATGTGTATTTAAGCGACTTTAAATACTTTAAATATAAGAATTAGATTATAAACAAGCCTTAGTGCGCACTCAGTGTGCACTAGTGCAAGCGCCCGAATTCGCTATTAAATTCAAACAAGAACAATCTTTTGGGAAATATTTGTTTCGTAAACAGCGACAACACATTTAATCATTTATAATTTAAATCAATGTGTATATATATACATATATAAAACTGTAAGAATAAACACGCTGGAAATTAAAAGATGCGACACGAACGCTCTGGTTTATTCTTCAATTCAATTCTTATGAGAATCATCAAGTCGAAACGGATACATCCGATATTTATATACGCTTACGACAATATAATCTCATCAGTCATCACGCGCGCGTATATACGTTGTGCATGTGCACGTTGCACGTGCACGTGCACGTGCACGCGCACGCGCACACGCGTGACATGCGTAAAACATGTCGGAATGCAAATTGCACGCGACTATAATAAGAGTCTCGCCTACCTAATAAGGCTCATATTCGATAGGTAGTCATTAGTACATTAGTATATCGCGGTAGATATAAAATGTAAAACGTATAATATACAATTGCATAGAAATACGATTTTTTATTTAAGGGGGGAGGATCAAGTAAATGACTTAAATTTTGCGATTTTTTTTTGGAAGAGAATAAATCGATTGTTTTGAAAATTAGTGCATGTTTTTATTTAGTATTTAAACTACACACGCATTTCATGAAGAGGCAACTTCAACCAGCTACTGCTCAATAAATTTGCATTATTTTTATATACATAAAAAAATTCCTGTGTGTAGTTTAAATACTAAATAAAAACATGCACTAATTTTCAAAATAATCGATTTATTATTCTCTTAAGAAAAAAATCGCAAAATTTAATTCATTTACACTTGACCCTCCCCCCTTAAATATAACTTGTATGTATGTTTCTCATATACAATTGCGATCGATTTATCGTTCTGGGCAATAAATCAGATAATACTAATCGATTCATAAAATTGTTAAACTTAATAAACGATTGACAAAGATTTATCACGGATAAAAAAAATATCTGTAATTAACAATATGATATAAATAAAGTGACAATTATTAATTGCAATGTTATCTGCAATACAAAGCATACAGGATGAATCATTTGACATTTCTATCCAAAGTGAAAATTGGGAAAAAAAAAAAAAAAAAAAAAGATTTTTTACGCGTGTTTTGTGCCGAAATATGTAAAGAGTACTGTTATTCTTTTAAACAAAACAATTAGTTCTTTTTTCACACACAAATCGATTCTTTAATTAAACGACAATGTATATTAAACACAAATTCATTTTTTAGCTTTTTCAACATTTTTAATAGACATTTTTGTTGAATTTTTTTCAACTGACATGCAGCATCGAGTCTTTCTATGGAAGCCCATTACCAAATTCTGTACCGTAAACACATTGTTAAATATAACTTGTAACGTTTCTCAAAAATGAACTAGTAAAATGTAAAAATCTCAAAAGATTCACATGCTAAAATTATCCGTAAATAAGCTTACGTTTCAAATTTTATGCAACGCTTTCAACATTTTTGAAAGAATAAGTAAAGCACAAGTAAACCCTAAAGCCCCTTACACAATGCGAGGCGATATAGCGATAGCGATAACGACGAAATTTTCAACCTATCGGAAGCCAAGCCATGTATATCAGTGCTGCAGCTTTGTCGGCAATCTTCAGCAATCTTGTCGCTATCGCTATCGTTATCGCCACGCATTGTGTAAGGGGCTTAACACTAATTGTAACACTATCTGAAGACGCGATCGAACGGTGAAAACTTTTGCATATCGCGAATAAAGTTGATGTGTACCTATATAAAATTTAGATGTCGTTAACGTAAAACATAATAGATATGACAAAATATAGAAACTATAATATTTATATGTATACTCTATCGCTTTATTTTTATAAAAATGGATATTTCACACGATACATTAGGAAAGCGAAGGAGGAAATCGTGAGGAAAATTTGAGGATCTAGATTAGGATCTAAATCTAGCGATAAATGAAAGACGTTTGAAATACTACGCTGTGAAACTGGCCAAGTATTATACGCGTATTTCAAACGTCTGTTTTGTATACACAAACAAGTATCGTAGAATTTTCGAGCGAGGACAATCGATGTCCGTGTCAAGTAGAAGTAGTAGGATGTAGGATGGCGGAAATAGTAGCAAGTATTTGCGGAAAACCGGCCGTATGTACGCTCGTACCGCGGACCGCGGCTATCCAAAAGGGAAGATCAGCTGGTCGCGTTATCATAACCGCAACGGCTGTTATTGATCCGCAGCCGCAGCCGCAGCGCAGAGCGCAGAGGAAGGTTCCGTACGCGTACGCGGTCATGCAGCAGCGTGCGCGCATAGGCACATAGGCTTCTACTTGTGTAACTTGTACACGTACTGGTAAATCTGAATCTTATCTTATGAGCGCTACGAATGCTGACGAATGCTACGATCAGTACGATGTACGATTGATAAAGAGCGCCGTGAGGCATGAGGCGTGAGGCAGGGCTACGGCTACAGCTATACTCACCGATGCTCGCTCTCTCTCTTGCTTGCTTGCTTGCTTCCTTCCTTCCTCCCTCCCTCCCTCTTTCCCTTTCTCGCTCTCACTCTCTTTCTTTCTTCCTCTCTTGAAACCGATGCTAAAAAACCGGAATTAGCCGCATGATATGCGCGGGAAAATAATCCGCTGTTGTAGCTGTCGACACTTGACAGTCGCCGATGGTCGCTGATGGTCGCCGCGAAGAGGGCGACGGGCGACTTTACTCGACGTCGACGAGGATGACGAGTCGCGCGCTCGGGACTCGGGATTAATCCGAATCCGAGGGATCAGTAGCAACGAGAGGACCTTTCCCGCGAGAGACAAAGCGTTAAGCGACGACAAAATCTCACGACGGCACGATATGATCTCTCTCAACTCGGATACAAGTCGAGATTAAAGATTAAAGCCGAGCACGGAGACACGCACCAGGAAACCAATATCTCTTGGGCTCACGCTGTAGTCGCGGTATCGCTTTCGCGGCGACAAACGACACGAGCCAAGGGTGAATTTTGACCGATTGACTGCGCGCGCACCGCGCAAGCGGGCCAAGCGGCCAAGCGGCGCAAGTCGCCACTCGCCGCGGTGCCACCGGCCGCCGCCGCTGCCGCCGCCGCCACCAACTTGCCCCCTCTTCGCCCTGTTTTAACCTCACACTCTCGCAGTCAAATCGTATTGCAGATATCGTATGCAATTTCACTTCTCAATCGCTATATATGTGTATGCGTATGAGATTCATTATATGCTAATTTTTTTCCATCACCTCGCCTAATCAAATACTATTTCTCTCGGTATTGTACCGACAGCGAAAAACTTATAATTTGTCAATGACAGGTAAAGTGGATGCTAACTATCGATCATCATGCACAACATTTATAGATAATTTATCAAATATATATAATATATGTAGCGCGCGAGACGAGTTGAGTTGGTATCTGGTCACCTGGGTCACGTGAATCATACGTTGATTTTCCGGGGTTGATTACGTGCGCAGGGCGCAGGGCGCAGGGCGCAGGCCGCAGCGCATCGCGCAGTCAGCTGTCAGCTGAGTCAGTGCTGAATGTACATACATACACGTGTATATACTGTATATAGCTCTTGCTTGCATGCGTGATTTCACCCCACGAAACTTGATACAGTTCCCTCATCGTAACAAAGAGTTAAATACGACGTAGGACTTAGGTAAATCGATCTGTTTCAACATGAAGCCAACACTCGTGGCTGACGAAATGTTTCCCGAAGGAGCTGGACCTTACGTCGAATTAGAGGAGGTATTGTTATTGTTGTGTATATAGCTCTGATAAGGTTAGAATAATATATATTGATGTGAATATTGTCAATGGTACGTTACTGCGTACCTAAACCCGTACGTTCTTTCACGTGCTATCTCATGATAAAATGTTATGTTCTCACGATATTAATTTCAGGTCGGAGGTAGTAGGCTATTGGTGGATCTTACAGCTAGTGAGAAAGCTGTTCATTCGGAATTTTTCAATGGTATATCAAACATTAAATTACATTTACAAACTTATATATAGCATTGTAACCCTCCAAGCTCGTACGAGAAATCAAAGACCTCAGATCTCTTTTCTGAAAACCTAAACATTTTCCAAAATGCAAATGCAGTCCATTTAGAGAGATTTCAATGATATATTAAATATTATTTAATTCTTTAATAAGTATTTCTACATATTTCATAGAAGATGAACAACACACATTTCTTTGCATAAACAATAATCCAAGTTAACAGAATATACGATTAGTTTATTGAAATACGTGCTTCTTTTCAGAGTTTGATGATCTTTACGACGATGATGATTTGGAGTAAAGCAGCGTTCCTAACAAGTTTAACTACACAGTGCTTTTGTACAGATTGCAATTAACTTAGTATCGAAGCAGAAAATTTCTTCTTCATGTAAATCCATGCGAAACATGGGTACAATGTATAATCAACGGACATCATATATGTCATCAGGTGCGCTCAGCAGAAAACAGTGTCAAGTTAATATTTACCACTGACAAAATAATCGATCAACGCTCCCTTGTGCTGCATAGTTTACTATTTCTTATTTCGGTATAACGCCCACCATAATCGACACAATTATACTATTACTCTTTTGATTCTTTACAAATACCAAGGATAATCAATTATTGCATTAATCTCAACATTAATGCAGCGTACCTTCGATATATTTAATAAAAAAAAAAAAAAAAAAAGTATTCAAGATGAAAAGTTACGCAATAGTTTTAAAATAATTTCTTTCTGTTGAACGCAGCCATTAAATGTAGCATGTTTATACATATGATAGATATGAAAAAAAATTTCATTTTTTTTAGTTTGCTGTAAAAAAATTACTGCAAACCCTTACATAGTATCGTTATTCAATACACATCCTCTCCTCTCTTTCAAAAGACTAACCGCAAACTACAAACTTCATATTATAACATTATTACAATTTATTTGTATTTTTAATTCGAGTCAAATGTGCGCCTGCATCTATCGTACGTCATTTTACTGCTTACCACAGACAATTGGTATTATAAACGTGCCATAAGAAAATGAGTACTGGTCAATATATCTCGTACACATAATATTATGATATTGTAAGATTATAATTTATAATACATAGACGCTAGTCATATAAACTTGTATGATGATGCACAACTAAAATATAGCACCCCATTCAGTCATTCATTTATTTCGATCATTTCGCGTGCGCGCGCGCGCGCACGAGTGCATCAAACCATTTTATTACTTGATACGAAAAAAAAAATGCCACTTCGATCTGCCAATTCAATCAGCCCAATTAATTGCTACGTTTTCTCCTTGGCCCCAATCAACATATTTCTCCTTTGACCATTCTCATTTACCTCACAGATTTACATTTCGCTCACTTCACAATTATCAATTCTTATCCTTGTTCGATATATGTTAAAAACTGGCGACCGGGGTGAAGACGATATTGGCAACAACGACGATATTATTAATGTTGGCATATCGCTGATGATAGTGGCGAGTATCCTAAAATTTAGAAGCAAAGTCCCTTTAACTGTATCTTAACATGGCGGATTGATATTCTCAAGTTTTGAATATGCTTATTATTAAAGTGTATTAATATCATTAATATATATTGAAATAATATTGTAATTACTGCAGTTAAATATTGTACAGTATGAGGCACGTTTTTATATGTACATGTAAAAAATATATAACAAATCAATGAGAGGGAAGAGGTGGTGGGCGGGGCTCCAGAGGGGAGGAGGGAGGGGAGGGAGAGTAAACATACGAACCCTGAGTCTGGCCTTTGAAGAGTTATTCGGGATGCTAGTTAGCGTCAAGATCACTATCAGCCTGATCATCTTGGTCACTTTCTTCCTCGTCGTCCTCTTCCTCCGAATAGTATTGAGACGGTGGCGATAAAGGATCTTCCGATAATGAAGTATGTGACGACGACGGGGGCCGAGAACCTTCCAATTTCATATCTAAATCCTCGATCGATGTACTTGGACCAGGAATAGTTACTGGAATAAACTTCTCTAAATCGCCTGATGCTAACTCTGCAACGATCGATCCTTTTAAACAAGTGGACTCAAATTTAAATATCCATATACATATATATATGTATAAAACAGACAGCACTTACGTTCTACATATTTCTCGAGTGATTTCGGAACCATTAATTTCGCCTTTTGCAAATTTTCTTCAGTGCATCCTCCTTTTTCTAATCCTATAAGAATATTCAGAGATTTATAGCATATTTCAGCAAAATATATGAAATAGTGACTAATTGTAGCATAAAAAGTAGTATCGGTATTTCTTTACCAAAAGCTAGACCCATTTGCTTCAGCACTTCGATATCGTCATGAATTTCAAACTTATCATTAAAATTAAACAGGTACTCGGTTCTGTAACAAAAAAAAAACGGATTAATAACTCTCCTTTAAATTTACATGTGATATTTATCGATTATTGTTTTCATCTTTTTTTTCTGTTTGACATACTTGTCATTTGAAATGCTGCAATCTATGACAGTCTTTTTACTGGTATTCACAATGAGGAATGGCAGCTGTATGGCAGAATTGGGTTTCGGTGGCCCGCGAAGACTCTCGTTTAAACGATTACGTTCAACCAAGTTCTTGAAAGAAATGTGAGAGAGGATTAGCTGGTGCAATTGCTGCGTTTTAGCTTTGATTCTCTCAATCTTCTTCTTCTTATCTTTTTCTAATGCTACACATTCCTGTAATGAATTAGTGGGCAGACCGAGCCACCTGATTTCTTTTTTCTCTTTCGAAATGATATTCATCGCCATTAACACGTTTAGAGCATCGTATACGCGTCTTCTAATATTTTTCTGATCGTATTGCTGAAAAAAAGAGCCAAGTAAATTTAATTGACAATCAAATAAGTTCGTCTTAAAGAAAAATACTTTTTGAAGCTTATAATTAACATACGGCTATTAGGAAACAAATACCTGATCTGTCAGAGAATTTATGTGAGCAGGATTAGTGAATTCACCAACCAATTCATCCGCTACTTCATTGTAGGAAGTGGTACCTTTCTTTTTCACTTTCTCACAGACTTTCATCGAGAAATGTCTCAACCCTTTCCCGACCTTTTCTGCTTTTCTCCGTTTACTACAATAATAAAAAGAAACAAGATATATAAATGGAAATTTAGAGCTACATGATGGAGTAGATTGATGTAGAGTATTTTGCAAGGTGTGGTGAAAATAAACTCTTCTTTGTGTGTGTGTGTGTGTGTGTGTGTGCGCGCGCGCGCGTGTGCATGTGTGCGTAATAAAATAATTGCATTACTCAGGCACAAAATCGCCACTTTCCACATCTTGTCTTTTTCTAGATCCACTGTGATCTAATATTGGACTGATAAAAGTTTTCCCAGTAGCATCCTTAACAAGTTGCGAAGTGTTAGACTGCTGTTGCTGCTGCTGTTGTTGCTGCTGTTGGGATGCAATAGCTTGTTTTATGTCGCTCTGAAATTGTGTATTTGTACTTAAGTTGTCACTATAAAACTTAATTTCCACATTAAATTGTTGCTTATTCACAAAATTATATCTACCATTTGTGCAGAAGTTAGCTGTATGGTCTTGGTCATCATAGATTCCCCTCCTTTTGATGTTGTCACTTTAGTATTTTGCAAAGGTATTGTTACGAGTCCTATAAACACATGTTTAATGTTGTAGACACATTTCCAAATGGTAATACTATGTTTATATAATGCTATCGTGTATGGAACATTATGTAGAGGAATGTCAGAGAGCAAGTGTATGGTTTAAGGATTTAGGTAATGACGAGACGGAGAAGTGGAAAAGGCTGTAGAGTGATGAAAACTAGATTTAGATAAGGGTAAGATGTTGCGGACATTATGGAAGAAGAGAGAGAGAAGAAATTATGTAAAGAGAAAGGAAATAAATTAAGCCAGAGATAAGGCTGTGATAGATTAGGTTTAAGTAGTTAGGTTAGCTTAAGAGAGTAGTTAGTGTACGCGTGGTATGGATAGATGAGTATAGATAAGATCTTTTAATTGTAAACCAAGTCCCTTCCTGGCTAATTTGTAAAGCTGAAGTAAATCTATCTAATGCTATCATGATTATATGGAAGATTAAAAAGAAAAAAAGCTATACTTACTCTGACCAGGTGTAGATGGATTCTGCAAGCTAATAGTCCTGAGAACTTGTGTATTCGATGATAAAACCTAATTGGAACGATACATATGTAATATTTAGAAAAATCTGATTTCCAATGTTATTGCACTAACTAAAACGAAATATCAGAGATATTCTGCATAACAATATTTAAATGTAATTTATTATTGTTTATTTATGGTTCTCTTACGAAATACTTTCTCACAAAAATAAGTTACATATTATCAATATATAACCTCTGTATTAAACTAAAAACCACACGTATGATAAACGAGATATAAAACTGACAAGTACCTGCGTTTCTTGATTAGGAGCTTTAAACACTTTAAGGCCACCTGCATTTGTTGTGCTAACAATACCACTTAATGCTTTATTAGGGGTACTTTGCACTACTTTTATCACTTGTGGATGTCCTGCAATGAATTGATTTATTCATAAATACTTGTAAATCTTTATCTATATCTATATCAGATGTGTGTGTGTGTGTGTGTGTGTGTGTGATATTTTAAAAATGTATCTTTTGGACAAGAAAAAATCTAATTTAATATAACTTAAATATACCTAATCTATCAATTTCAATCTATATAGCCATATATGATAAGATGTACATAGCATATGTAGACAATTGTATGTATTATAATATTGAGAATATATAAAAGTGAAATAAATTATATGTGTTTCGTACTTTCAGTTAGATTGATATTGATATATTTACGTTATCAATTCCGTTTTGACACTTAAGCAGATCACACAGTTCTTATGTCATCTGATGACAAACTAATAACTATGTATTAGAAAAATCTTCCAGGCATACCTCAGTAAGTCGCGAGTAATTAAATTTAGGAATCATAAACATTAGAAATGTTAACAGATCGGAGAAGAATGTGTTTTTCCAAGTCTAATGTTTAATTCTATTCAATATACTAAACTTTTGAAAGGTACCGAATGTAGAAAGCATGCCGTTCCTTTCATCCGTATTCGTATAAATAATATATTGCAAAAAATAGAATGTCAAGTCTCTAGATCTCTAGACATAAAAATGGAACATGGAAATCTTCGTAACGCTACACGAGACACAACAAAACTCGTGTCAGTAGTAACAAGATTGCAGGAAATGATATAGTTTTTAAAAGAGCAACAATCAATCTCACCTCATCTCAGATAAAATACGTTAGTATCGTATTTTATCAAGTGGAGTAAGATAAAATGCAGAGACGACAAGCAAAAGAGACACATCACATGTTTACAATCGAGTATAAATCGCCTGCCTATCCATTGCGTTGGCGTTGGTTGGATAGACGTCACTCTTGCTGAGCGTATACCGAGCGTACGTTTCCCATTCTTATCAAGGAGATGAAAGAGACAACTGACATAGGAGCGAAATCGTAATGTATAAAGCTAGGAAAGAGGGCGAGTTACGAAAGGAAAATTCGGCTGGAACGGGGAAAGCTGTGATCGTTGCCGTTGTCCCGGACAAACCTGATTCGGAGTCGGGAGGAAGCGTATGCGCGTAAACTCGCAGCCGAGGGCGATTCTAGCAATCTCAGCGATCTCGGCGATCTCGAACCGCGGCGACAAGGCGACAAGGCGACAAGGCGGAAGACGGAAGGTGGGAAGCGGAGGGCGGACGCGCGCCGTGACTTTTATTCGACGTTCGCCAAGGGCGGCCAAGGGTGGCCAAGGATAGCGGAGCCGCGCACAAAGGCGACAGAGGGAAGGATCACGAGGTAGGAGGCCGAGACTACTGTCGCCGTCGCCGCCGCCGCCGCCACGCCGAGTGCCGACTGTGCGTTGGCGCGCAGTCAGCACTCTCTTTCTTAGAATTCACTCACCATTAGCGTCGTGTATTAGGAAATTCATCGTTTTGTTTTGCTGTGTCATCTCCGACGTTATTGGGCCGTCGTTCGGCTGAGGGCGATAGCGCGGATGGGCCGTGCGAAAAAGGGAGATAAAAAGATCATAAGGGCTACACTCCGCTCGAATCGTCGGCTCGGCGTATATCACCAAAATGGCGACCTCGCATATAAAAGCACTCCAGAGGGTGATTTGCGAGGTGTCGCGCGCCGCGTGACCGGCCCGATCCGTCAGCCGTGGTACGTCGGCGTCTCCTCTATCGCGATCGACCGCGCATAATTCGCACCAGCCCGGAATAATCGCGATCTACCTGCAGCCAGTCGGACCCGCAGCTTCCGCGTGCATACGGACTGGAAATGAGCTTGGCGGCACGACAAAGCTAAACAGCTGATTGGCCGGCCGCCGGTCACATGGTCGCCCTCGTTCCACGTTACGCGGCGCCTCTCGCGCGTGACACGCGCGCCAACGCGCCAACGCGCGCGCCAATTTCTCTCCTATCGTCCTATCCCATCACCCCAGTCCTATCTGACCTATCTCGCTTCGCCTCGCCTCGCCTCGCCTCGCGTTATGCTAGGTTTACAATGCGAGTCGTAAGAATTGACCAATCACACTCGATTATTCGGTATGGTTATACTGTGGTCACGTCTTACGACTCGCATTGTAGACCTAGCATAAGACCGCTGGACCAATGAGCGTCTTATGTAAATTAATATGGTGACATTATGCTGGATGCCCATTGGTTTAGCGGTCTTATGCTACGCTTATGCTAAGCTATGCATTTTGTGTGCAATGGCCTTTTAATCAGAACTCACACTGGTAGTAAGCAGAATGTATATACATACATACTCTACAATCTCTACATGCATATTGGCATGCTTATTACCAGCGCGAGTTCTCATTGGCTTCTACTTCTACCAAGGCGCCAAGATGAATTCTCCCTTATGCAGAAGTCTGTGCTCTCAGCTTAATTTGTATAGCGCATAAACATGAGCATAAGTAAATTGCGTGGTCCATATACATATGCTATGCATAAGGAAATGGACCAATCAATTTCCTTGCATATGCTTATGAACCTATATTCAAATCCGAATATTATCTAGGAAAAAGATTACTACGAATTGCGAATTATCCAATTCGGATGAGAAATTTTCGCTCGATCGCGCCCATAACCGTTTCCTATTTGATATTGAACATTACGTCAAGTCTTTATAAGGACTTGACAAGTACCCACTATTTATAACATAATACAAAAATATTCGAAAGCTTTACTGCAATGACAACGTTATAATGACAAAATTCTTCTCAATATAATGCTCATATGTATATACATGTTACAACGTATCATACATGTCAAAATCGAATTGATATGTGATTTTCTTCCACATGTTATCCAAACCAATGATTACCCATGCATTCTCTGGCCCATTCCGTTTGACATAGCCAGCACCAATGATAGCCACATCCCGCTCTCACGCACACCATGTGCATGCAACCTCCTGTAAGTAAATAATTTTTTATTTATAAGCAAAAAATATTTTTAATATTTTTATATGTTCCTTAGAAAACAAAATCTCCAAGATAAAATTATGGATCTCTTGAACCAATGTTTCGTGCCACATATATATTCCTTATATATATTTTTTTAATCATTCCATCCAGTAATAAGGTTTATTTTTAAGTTCAGATATGTCTGAAAAATTAATCTCTATGGATGTACCGTCTCGCTCGGTAGGAGTTCTGCATTTAGGACAAGGTTTTGTAGATATCTGTATCGTTTTTCTGCTAGCTTCCTCCCATTTAGCCTAAAAAGTACAAGTAAAAATCAATCTTTGAAAACGTATAGATGGTGGCTTAGATAGATTTATTAAATTTAACTAACCTCGTTAGCTTTTACGGGGTCTACGGAATAATTTCGAGAAGAAAACACATTCGTAGATGTTTCCAAAGTTTGCGATTCACATTCTCCTACGTGATATCCTTGTAAACAAATTCTGCAAAAAACATACTGAAAAAAAGATAACCGAGTTAATACTTGGAGAATTACAACACGGTGTTGGTTGTCAGCGCGACATCCGATTAATCCGGTCAGCGATGCTCACATGATTGACAAGTGTTAAAAAAATGATAACAAATGACGAAGCATTTAATAGTTGAAATATTAATACTACAATTAAAGTAGAAAGTATTAATACTACAATTCAATAAGAAATAATGCATTTAAGTTAAAAAATATGCAAGTTGTTACCAAGTTCGTATCTTTTTCATTATATTTAATATACAAGCACGCGGAACAACCGCACAGAGAAGCACTTTAACTGTAATCTGTATTTTCTTAAAAAATGTCATATCGAGAATATTACAAAATAATAGTAACAATAATAGTAACATAAAGTTGTTTTTAACGCAGGATTTAATCCAAGTCCATGCGAGAATTTATAAGTGAGGAATGCGCAACTTACGATACAATCTGTGAATAGACTGAATAGAAAAGAGAGGAGAAAAAGTTGAGAACATTTCTTTTATGCAAAAAGTGTCACTTACGCCACATCCACCGATACACTGAATTTTTCGGCATTCTGCGTCGCCGCCATCTTCCACGGAGGGTGGTATAATACCCATTCCACAGTTTGGTCTTGGACACAAAAGACCACCAGCACGTAAAACATGTTCCTCCGTACTGAATCTCTGATATCTCTCGTACTATGCATTAAATATATAATGCATTATGAAATTCTCAAAGAAAATTTAAGTTGACAAATATGAAATTATATTGCCATTATATTATTTACCTGTTCCGCGCTAAGAAAATGGAAATGGTGAACTTCACGGATGAAAGAATTGGAGCATCCAGCAGGGCAAGGCAATGTATAATATCCCTCAGCAGTATCAAATTCAAATTGTCGTTCGTGCAAACGAACTGTGCAATATTCGCGAAAGCAATCAAGACAAGTCACATGACCAGCTTCACATGGAAATACCAGCACAGTTTCTCTGTATATGTATTAGAATATTAACATTACTATCCACGTACTATCCATGTGCCAGCAAAGGAGATACTCGTGTATTTTCGTAATATACTATTAAGGCACCTGACATCTGTGCAAGCCAGACAAGGAATATTCCTCAAGTTTGGTTTAACGAGATAAAGGGGTACAGCTTCGTCATTCTCTCCTAAACTGGGATGTTTGGCGCATTTGAAATAAAAATGTGCGTAAGAGACTTGATTATCTGTCTCGTCGCTAAACACACTTGAAGTAACGGGACAATACGCGCTCTCGCAATGTACGGTTATTCTTCTCGGTTCCAAAACGTCTGGCCAACATTGAGGATCTCTATCGACCGTTACAGCACCACTACCGCATCTTGCGCATTTGACCCTTAATTTACCTGCCGTCACATCTTTACACGGGGCCGAACAGTATACATAAAAGTGTGCTCGATTTTCCTGCTGCACTGTCGATAATAATAAAATAACAAATTAATCACCCGTTACTTGAAAAATAAATACATAATTAATTTAGAGCACGTCAAGTCATGCTGCCACCTTCCAAGGATAACGTTTGTCGATCCGACTCATCCAGATCCAGGGATAAGTCCATAAGCGTCTCGTTCATAGGCTTGCTACCACTGTCGTTCGAAATGGACATAGATTCCGACATAGATTCCTCTATAGGACTCGTGGTATCCTTCCTTTTATTTAGCATTTTATGCGGAGGCGTCCTTACCGCGTGCAACGTGCTCTGTTGTCCTAAATCACACTCCTGCGATGTTAAATGCACGGATGCGTATTATAATTTATAATCAAAGATACACGAGTTCAAAAGTATATATTTATGTACGCGCGAGCGTATCATCTCTCTCACCTCTATTATGGTCGAATTGTGCAGCTCTTTACCTGCAAATATAATTTTAATATCCTCCGGTGCTATTCCCATCCGAGGAGCGACAATCTCCTTTAAATTTTTAATATCCCATTTTGGATCTAATTCGACGGCAAGAGTATTGCCTGTACTCGTTTTAATATATATGCTTAAAGAGTTGGATATCTTGCGTTTGCTAAACCAAAATAATCGTAACATTCCGAGAAATGCGTTTTTTACGAAATTAAACCAAAAGCTCATAACTCGTACCGGTATCGTTTCGGAGCACGGTTTTAAGGTTTTGAGGTTTGGAATTTGGACATGAGACGTGACGCTGATTGCTGCGCATAGCAGAAAGCAGCCACTGCATATGCATAGTGCATGTGCAATGCATGATATGATATATGCCACTGATGCCAATAGCCAATGGGCGAGTTTAGCAGACCAAGCCGCCAATGATCTATCAACAATTGATTCAAATGTTTGAGTATCAAAATAGGCTCATATTTAAATGATCTCGTTATAATCGAAAGAAGAAAAATTTTGGATCGGATGGTATACAGTAGTTATTAAACCGGATTATAAATTATATTAAGCCGTCGTGTAAAGGTAGTTTTATAACGCACATGGCGATGGCGAGCATTTCGGACATTTTGGATTTGTAGGCGATTTCCGATTGGCGGTTATCACGCACCCGCTTTTCTGACTTTTCTGAGAGATGCCATCATCTATCTAGTTACTATCTCGTCGATGCCAAGACTAACCAATAACGAGGAACGAGGAACGAGGACGAGACGAAAACAGAGACGAGAAAAATGGAAACATCGAAAGCTAAAGCTCCAATAATGGCGTCTCCTCGACCCAAGTCACCTCGAGTGCCAGTTTCCACGAAGAAAGAGGACAAAGAGGAAAGCTTCTGGGATAAAATCGGAACGCTCGGACGGAAGAAACGTATCAAGGAAGGTACCGTCCAACTTTCGTACGTTATAACAACGCGAGACTTGCACGAACTTGGTTACGTCATTTTCCGATGAAGCTTATCTTGTATCCTTATATGGAGCGAGACCGTATATGCGGCGGATGAAGGGACGTGGAGTCGTTTGCAGTCGTATGAAAATAGAAAAGCTTTCCATTTTAATTTCATTTTATATTTTACTTGGATCAACCACCTGTAACGTCCGTAACCGTAAAGCCCCTTGCACAATGCCAGGCAACTGTAGATTCAATTTCCATACCCTACACAGCCCTACATTGCAGCATTGTTTGTGACAAACAAATTTTTTCGATCGTCAATTCAATCATCTTTTATTATGCCGAAGAATAAAGAGTGTAACTTGAAGGACTTGTGTAACAAGAACGTTACATTTTTAGTGAAAGATGTGCAGGAAGAAGGAAAATATGCGATTGATTCACCAGGGTATGCCTCTAATCCTGACATGCCACCAGAGGAATATGCTCTCGATGAGAACGAAGAACGTTCCATGATAGAGCCAAAATCTTTGGAAGACTCCAAGCTGCAAGAATTGATATTTGTTTTGATCGAATGGATCAATGACGAATTGGCCGATCAGCGAATTATCGTGAAAGATATCGTAGAAGATCTTTACGACGGACAAGTGCTGCAGAAACTTCTAGGTATGCGTATGGATATACATATATATGTATAAAAGTTCCAGAAGTTTGGCGGTAGAATGAAAGCTGTCACTTTGTTCAACTTGGCAAAAATTCTACTTTAGAAAAGCTGACTGGGGAGAAATTGGACGTGCCTGAAGTAACTCAATCTGAGGAAGGACAGAAGCAGAAACTCGCTGTTGTCTTGTCCGCTGCTAATCGTGTCCTAGGTCGATATCCACCTTACAAGTGGAGCGTCGAATCTATACATTCAAAGAATATCGTTGCTATTCTGCACCTGCTCGTTGGCCTAGCACGGCTCTTTCGCGCTCCCGTTAGATTGCCGGAAAGAGTTGCCGTTCAAGTAGTTGTGGTACGTAAAAAGGACGGTCAGTTGATACATAGAACGGTGAGAGAAGAACTAACGACAACGTACGACGATTTGGGGATGCGTTGCGAGCGTGATGCATTTGATACACTTTTCGATCATGCACCCGACAAATTGGCCGTTGTAAAGAAAGTAAGCTTATTAGATGGCCTTGTACTTGCAGTTTTGACTTATCATTCTTCTCACATTTTCGATATAATACATTGTTCATCATCCATCTTTTTTTCAGTCATTGGTAACATTCGTGAATAAGCATTTGAGCAAGGTACATTTGGAAGTGACCGATCTGGATACTCAATTCCACGATGGAGTCTTCTTGATTTTGCTGCTTGGTCTCTTGGAAGGTTTTTTTGTCCCACTAGGTAGCTTTCATTTGACACCAAGGACCATTGACCAAAAAGTTCATAATGTTTCATTTGCATTTGATATTATGCGAGATATTGGGCTACCGAAGCCAAAAGCTCGTCCCGAAGGTTTGTCATTTCTAGATAAATCGCTATCATTCTAATCTTACAATTTTTCCAATCTTTAAACTTAACTGGTTTTTTTTCTCTTACAGATATCGTAAATTTGGATCTGAAATCTACGCTCCGCGTTTTATATAATCTCTTTACGAAATATAAAGGGATAAATTAGTAAAAATGATGTATTGAATCGCTTTTATCGCACGTAGCTTTATGCACAAATGTTGTGTTACTAAAAGTGATAATCTAATTATCCTAACAATCGTACGTCGTGACGTGATTCTGCCATCCTTATTAAGCTGCCATTGGAGAGCTATTTATAGAAATGGATTTAATATATGGATCTCACGTGTTTAGCTATGCTTTTTACATTTCATCAAATTTTATTTTCTTCTTTGAAACCAATAAATAATCGAGAGCAAATTTTACACACACGCACACAAACAAAATACATGTGTTTATTTCAATTTTAGACAAACAAAAATGTAAAAAGAAACGTAAAAATGTACAGCTAGATACAGAGCAGAGAATAATGTATTAAAAGCTTCAAGTAACCTTAAGTGCCTTTTTATATTCGTATAAAGTATATTAAGTATAATATATATATTTTATATAAATAATATTTATCACAGTTTTTTGAATTATATAGCAATATTTATTAATAAATGTGTTACGTGTCACGTGTTTCCTTATTTATTTCGCTTATAAAGTATATGGCAGTATGCGAAAGAAAAGTCTCGCGCGAGATCAATCTCTAATACACGTTAGCATCGCATATTTTCTTTTATTACATACAAGACAGAGGAGACTTAATAAAGAATTAAAAGGTGGCGAAGCAGCAGTTTAAATTTAAAAAACTAAAGAAAAATATTGGACGTGCTTAAAGTATTTGATATACATATACTTATAAGTATAAGGTATGTATAACGTGAACATCAGCCGCTCACTCCTTATTCCTTTGGACGTGTGTCAACACGATCGTACCTCTGCCGCCGTCGCCGTCGTTCTGAGATGATCGATCGGACACGTACGTGACAGCTGTCTATTGTCTATTGTATTCTTTTTGTCTGATGAAAACGAATAAGTATTCGGTTTCATGCACGAGACCGATGGCGCACGTCGATATTCGGGATCATTGAATATATACATATACATATACATATATACATATATGTATCTACATAAGATGTGGAATAAGTATACATGTATATGGAAAATGGCATCGTGCGCCAGCGCGGCGATCCTTTTAAATTAGATATTCTTTTTCCTCTGTGTCTTTTTATTCTGTCTCTTTTGTATCGATCATAACTTTGTAATGACTATTCGAATCCACACGTTGGTAGCGCGCAGCGCAGCGGTAGCACGGATAGCATATACCCTCTTCCAATGCTACTGTTTCCTAATAAAAATATTAAAAATTGATTACGCAATAAAATTAACACGATAATTCGATTACTCGCATCTTGCATCGTCACGTACGCTCGCTTTTCTCATACATGTGTCAAATGTGGGTGTCGCGTGTCGTAGTATAGTATTCGTGACAATCGTGACGATTGACGATACTTTGCTAAGGAGCGAAAGAAGAATATGTATCCACATTTTTGGGGGAAACACGTTTTAAATTTTCAATAATTCTCGCTGCAATTAAAAGGTTTCATTTAATTCATTATTCTTCCTTGAATTTAATTTAAATAATCGCTATCATATGTCCGTATAATTTCAACTTTTAACGGTGCCGCGGTTTCGATAATTCAACAATAGATTTACATTTTATTAGCAACCCGCACGGGGCCACGGCCACGGACACGGGCGGGCGGACAGACGGACGAGGAAAAAAAGGTGTAGACTCGAATCGACGATTCGGTGATAACGTGTAATAAGGTAGTCGTTTCGTCCTGATAAGAGTCCAAGATGCAATTTCGTGGGATACGCTTCCGAAGCACGCGATGTCGCGCGACACGGACTTGGTGTCTTCACTGTCTTCAGTCGCTTCAGTCTTCTCTCGACTTTTCGCCCTTGACGATCGCTGCAAGCCAGTGCAGGCTGCACTGCTGCAGCGGCCACAGCACAGGAGATTCGTGTGGCAATTTAAATGAGCACTCAGAGCATTCGCGTGCTTCCGTCGGGTCGGGATTACCTCTTGATTGACACGCTGTAATTGTGTTTCTCTCACCGCGCGTGCTTCCCGGCTCCCCTCCATTTAATTGTAAATCGCATATTTAGCGCGGTATTCGTGCACTTCAGTACTTGAGTTGGTCCTCGGTGTGCGACGTAATAACAAAATAATAGCAATGTCGACATTGTCGACTAATGATCCGTCGGACGTGCCCGTGCCCGTGCCCGTGTCAACGTCAGCGTCTGACAAGTCTCTCGACGATGTCGATGTCGAGATTCCCGTTGATTCCGAGGCTCGCAAAACTAGTATATTCACGCTCTACGCAAAGATATTTCGACTTCTTCTTACGGCGCAGATACCGAATTTTAGTCTTCTCAGCGATGAGCTACGTAACAGAGAACTCGAGAAATTGATATTGCCAAGCGATGAAGAATGGCGTCACCGAGTTTATCACAGTCTCGTCGAGTTGCAAAGAGAAAGGGACTCTGAAATAACCGAGGACAGAAGGTAAGAATACATAAAAGAGTATTGTACATATTATAATACATGATAGAGAGAAAGAGAGACGATAACGTGACGAAACGTCGCATACGTCGTATTATATAAAAGACAAATGTAGGTTTAATGTTTTTCCCGTTTTTCCTTTTCTTTTTGCGACGGGTAGGGTAGCTAGGGCAGATAGTAGCGTATAATACGGACAGACCAGTCGCGTGACGCGTTCGTGAAATCAATCCATAGTAGAATGTAGAATATACGATAGATCTAACTCGATAGAGGATAGAGTGGATCGATAACTTTTGTTTGAGGATGGAAACTCCGCGCAAGACGTCGACGTCGCAAGATTGGGATTGGCGTCCCAGAGAAAAGGGGCATCTCCCGAAAGGTAGAAGAGACGAGAGCCATCAGGATATCGACGGTTCCTTGGCTATATCGGGAACTGGTGCGGGCGGCTCGATGACGGAGGCTCGCGTCGAACCAGGCTGGCGTATCAACGATCTCCTCTTGGCGGCCAAAGTTTTGCAAAATACACGACCTTCGCCGAATTATGCCAACGAGGCCGAGATGAGACGCGTCTTTGGTTTAGTATACGACGTTCTGAGATGTGAGCATTGAGCAGATCGCTCCAGATCGCGCGTCCTAATAGCCGCATCCTCCGACGAGTATCGTGTATCTTCATTAAATAATACGTGTAATATCCGCAATCAACTTCCGTTGCAAAATTTGCAGATAAAAACATTTTGAATCGTACTCTCGAGGACGGTGGTTTTTGGTACCGAAACGGTGCTCTGAAACAACGAGAACGGGTAGTCTGGTTGTTACTGTACGATATGCAGGGAAGAAAATTTACCCGGCGCGGCCGACGTGATGAGAGCGCGATCGAAACTCGAAACAAGATATTCGAGGTTTGTTCTAATTCCTTCGTGATTCGTACCTCTTGCTACTATTTGCTGCTATCTTCCCTGATACGTATAACTTGTAAACATCATTTTTTTACTTATTTATTTATGCTGTGTGTTTTGTACTTTTTTATGTTTGTAATTTTATTCGCCGTAAACTAGCGAATTAAATAAATTAACATTTGCTTTTAAGTAGCTTCAAGCATGAGACAATACCGGCGTGTCGTAAAAATAATTTTGCGTAAATTGTCGTAAAAATAATGTTTATAGGTATACCAACGCGCGAGTGCGTTGGTATAAAGAGCCGATTCATTAAACGTGCGATAATACTTTTTGCTTTTTGTGTGGCTGTTTCAGACTTTCGGATTAAAAGACATCGAGGATGCTCTTTTGAAAGCAAAGACGCATTTGGCAGCGAGCATCTCGCGTCTTCGTATCGACGGTTCTGCACTCAACCTTGGTTATTTCTATAATTTTTAACTGTAATCTGCATGACGATGTTTCTTACCATCTTAGAACAGTGCGCTTAACAGAGATCACAGAGATATCAATATTATCAATGTTTGTGAAACATTGATCGCGTCAACTATACATTAAATTAATATGTCTTTTATTTATATTCCTTTTGTATCCCTATTTTATGCATATCCATATGACCATGTACCTACTTATGTCCAGACGAACTTCTTCCGACGCACCTGCGTATCGCGGAAGGAATAAGTTGGGCCGACAAAGGCGCGATTGCTTCCGGATGGATTAACACCATGAGAGTATTCAGTAAAAACGAATTCGTTGAGGACATGTCGAAGCTAAAACTCGAGCTTTGCGACGATATCGAAGCGGCGGCGGCGGAGCTCCACGAGAACAAATATGTCTTCGATCCAATTTGCCCAAAAATGATTAATTTGCACGATAAGGCGCGAGAGAAACTCGCCGTGTCCGATTTGGTTCGCGACCACCGATTCATATTTCTGGTAAATATAATTCTTACTTATGCGCGCGTGTACATTACACAAGTATTGTCCACGGTGCGAATATAAGAACATCGATAGAATATCGAAGACGGGAAATTGGAGAATGGAGATTTATTTAGGAAAGATCTTTGTGCCTCGGAGCGGCTACGTTGGCGCAGGCGATACGTGTCGCGCGTCTTTGTGGTCCCGTGATTCTCACGCATTCGATCGCCCCTCGTCACACGGGCTACTTGGCGGGTCTCTTGGCTGACATCGAAGATGCTGGGAGACTCTTAGCTTTCGGTGCTGGAGATGATCGTTGCGAACACGAAGCATACCTCACAACCTTAGGCTTCACTCTGCAGCAATGTAGAATATTTTCAGAAAAGTAATACGAAAGACGGTTCTTTTTTACCGATTTACCACTACTTTTATTATTGCTATTATACTACTGTTACTGCTATTGCTGCTATTACTGCTAATACTGTTGCTGCTGCTGCTGCTGCTGCTGCTTTGGAAACGTTACAATTCTTTATCGTTAGATATATTTCGCCACCACCGTCCGTCGAATTGGAAAGAGCGACTGTCGTTCTAGCGACTCCCCCGTGCAGCTATACCGGCGTCCGGGACGTCGTCGATCTTGCTGTTGCTCGCGGTGGCGACACTAATTTATTAGAATCGTTAACTAGCGATACAGCGGGTGGGATCAAGCAGCCCCGCGCTCTTTTGGCCGAACAATTTTCCACGCTCAAATACGCACTAACCAGACCAAATATACAGTTTCTAATATACGAAGTGCATACGATCTTGCCGTCCGAAACTACGGAAATGATTCGACAGGTTGTGGAATATGCCAATCAATTAGCCACGGAGAAATACATTCGCGAGCATCCCGTGAGTGATATCTTGTACTATTTAAAATTTGACGATCGCGATCGAACACGCATGTTCCGGCTATATCGTATCTGCATAATCGAGTTATTTTATAAAGAAAACTATGCAATGAAAAGTTAACTTACACTTTGGTTGCTTTGCAGCCGAAGAGAAAGACTCTATCCAAAGATACTAGCGGAAAGACTTCAAAGATAATCAAAACCGATACGTGTAGGCAAGAACAATCGCGGGAATATTGGGAGGACCAATCGCAGACGCAACACGAACAAATGTTTTCGTGCAAGCAGGAGGACGAGGAAGATGAAAAGTTGTTAGATACTACTGATGTTGTTGTAAGATCATTCATAAACATTCATAAACGTCAACGCGTTAAATTATCGCTTATCTCATACGCGAACACACACACACCCATCATCTTAGAATTTACTAATACTAGTAAAATTATCGTTAGATCCCCGATAGCGATTTGTTCGAAGTGGGAACTATCGATGAAATTTATGGCGAGAATAACGAACATACGTTAGATCCAGGCTGTTTCATCGCTGTAATCAAACGAAAGGAAATGATGCAGTTTGATTCGCTTTTCATGATCAAAGTGGCAGAATCGAAAGGACTGTTTGGTGATCCTAATAAGAAGCGAAATCCAAAGCAAAAAACTGAAATACCGCCAGCAGCGGCACCGCAGACGTCGCGAATCAGTCGCAGATGTTTCAAGCGTGTCAAAGTATGTCAAAGTTATATACTTGAGTATTTGGATACCGGCTTGTCTGCCCGGTATAAAAAAAGGTGCCGCGGACGAGATATAGATATAATTATTTTATTTATTTTTCTCGATTATACAACTGATTTACGACAATTTACAACTTGTCTCGTTGACAACTGCCACGTCGAGATACGTTGGCTCACCCCTAGTAGTCACCGGTAGTCACGATCTAATTTATATATCTTCGAATGCGCAGGTCGAAATAGATCGCGTAGCAGCGCCTACGCATGCTTGGATATTGCGAGCTACGAATAAGCATCAGTTATGTCCTCGTCACAGCCGACGCATCGTTCGAGATGAAAAGTTACTATCGATGCAAGTACGTGAAACGCGAAAGCGAGATGCGCGCCGATGGTGGCGGGATGCAATCGCCTTCCTGATCGATTCGGATAGACACCGAGACACTCGGAAGGATTCCGCTTTCCTGCAGTTTTATGCGACGCGTTCGGATCCGTTTACGCAAAAACCGCTATATCCTTCTCGCGCGAAGAAGATGACGTTGTCGAACGGCTGTCGCCGTTCTCGACAGGAGAATTTGGCAGTCAACTCCATCTAAAATTCCATCTAATTATATATAGTTGTGATAATTAATATTCTTAATAAATACTTTTACGATTGGAACGATGTGAAATCGAACCGGCGCGTGACCGTTAAAAGAGAATATCGTAAGCTTTTAACTTCTGTAGCAAGAGATTTATGAAGAATAAAACCCGCATATTTATATCCTAGATCTAGAAGGAAAGAGAAATAGAAATAGAAAAGACTCTGATGGTAGCTCTACTCTTTAATCAGGCGCAAGTAACTGGGACGCTTACTGTTGGTTCGATAAGCAAGTGTAATAGCATATATCTTCGTTGTGCATATTTTTTACTTTTTCCGTCTCTTCTTGGATATTCTCAACACCAATGGCATCGTATTCTTTAATTTCGTCACAATTTCTAATTGATACGAAAGCGAGACACTTTTGACGGCTGCTTGAGCAAGATTGTTATCGTGGAAAGATGGATTTTTCCAAGAGCTCGAAAATATGGCAAACATTGGGTCTCGCTTCATAATATCAAATGCGTATGCAACATTGCAACAACGCGATAATCGATGTCAACAAATTGATTTAAGACTATTTACATATTTACAAGACTGTGTTCATATATTAAAATATTTACAAAATACGATTGTCATTTTGCGATCAATCGCAACCATTAATATTTGCGATTTAATTTGACCAGTTATCTTGAAGAAGTGCAAGTTTTTCAAATAATTTCAAATAAACGATAAAGGCTTTCATAAAATAAACTCTTATTCGCGCTACGAATGATAAATAATAGATAGTAGCAAAGAACCAAGAAGTGTAAAGTAAGAAGAAAAGTATGTATGATGTATGGTAAAATGTCATGTGCTGGTCATGGGAAATAAATTGATAACGATCCATAACGTTAATGATTTGAGGAGACTGACGTCGCGTGAAGCAACTTTCAAGTGTCGAAAAAATTGAGAAAATTTTTATCTTAATAACGTCGGACACGTTGAGCGTCGGACACTTGAAACATGTATTCAATATGGGCAAAGTTAGGATTGTCATCTTGTCACCGTGGCGTCAAAATGCGATACAACTTGTTATCGCATTATCGCAACGTCACTAAAGAAGCTGTCATAGAATCGGTATTTAAATTGCGACATTTCTCTCTCCTTTTTTCGCTTCCCTCCCCTTTCCCTCCCCTTATCTCCTTTCCTCTCTTTCTCTTTCTCTGCCTTTGTAGTTGAAACTTTTTCTCAGAAATACGATCTGTATCGGCTCGATAAAGGGCCGCTCGAGAAATCGACTTTAAACTTGGAAGATGCTACATACGCGTTGAAGACAATGAACTATATACGTCGGATGGAGAACAAGGCCGCAGAGTTGTACAGACAGCGGCTCATCAATGGCTTTTTACACTTATACGTTGGTCAGGTGGATGAGAAGAATCTAAATAGCAAAACGATGTGCGCGCCGATAATTGTCGTGCGATACATAGCGAATGGAAGATAAAAATGTAATACTTGTTCTAGGAAGCTATAGCCGTAGGTCTGAAAATGGCTCTGGCCGAACGGGACACCGTTATTACAGCATACAGATGCCATGGTTTCGCCGTCGTGTTCGGTATTCCGATTCGCTCGGTTATTGCGGAACTCATGGGTCGTAAGACAGGCGCGGCCAAGGGGAAGGGCGGCTCGATGCACATGTACGCTCCGCGATTTTACGGTGGCGACGGTATTGTTGGTGGACAGGTAAGTATGCGCTCTCTCTCTCTCTCTCTTTCTCTCTCTCGCTTTTGTTACTCTTGGCTCAAATCTCACCTGGTCAAGTCTATTAATCGGCGCTTAGCGTTTACGATTAGGTACCTATCGGCACCGGGATAGCCTTGGCCCACAAGTACAATGGCACAGGCGCCGTGTCTTTTACGTTGTACGGCGACGGTGCAGCCTCGCAGGGCCAGGTTTACGAGGCTTGGAACATGGCAAAGCTGTGGAATCTGCCGGTGGTCTACATCTGCGAAAATAATAGATACGGGATGGGTACGCCCGTACATCGACACTCCGCCAACACACGGCTCTACACGCGCGGAGACCTCATCCCAGGAATAAAGGTAAATGCAGGTACCCCGTTTAACTGTCCTCTGTTCTTTCATTAACGCTCCTTCGTGTCCTATAGCTAATCCCATACATTTCGCGTACAGGTCGATGGGATGAAGATCGTGGATGTGCGAGAAGCCATACGCTTTAGTAGGGATTACGCACTCAGAAATGGCCCGATTGTGCTGGAGATGGCAACTTATCGTTATTTCGGACACAGTATGAGCGACCCCGGTTACTCGTATCGCACTAGAGAAGAAATTAAAGCTGTGCAAACCGAACAAGATCCAATCACGATATTTACCAAGCTCATCGTAGAGAAAGGCCTTATGACTGAAAGAGATGTCGAGGTATGACTCGTATGACAGATATTTTCAAACTTTTGTGTTTGTGTGTGTGTGTGTGTGTGTGTGTGTTATGCTTGAAATTTTTATGTACGATGACGGTTGACGTAAAATGATAACTGTGCTTCAACTGCTCGTTGTATGTTCAGAACGTACGAACGTCAGTCTACAAAGAAGTCGATCAGGAAGTGGAGCAAGCCAAGGCCGATCAGTGGCCAGAAATGTCGGAAATCTCGACCAACGTTTACGTCAAACCGTTAGAGAAAATTCGTGGTAAAGTTCCTTGGGAATTACATTGAAAGGCAATTAAAAAAAAAAAGTAATTTCCTACTGTAAAGTTCTTAATTACTCCGTATGATCTCTTAGACTCGTAAGATTTAAATTACTCACGTCAGGTTCGATATCGTATTATGTATTTTTGATGAAAATATATCCGGTATAACATAGAAGCAAAACACGTACCTTTTTGTGATTTTTATGATTTAACTGTGGAGAAGCAGTCTAAAACTTTTTTGAAAAAGCTGTCACACACAACAAAATACAGATAAAAGCGTTTATCCATGTAATCCACTTCTTGATCTTTGTCGAGGAAACGTGAGCAGCTTACGTTACATGGGAGAATCCTTTCGCGCGATTTCGTGTGTCATAGGCGCACATATTTTTTATAGTTTTATATAATAAACACACGAATTATCCTTGGTCAACTATGTTTTCCTATCGATCTGCTTGCGACGCGACAAAAGTGCAATTGATTTTCCGTAGAGTTTTCAAGTTTTTGAATCGTTGAACGTATTCAACGACGCGACGCGACGTCGAGATTGGCTGAGAGTGCAGAGTAGAGAGTAGAGTAGAGTGAGGCTCGCCATTTCTTTCGTCGACAGAAACGATCAATTAAAACTGGTGATCGTTTTAAATGACGAGAGCGAAAGGGCACGAATGGTAGAACGGCGAATTGGCAGCAGGAGAGATGGACGCGGGCTCGATGAATGAGTCAGATCGTAAAAGAGGCGTTGGAGTCGGAGAAGCGCAGCGCGACGGAGCCAAGAGTCGCGGAGGGCGAGACGAGAGAGACGTGGCTGCACGATCGTCTCTGCGGGAGTCGCCTTACGTCGCTCGCACGTGTCACGTCGCGCTAATTGAACGTTCTAACGAAACAGTCGCTCGACGATACATGGACGATATCGCATGTCCGAGGGTCATTTACAACGCGACGCACCTTTACCTACCGACGTTCCTTTCATTTTAACTGCGGGCGCAGATACGCGGTTCCACGACACTCTTCGACTCGTGCGATTGTTTCGATAATAGACTCGAGGAACCAGCACGAATCTGCAGCAAGTAACATACTTTTTCTTTTCCGCAAATATATATATATGAAGAGTTTAGTCTCATTTCGACTTGGTTCTACGTCTCTCGTGAAACAGAGCTTGAGATTTGATTAAAGTTTAAAAGTAAGTAAGATGATATCCTTCTCGAGCGAAAGCTACGAGGAACGGCGGATTGACCGAAAGGGCGGTGTCTGAGAGTTTGTGAGCGCAGGAAAGACGAGTGATTTAAGGTGGGACCAACGAAAGGTCGATCGTTCCAAGTTAATAAAACTCAACGGGCGACGACAAACCGCGGCCGCGTCATCGCGCAAAGCGCCGCTCGAGAAATTCCTCGCCTAAATCGCCGACGATGATCGAACTCGTGGATGACACCGTTGTTATTATTATTAATGCACGCGCGCGCGCGCGCGCGCGTTAAATTATTGAGAGCGATAGATATATATCCTATATCGCGAGATGTATCACTTATACATATATATACTTACGCATTTTATACGAATGAAAATTTAAAGCCGTTAGTGATAAAGCGTTATCTACAATGGCTATATCTCGCGGTACATCCTGTAGGAACTAAAATACAAGGATACCGTCACTCGTTAATATCAAGCATTACCATTGCTATAAATTCTTTCGATGGAAAATTTCAGGCTTGTCCAAGTTGCCGCAATTGTTTTATAAAAGCAAACACCCGTGACCGCTGGTATAGGACAACAATATGGAAATCGACATCAACATTAACGATATATTGCGAGGTAGGTATTCCAAAGACAAAGAGACCAACTTTTGCCGAAAATATTTAAATCGCTTCACCTATTCTCTCGCGAATAAATGAATTTTGACGCCATTTTCTGTTGACATGCATCATATATGTACCCCGGCACTCCCCCGCGCCATATATGCAATTTCTCTGAACGACGAAATTCTGTTGAATTTGCACAGAAGTGATAACGTTTCTGGAATGCCTTCGCGACGCGCAGCTACCGCTTACGCTCGAGAGTCTGCGGGAAAAGCTGTTGGTACGCTCGAAAAACACCCTTACGAGCGTCACGACGATGTCATCCCCGGAACCTTACTTGGACATGAAGTCCGGCCCGAGAAGCCTATTGCTGACGAGGAGACCTATCGCCGATTTGGAGGAATACGTAGGAATGGAAGAATCTCAAAAGGGTGGCGCGGCCCCCCAGACCCATTCCGCATCTCGCGCGCACACCCACCACCAGGATTACTACGAGACCTTCGAAAACGAGAGCCAGGCCGCGAGCGCGCCGGTCGCGAATGAATATCCCGAGCAGAACGACGAGGGGCAGATGCTGATCGGAATCTACAAGAATCTATCGGCGATGCAAATTAGAAGCAAGTGTTACAAATGCGGCCCGCTCTACAGGAAGGAAGGGAAGAAATTATTTCTATCCGAAAGTCGCGCCTGCTGGATCGCGTTGGTTGGATCGCATCTGCTCGTCTATCGAAGCGAACGGCACAATCGTCCGTACGCGATCTATCCGATTCGGGGTTACATGGCCCGTCCGGCGCCGAATATGATTCCCCGTGATCGACGAAAGAGCGAATCGGCCTTTGAGATGTACAGTCCTGGAAACGAAACGTTGCAGTTTATCGCCAGGACGCCGAAGGACATGGATCAATGGATAGCGAAGATCTGCGAAGTGGGATGCAGTCGCAACGAGAGCGAAGGGTGCAGAGCGGAAGGCCGCGAGAAGAAGAGGCGTGTTACCGTTCCCTCCGACGAGGCCGACGAGGCCGACGAGGCAGCGCGGCATCGAGATGCAGGAAAATCAGTTGTCGACAAGTCAATGGCCAAAGTCGAATCGACGAGTAACAACAAGAACGAAGTCGGGCGAAAAGATATAGGCGAGAGAGTGCCTCCGCTACCAGCTCGAATACCGCGGAGGCTCCCCTCTTTACCTCCCGCGAACCCTCTCGCGATACCATCTTACAGAGCGACCGTCGAGGGTGACGATGACGACGACGACGACGACGATGACATTTATCATAGAATCGAAGACTTGAGGAATGAAACGCGTTATCAAAATATGGTAGTGTCGAAAAAACAGCAGGCTGATGATAGCGACGAGAGGCAGGAGGAAGCTGTCACGTACGACGACGTTCGTGCGCCTGATGAACGGAACGAGAGAAACGAGAAGGTGGAAGGGCAGATGGAAGAGGAGGACAATTCTCGCGACGCGATATCATTTCAAGAGACGTACGACGATATCGTTACACTCTCGCGAATCAACGCTACGAGCAGCGAAGCGGAACGGAGCCGCAATAACGATGCATTTACCGTCGATGGCGAGAAAGGAGAAGAATTTTACGACGACGTGGAAGTAAGCCTAGTTTTAGTGATTACAATTAACATTTTGCGAAAACGCATGTTACTCCCATCTCTTTTGCTCTATCATTAGTTACTCTATTAAACGATAAACTAAAACTTAATTGTCGTGAAGGTAATGCAAGCATACTATTCTTTTCTCTTTCTCTTTAGAACGATCGCGAAGAGATGAAAAGATAATCGCATTCCGAAATTAAGTAACTTTTCGTCCGTTTGTTCGATACAGAGCTTAATTCCAAACAGAAGATTGGCCAAGAATCAGATCGAAATGTCGAGCAAGCTTCAGAAAAAATCCTTTTTGGATAGAGTTTTGAGTAGAAGAGAATCTCCTGGCAAATCGGACAAGAGGCATCGCTACAAGGACAAAGTTTCATCGAATCCATCGTCACTTTTGGATACGGAAGAAATACCTACTTACGACGACGCGTCCGATTTGACGCCGACGCGGGACGTCTCAGCGAACGGAGGGATTGGGGAGGACGTGCCGGAATATACGTGTCCTCCTCCACCCAGGCCAATTTACCAAGTAAATTCTCCCGCAGGAAACACAAGTCCTGAGCAAACTGAAGACGTTTACGACGACGTTAGCGCCTACAAAAATCATCATCAGGTAAAACGTCTGATCCCCGTACACACGGGGACGTGCATTTATTTCTTGATCAATAGCTGCTTAATTTAATTGATCTTTATATTCGGTATCTGTCTTCGATAGCAAATAATGCCGCACGCGCCAGGATTGGATATATGTGCGAGCGTAAACGAAGCTGTACATAACACGACGCGTAACACAGAATTGGAGACGAACGACGACTCTACCCGAGAAGAGATGGAGCATTATCAGTTACCGCGAAGCGATTTGCGTGTTCGCGACGCTGTGGAGATGGAACAGAACGAACAATTGTACGACGACATAGCATTGTGGGCCGACTTTACGGCGCGACAAAGAGACATTGCCAAAAAGAGGGAGAGCGAGGATGCTAAATCAGTCTCAGTCGGTTCCGATAAGAAGGCTTGGAATCGATTTGCCGTCAACAGAAAGTCACGAGTCACGAGCGATTTTAACTGCTCTGCCGAGGCAAATAAACGAGGCGGGAACGAAGGGCTCGACGAGATGGAGGATTCGCTCGAGAGTAGTGGGTCGGTTAAAAGGAACACTTTTCAAAAGTTGATCAGCAGAATGGAAAATTCTCTCGCTAAAGTTTCCGCGAGAAGCCCGTCTTCGTTCTCGACGACCAAGCCAAGTACATCGAGCAACAGCTCGTAAAGCTGGTCATCTATATCTATATCGTAGGTCTATCGACAAATTTGCGCGTCTCGAAAGAATATATATAGCTTTAACTAGACCACACGTCAAGATAAGCGCAGTAATATGCAAATAAGAGTACGCAAAGCAAATGTAACTTTAATAACATGTAATTATAATTTTCTCTCTCTCTCTCTCTCTCTCTCTTACAAGTGCTTGCTACTCTCGCTAAAGATAAGACGCGAAAAATAAAGTTTCATGAGCGATTTCCGTATTGCGCAAGATTCCGGCTAAATTCGTTCGACCATAAAGAAATTTGTAAAACGTATTATAGTTGGTCCAGCGATGAAAAAGCGTGACGTTGAAACGCTTTTTGACACGCAAACGTGATTTGTACGCAACGGAATAAAATAAAAGACATGAAATAATTTTTTTAAACCGTCCTATCCTTTGGAATCTACCCTATTGCCCTGAGCTCTGACGTGTCCGTCCGGCGCGGCGTCCTGTGGTCTGTCAGCTGTCAGCTGTCAGCTGTCAGCTGTCAGCTGTCAGCGCATGGTGAAGCTAGGTGAAGGTGAAGCACTACTGTCAGGGTGTCAGGTCAGGCTGGTCGGGCACTCGACTGACTCATATACTCAAGCACTTCTACCTGTACATACCTTCTACTGTCAACTTGAGTCTTGACTGCTTGACAGTGTCAAGTGTCATGTGTGATGTGTGATGTGTGATGTAATGTAGCCGGTAGCGTGCGGTTGCGGTAGCGCTAGACTGTGCGTTCCAAAACTCTGCTCGGTCAACATCCGGGCCGGTCCGGGCGGAGGCTCGGAGCAAGGTTTTAGAACGCTGCACAGCTGATGCGTAAAGATGGCCGGTACCGATATCACCGATATAAACGACACGAGCGGATGCGGATAGGCCCGAGGCCGCAGCGTTTGACAGCGGTCAGTGTCGCATTATCTCACTGCACTGACACCGCTAGCACGTCCTGCGTCCTGCGTCCTGCGTCCTGCGTCCCGCAACAATACCGTAATACCGTGATAGGAAAGTGAGAGCTGAGAGCGTTAAGGGTTCCGTAATTCGAATCGAATCGTTTTCGATGAATGTAAGCAACGTCGCCGCGTACTCGACAATGTCAGAGGAACCTTGGTTTCGTCGGAGGTACATCGGAAAAGCGACGAGATGAGCGTGGTAAAAATAATGCGACAGCTCGCGACGATTACCTTTTCTACGATGATCCTGGCCTCGCCGTAAGACATATATATTTTCTCTCAAACAAATTAATCTTTTTCTCTCGCAATCAGTGCACCGCTAGTATTCAATCTACATTAGCTATCGCGATACACTAGCTAGTGTAGATATATTACATTAGCGGACGTCGGCGTCGGTCTCTTTAATTTCTCCCCATCTTTTTATTCTTTCAAGGCGACCCTGCAGATATCGCAGACATTGCGGACATTGCGGACATTGCAGATATTGCTGCAGACCCCACAGACGTCGTATGCATCATCGCGATTAGACGTTCTCGCGGAATCGGAATCTGAGAATTTCTCGAGAGTGGATAGATCTCAAGAGCTTAGCTTTCCAAACGCTGAGTTGAGAGTCAGTATAATGGCTTACGAATCGCGTAACGCGAAATATTCACCGCGTGCTCCGCAGCGGCCCAACGTGACTGGATACGGTTATTCTGGCCATTCACCGCGTGCTCCGCAGCATTTCCAACAAACCGACGAAAATCAGAATGAAAACAATTTACGCGGCAGCAAAGAGCTCTGTCCGGAGATCAGCTCGCAACAGTCGTCCGGCACGCAGACCGTGCAAAAGGTGGACGCTGCGACTATGACGGACCCTCTGCAAATTGATTTTAGGCTTACTTCCGAATACCTGGCGCGTTGTTCCAGTACGTTAGGTATACCGTACGTAACCAAATACGAGGATTGTGGCTCCACGTCTACGACTACGTGTCAAGAAGTAAGACCAAAAATTGAATTTGAAATCGAACCGCAGCATATTAATGGTGAGTCAATCGTTTACTCGCTTACCTTTATTTCGTCATCAATCGCCAATTGTAATTGCATGCGGCAAGATATTTGCGGCATGATATACGTTGAAAAATCTACTTGCCTCTATCTCTGTCTCATCATCGACGCGTCTGTTTAACTCGTATAATTCTTTGCCTGTGCAAGGTATGTCGGTTTACCGTTGCCCCGAGTGTGCGTATAGATTTGACGATCGGGAGGCGCTTCACGACCATCTAGAAGATCATAAACAAAGGCCGCACATCTGTGATATTTGCGGGGCAAGCTTGAAACGAAAGGAACACTTGGATCGCCATAAGCAAGGTCATAATAAAGATAGACCGTATCAATGTAACATGTGTTGTAAAGCGTTCAAACGTAACGAGCACTTGGCGCGTCATATGATTACTCACTCAGGTAGCAAAAATCAAATTTGTACCGAGTGTGGTAAAGCTTTCTACAGAAAAGATCACTTGAAGAAACATTTGCAAAGTCATAATAGCGCTCGAGGCAAACATTTGATGAGTATTTCGCAAAGCAACCTCAACGATCAGCAGCCGAGCGACCAAGGACTGAGTAGTTTCGCTATGATGATGAGGCAATCTGGGCCTCCCCCACTTTCAATTCTACGGACATAGTTATTATTAATTACGTGCACTAGCTCATCTCCGTCTATATGAAGCAGAAAGTTTATTTTTACTATTTTACTTTAATTCATTCAGATGATTTTATTCCATAAGCTTTAATGCGAATGAGCTTTATCCGCGACGTACCTAACTTTGCGAAATGATCCAAGATAATTTGTTATTGCGATATAAAAACCCATGTTCCTATAAGGGAGTATATCTTATTGCTACGTATTTTAACAATAGGTAGATAAGATTACGATAATGTTATCGATTTTGTAATATCCTTTATAATACACTGTACGTGTAGGAAGTTGTGTCTGTATATTGAGGATTGAGAATGTACCTGTTGGAGGGGGACGGGAGAGAAAGGGCAGATTTTTGTGTGAAACTTGAACAAATGGATATTAAAGCTGAAAATAATTCAGTCTGTATCAGTGACGTATTTTACACTATTGAATTATTTCGTATTTTTCCTCTTGGAAAAAACTCGAGTATCCCGTGATAAAGTTCGCTTCCGAAATACTACGATACCAATAGCTATCACAGTTTATATATTACCGCTAGAGTGTTCTAAACAGAATCGAGTTTGAGGTTTAGTCTTTATTGTTGTTTCTCGCGATATTTTTCGTTCCTTCAAGAGATAAATTAACGAACTAGGTATATTACGAGACAATAGAAATGAATCACAAAATCATATATGAAATACGTCAAATTCTTTTTCTAAACGGAGAAGAAAGGTAATGCCAATACAAATTTGGCTATATAATGCAATAACGTAGTTTCTAAAAGTTTACGACTCTGTTAGTTTCTCTTCTCCTCATTCGCCTCAATGAGACAGACTAACTAGTTTGTTGTAACTAGACATTGTAACAATGTCTCTAATGTCGTAAATGTATAAATAAAAATCTGCAATTTTTTTAAATATTTTTTTCAATCATTAAACATTTGTATCGAGTATTCGGAATAATTTGTACAATAATTTTGCGTAATGATTAATAAGAAAGCGTAATAACATAAGATCTTGGCGACTTGTAGCAAGACAGCTGTTAACAATTGTAGAGCGCTCTGCAGCAAAGAATGGAAATATTACCCACGTGAATTTATTGATGCATATCTGTAGATAAAAGTTATCGTTATTTGAGGAAGGTGAAGAAGGTCTATCTGTTTATATAATATCGTTAAAAATAATTTCACGTCTATCAAAACTTTGTTAAATATTGTACGGTGATCCCGTCACCACTTCGCTGTCGTAATTGACGCGAACAGAATATATCTCTGAGTATACCCGAATGCAGATCGTTATTTCACTCCAAAAGAGAAGCCATAAGATAATGTTAATTCTTCCATTTTCAACATTAGTAAGACACGTCATCCGTGTATTGTGAGGCTCCATAAAAATATTGCATTTGTATGAAAATTCGTAGTATTTTATTAGCATTTTCTTATTATATCGTTAAGTTGCGCTCTTGTACATTCATACATGCACGCACAGACGCGCGCGCGAAATAAGAGAACAGGATCTAAAACCCTAAAAAGGAAAGGATAGCATTAACGCAATAATCATAATTAATTTAATAAATGATTATTATATAAAAATATCTACCTCATTTATATAATACAAAGTCACTGAAAATGCAAAAAACGCATACTCGAGTTGGTCGATAGTTTTATCGTCACTCTCGCGCGCAGGAACAGAAAAAATAGAAAGCGACGCAGGATAGAAAGAGGAATAGAAATAGAAGAGAGAGAGAGAGAGAGAGCCGATTTTTCTCGGGTAATGGCCCCGAATAAATCTGATGTGACTTTTCTTACAAATTTATATACATAATATATATAACAAATTGTAAGAAAAGATGTAACATATAAGGGGGATATTACATATATATATGAAGCATATTACCTAAAATATCTAAAAAATGTGCTCAAATATTGGACTTGCAGTCTCGCGATCTAAATTTATCCGCATTTAATATATATGCATATTATTATATATTATATACTTCAGTATGAGTTTCTCTGAATATTTCTCTTTTTTTATTACCCATGACGTTCTTTCATCTTCTGCGTCTATTCAATTTTCTCGTCTCACGGTCTTAGAATCGACAGACATCTTAAGCGTTCTATATAAAAATAAAACATTGACGTTATATCAGAAGAATCGCTTATTAGTTACACCTCTTTCTTGTTTAATACATTTGTCTTGTCCTTTTCTTTCTTTTAAATGCCTTTACCGTGCTCGTTCGTCATGCATAAACTTTTGATTTCACATACAACGTACACAATCAGTACTTATGTACCCTGGAAGACTGCGGTACAAATATTCAGCCAAGAAGGTAGCAGCGTGGAGAATGTAAATTGAGACGGTTTAAACAAAAAAGGATCATAAGGTGTCGATACATTTAGAGTTTAGACGAGATGTCAAGACAAAGCCATCAGGATCATTTTTAACAATTTGCCGGAAGTCCTCGAAGTCGTTTCGCGTTTATATATTCGTGCATAGTATATAAACCACTTGACCGGAGAACTCTTTCAGCATCCTCTTCTTTCCCCGTCTATCGCGTCTATCGACGCTTCTACGAACCGAGTAAGAAAATAAAGAAAATAGCATTAATGGAACGAGATGTAGATAAATAGGAAGACTCGTAGATGACAAGCAAGACGAAAAAATTTATGGAGATTATATTTAAAATTTGTTTCGAAAATACAAACTGAATCGAGCACACTCAGCAGTTCTGAATGTATCGCATTGCGAAGACTCGTTCGGCATCCTATATAATAAGATGTAAGGTATATATGTTGGAAAAAAATCATGCCGTTATATACTGGACAAAAAGGAATTCGTACTTCGAGGTCAGCCGGTCATTTCACTCGTACGACTTGTACACCTTGTTACGCGTCACGCATCTAATCTATATGAGAGAAATAAGAATTTGTGAGCGTTTGTACTATGTCGAGGAATTTGTATGTCTTTTCGTCAATCGCCTGTTAACATATTTGTTAAAAATTTCGTAATCACGCATACACTCGTAGCACACACTCGTAGAGCGACAAGGCGTCGATTAGATAAGCCAAAAAGACTAAACTACGGTCCGCTGAAGATTCTCCGTTAAACGCATACTTAATATAACAACGACGCGCCTGGGCTTATGCAAAATCTTCCGTTCAACGAGATGCTCTTACACTGTACACTCACATTACGCAGGTGATTTGCGCGTTCCGCGAGAAATGACTGCGTCGAAAAATCTCCGACGAATATGACATTCAATTTAATAAGAACAAGCAGAGCAACGTACGTTCATTCCTTCAACTTTTGTTTCGCACGAACCAATTGATAAAATTACATTCGATACGCACTTGCGATACTTGCGTCTTGTGATTAAATTCACTTCTTCTTCTTTGCTCTACCTATAGCTCAATACAAATAATTGAAAGTTTTGACATTGCATATAGAAAAATATGATTCTCATTGCTCCTCCATCTCTTCTCCTGTGGAGGCTGTGTACTTACATTCGAATACATCGAAATGGTGTCACGTTTCCTTTTAGATCTTTCCGCTACCCTTGTCGAGTAGTAGTCGGTCGTTATAACGACTGATCAATTTTCAAATAGCCGTCTTTACGCGATCTATATTGTTTAACGACATATTCGCTGTTCGTAATAAATAAATCGATAAAAAAAAAAATAGCAAATCGATATGCTAACAATAAGGAATCTTTGCAAGTATACGTACATTTGCGGCAAAAGAAGCGGAAAGAGACAAATAATGTCGAATTGGAATGTAGAATTATTCTCGCTTACAAAAGGGTACTAAAGGAAACTCGCATAGTACATCTGATAAAATGGTAAATTATCGAATAATTTAAATACAACGTAAAAGAAAAGCTATATATTGTACATAATGATTCGCATCGAATGGAAATCGTTGCAGATTTGTTGTCGTTTACAGTTTTCTTATTTTTCTGCGGTTTCGCATAAAACTAGTAAGCGCGTCGCAAGAGAATCGGATCTTGTTTTCTCTACGTTGCTGCTAATCTTACTATTATCTCATTATCGTTATTATTACTAATATTATTGTTTTGTTATTATTATTATTATTATTATGATTATTGTTATTACTATGAGTTTTTATTATTATTATTATTATTATCATCATCATCATCATCATCCATCATTTATAAAATCCATATCTTCTTAATTGATCACTTCTAATCGAAATAAAGAATCAAGTTTAACCGACATCTTGAATCAAAACCGAATGAACATGTCTGATACTTCATACAAATGGCATTTCCATTCAGTAATTTTTTTATATTTCTACAATTTCTAGAATCAATAAACATTCGATTTGGAAAAAGATTCAGATACATTGCATTCTTTTCCTAGAGAGAAAAAGGTACATAAAGCATTTGATATAACTAAATTGTTCCTTTTGTCTCTTAAATCGGTTTTTGATTTTGTGAAAAAATTAAGACATTCTGCGACAGGCATCGAGGTATACTTGATAAAATGAAAGACGCAACACGTATAATCCGGAATCAAGTTGTTCAGGACAATTTCTTGACAATCGTAGTCACAAAAAAAGATACGAGATGGGAAAATGAAGAAGACGGTCGCTCGAACCAACGTTATGGAGGCGGACGAGTGTACACGTAGTTCCGAGAACGGAGAGGCACAACGCGCCGCTTTTTCGATCTTAAATCTTACTATGGAAAACTATATGGGTGCGGAAAATCCAGCGCAATATAAAGGCACCGGAAAAGTATTTCTTTTCTTTTTTTGTTTCCTTTTTTTAAAATGCACACACATCAACTATTATCTCTCCTTTTTCTACAGGAACATTACTACATCTATGTAGCTCGACGAAACGATCGGTTCTATATAAAACCATAAGAATCAACTGTTCGCCTCGTCGAGAATCGGAATAGGTTCTTTTAGCTACCCTTCAAAATAGACCTTGAGCCACTCATTTGTTTGAACAGTATGTCGAAGACGTGTGTCGAACTTTGGAAATATTTTCTTCTTTCTCTCATCCGCTCTCCTTTCTCCTCTCCCTCCCTCCCTCTCTCTCTCTCTCATAAATCATAAAGCTATTTCTCGTTATCTTTTATCATTATTTGTCCGCCTGCAAAAAAACAGGCTTACTTTCCTCAAAAGACTTGTATCGTTTTCTACGTATCGGTTCCTTATATATTCTCGATTCCTCCCACATATAGGACGCATGACAAATCTCGCGCCTTCTTCTCAAAAGCAGCATAATGACGTTAAAGGACGACATAGTGATCAAGATCAAAATGGTAGATCAAATTCTGAGACATCACTGTATCATCTTTTAACGTTGCTCTATTATCTGGATTACAAATCGATTCTCTCGGCGGCATCTTTTTCAATTATCAATCTTTACAATCCGGCAATCCGATGGATGATCTCCAAATAAAAAAATCACTCTTCTAAGGTTCATATTACTCTCTAATTAAAACTTGGTTCTTTCTTAAGTTTTCCTTTTTCCTGTTGCTCTTGCATCTTTAGAACTGTCTTTAAGTTATAAGAAAAATTATGTGTACATCCTAAATTTTTCCCTAACATCTGCGTTAAGAAGAAAGCGCGATATTTGACACGCCTCGCGTACGATTCTAAGCTTCTCTTTCGCTGCTCCTTCGCAGATCGTGTGCGAATAATACATTTTGTATATAAACTCTTACTCACTAATTTATAATCTAAGACTAACGCTCTGCCTCGATAGTTACAAGTACGTGGCAATGAAATATCTTAATATAAATTGATCTCCTATGTACTGTTTTTAGTATACACATGTATATATACCAGTGTATGAAATAATTTCAATATATCATTATATTTGAGGTCTGACGAAACCTGAATTTTCGGTGTTTTCTAAACGTTTCATGTTAGAGATATGACGAAAAAGATCGAACAGCGCATTCGAAAGATGTTATTTATCTTGCCATCGCATACACGTAACGATGTATTTGAATATTGAATACTGTAATCAGATTACAAGAACGTATGTTTATAAATATTCTGTAAATTACAAATGTTTTAATCGACTATTTTTTTCAACAATGTTCTCACTAAAATTCGAATCAACAGACACAATTATATTCAAAATTTTTGTTTCTATAATAGTAAATCTCTAATAGTAAATTTTTTTATATTTTTCATCATATTTCTAACATTTCACGTTGCAATATGCATGTTTATACAATATGTAGACACGTGTCTATCGTTACTTCAATACAACATGAACATATAAAGAAAAATAATAATAATAATTGTAATAATAATTGTAATAATAACAATGATAATAATGATGATAAGAAATGATAATAATAATGGCAATAATAATTTTAAAAAGTGTGTGTGTGTGTGACACGTGCGTATCTCCACGCACGCAGCAGTACCTATGGTATTACATATGGTATCTGACTACAGAACATACATCTGTTAGTATGGCAAGAAAAAATGAAGATAGATTTAAAATGGATGGCACAAATATTAATACTATAAAAATGGGAATAAGTATAAACTTAAACGCAGTTTGATAATTACAAAAGATGTTTCCTTTGTCGGGAACAATCACAGTTTATAAAGAGATTTGCGATGTGGATAAATATAAAAATTAAAAACTATCTTAAACACACTTTGTTCAAGAGATAGTGTACGCGACACCTATGTGTAGGTAAGTATTTACACACACACACTTATATATGTATGCGCGCGCGCGTGCGCGTGTGTATTACACTTAAGAAATAAATCTTACATATATGTATATATATATCTATATATATAATCAGTATTCAACGAATGTAACGAATATAAGAAGTCCAACGAAAAATATGTATAAAAACAACGTAAAAAGTCATATAAAAATTATAAAAGATAATTAAGCTTCCATGACAAGTGCTTAGTACTATAAGTCACAAAGGAAAATAAGAGCTCCAAGCATTTGGGCAAATATGTATGGATTTGCATGTAATATACACATACAGATCCTCCACGCAACCCATTACGCATGTACACACACGCACACACACACACACAAATTTTGAAACACAAAAATTTGAAACTATCATAAAAATATAAAATACTTTCTCAACTTTATATATAACAAAAAGTTTTTTAATAAAACAAAATATGATTTTTAATAACGAAATATTGCTATGCTTTTGCTACATTTTTATAAGACATAATCAAAAAATTTTATACTTTATATAAATAATTTTCCTTTTGTGCACTAAAAAATCAAATAGAATTCTATTTAAAATAAAACACACTGTTTTCTAATCGGTGGGTTAACTTGCAACTCACTTATAATGTGTATTAGGAATATGTAAAATTTTTATTCCTTTTACACTATTTGCACTTGTAATGTTGTTCAACAAAAAATAATAAAATATTGACAATTACTGCAAAAATCATTCATATGAATATCAATGCAATAATATAAAAAAAGAAAACAAAGAAAAAGAGATGCGTTAGTTCTCTTTCTCTCTCACACACTTACACACACATTCTCTCTCTCTCTCTCTCTCTCTCTCTCTCTCTCTCTCTCTCTCTCATCGATTCGCTTAGTTCTTAAGTTACATCGATTTTTCATAAAAATATCTTCTTTTTTCCTCGTCGTACACGACATATGGCAAGAATTTTTGACTTATAGTCAAATTCCTACTCTAGAATTCCTGTGGAAAATTAGTACTCTTCCCACATATGTACTTTTGTTTGTGCTATAAAAGCATAGACTATGACTGTTTTTTCATCTTTTATATATTATTAAAAAAAAAGCGTTTTTTTTCTAAAAGATTTGCTTTATACCTCATCGATCTTCTGCTATGTTACGTTTGCGGGATGTCCAATTAATAATTAATGGAGTAAAATTTCTTCGAAACTGTCACAATATATTTGAATAAAATATCTTTTTTATCCTAAATAAAACTGTAATATGTATTTCGCATTAATTTCATTGTTGATAATCTTACCTTAATACCGTTATGCGCAAATTGACTAGAAAAAAATATATATGTATGAAAAAATCATGTTATATACCTAAAAAGAAGTTAAAAAACAAAGCTTCCGTTATGAGAAAGCAAAAAAAAATTATCCCGATAAAAATGATCTTGAATCTGCATTTTGTCTAGTTTTCAGGTAGACAAAATTATCTTTATAAAATAATATTTTATTTGCAAAAAAAAATACTGTGAAAAGAGATATGTCAGATCTAGCTTAGTTTCGAGAAAGATTTATTATAATTGGACATCTTGCATAGTTGCGCAAAATGTTACCCCTTGATTATATAGCATTATTGCGACGAGAACGTTACTGACAATGAAAATTACAGGACGTGTATAACAATTCGTCAAGTCAGGAATAAATTAAGACCTGAAGAAGGAACGACATCACTCCCCTCCCGCCCCTTCCCCTTCACTATTATACTGACGAGACGAAACAAGAGCAAGTTTTGAAGCACACAAAGCAATGCAAATATGTTTATATAAAATTCCTTCAATTCAAATCATAGGTCAGTCTCAGAGCTACTCCTCATTCTCATCCTTATCATCACTGTCGTCGTCGACGACGACAATCATAGTGGGTGACAATCGATTAGCGTCTTAGTGTTACCTCTTCGCCGAGGTCTTCTCCTCGTCTCAGAAATCTTTAACGTGTCCCAAAAAGCTGAGCTCGTGCGACTGATAATGACCAGATGCAGCAAGGGGGGTGACGCTCGATTGATGCGCTACGTTTACCGCTGTTAAATGATGATGATGTAGCGAATGATGCGACGTGTGAGTATGAAGAATATTATTTGGGTGGGGAACCTGGAAGTTCCCTGGTGGCGGGGCTCAGGACAGGAGGGGACCCGGATGTCCACCCGGAAGAACAGACGACGCCGAGACGGTTGTGGTTTGCATACTCGAAACGTTATTTTGTTGTTGATTCTGTTGCGTGCCTGTAGAAATCGAAAATCATATTGATTTTGACACGATACGAGAAGAAGAAGAGGGAAGAGTTATCAATGGATTGTTAAGCTCGCGCATTTAATATCTCGCACATAATATACTTCTTACCAGCGTTTTGACTCAGCTCAGCCTTCACTCTTCTCGCAATGTGACTCCTGGTATGTTTTCGTAAATGATCCTTCCGATAAAATCCTTTGCCACATTCGGTGCACACATGTCGCTTCTCCCCAGAATGTATTACAAAATGTAGAGTTAATTGTTCCTTTCTTTTAAAAGCTTTCAAGCAAACAGTGCAAACGTAAGGTCGCTCAGGATTGTGACTCTGTTTATGACGCGTAAGATGGTCTTTTCGTTTCAAGCCAGCACCACATATGTCACAAACAAATCTTCTTTCTAAAGTGTGACCTAGAAGGTGCTGCTCCAACAATTCTCGTTCTGGATACGCCATGTGGCATTCCGGGCAACAATACAACGTCGAACCGTCCAACGCTGTGGTCAGGCGAATTTCGCCAGGCTTCGGACGTGGCTTCTTTTCTTTCGGCGTCTTCTTCTTTTTCTTCTTTTTATTATTCGGCGACATCATTATATTGGGCGTTGTCGTAGTCGCCACAGCTACCGAAGTCGTTTGCGCCATCTCCGACTCCTTTTTGATACTTTCGGCAGAATATTTAAGAAAATGGTGTAAACTCAATGGCAGAGTGCTGGCTGGTAAATGGCTGAGATAATCGGCCACGGTGGAACCAGGAGTCGCGAGCGACTGCCACGTTGCGGGCATAGTAGCTGGCGTTTGAGTATGAGCATGCTGTTGGTGATGTTGGTGCATCGTGTAATCCTGCTGAGCGCCATTCGTGGTAGTCTCTCCGTTACGCTGTTGCTCCTCAGCCTTCTTTTCCTTGGTCTTGTCCTTGTCTTGAAGAAGGTTGCAAACATCTTGTTGATTTATTGTTTCCGTGGATTGCTGAGACAGAAGAATATGTGTGTACAGAAAAACTTTTCAAGCTCCCGTCTCTCTCTCTCTCTCTCTCTCTCTCTCTCTCTCTCTCTCTCTCTCTCTCTCTCTCTCTCAGCGACAAATTAAACATTTAACATTGTTCATCACCGACCGTGTCCCTTCCGTTTCATCCTTAACGATTTTGAAATTACAAAAATTTGCTGAGCTCTACGTGACGGAAGGAGAAAGATATGATTGCAAGTAGTTATCTCTTCATGTAAACTGCTAAAGAATGACATGTGAAAAGTACTTGTTAAATTTCTCTAATCGTGCAAGCCTGTTTTATCTCTACGATACGCGCGATCTCTAATCACGTTTATCGATTTCTCGCAACATTTATGGCGAGAAATGTAAACGCTAAAGACAAAGAGCCGTGCGCGCGTGGTGTGGTTAGGCTAGAAAATACTCAAGTACATTTGTTGAAGAAGGATCGTAAAAGAGTGCTGAGATTTACCTGATGATACGATCGTTTCTCTTGCATTCCAGGCGAGTTGGTTGGTCGTTGTTGAACCGACTGGGCTTGAGAGTACGGTACATTCGGATAATGGTGAACATTACTGTTGGGATAGCTAGTCTTATTGTTCATCATCACTTGCGATTGAGCGGATTGTACGCCGTTGTTTTCGGGACGGTATTTTCCCACAACCGGCACTCCGATCGGAGGCTGGTTGGGAAAATGATTGGCGTAACGCGCGCCTGCACCGCTGGAACTGTCGGTCGCGAATTGATGGATACTCGGTATAGTGCTAGGGAAGTGACCTCCAAACGGCGGGAAATTCATTGCAGACCGTAAGCGGACGTCGTGTACCTAGAAAGGAAGAAAACGAATAAGCGTCTTCTGAACGAGCAAAATTTTCGGAGGATACGAGAACGTCAAGATTACTCCATGCCAAGGAGATGTATCGCCTTGAGCGAAGGGCGAGAGAGGTAAACGCGCGTGAAACCGATAAGTTTCTCGTTTTGCGAGCGAGAGAGCGAGCTGAGAGAGCAGAGAGGCCGTCGCCAGCCGCGTTCCAGCGACCGCACGCCGATGCTACGTGCTACGGCATCGGCTTCTCGGCTCGCTCGCTGGCACAACTCCCGAATCTGGTTTATGTAAAGACGCGACGGCGGCAGCGGCGGCGACGACAACGGCGATGGTGGTGACGACACGACGACACGACGATATGACGACGACGACAATGACGACGACGCACCGACGACGCCGATACCGACACCGACGTCGACATCGCCGCCGCCGCTGACGACGACGACGACGACAACACCGAGCAACGCCCGGCGTTATATTTACTCACAACGATGTCCCTCTCCCCATGTTTCCTCGCCGTACCGGATCCTTTCCTCGGAGGGGGATCTCCGTGATAGAGACGAGAGTGCGAGTGCGGGGGCAGATTTTTCTCGCGCGCAAGAGGACACGCCAGAGAGAGACAGAGTCAGAGAAAGAGAGCGGGAAGAGACAGATTAGACAGAAGCGCGTCGGTAGACACGCATCACGCGCGATTCACGCCACCACACTCGCCACACGCCACACTGACGAATACCGGAATACGCGGCGGCGGCGGCGGCAGCGGCAGCCAGCAGACGGGTTGGCTCGTACCCAAGCTTACCCGCCACCTGAACGCTGACACTTGATGGCTTGTGCCAACCTGACGAACGATCGTCGACCGTCGACCGGTGACCAAGGTGACTCGCGGCGTCGGCGTCGCGCGGCCAAGGACGCTCCGGGCTCGCCACCCGTCTTGTTCGCGCAACGTAGCCTACCGAGCCACACTCGAGAACATGCCGACGAAAAAAAAAAGATGCGACTAAAAAAGCCGCCGACGGAAGATAGCCGTGGAAGATGGGGTGTCGGTAGGGGCGCGCGCGCGCGCGCGCGAGGGGAGGAGAAGCCGATTGTCAAGGGGACGGAGTACACGCGTAGGGACGCCACTGCCACCCTTCCCCTTCCCTTCTTCGCTACTCTACACTCTACTCCAACAGTCCAACTCACCCCACCCCATCCCATCCGATACTTAGTCGATACGCAGCGTGGGGCCGTGGGCCGTGGGGCCATCACCGTACCAAACTCGAGAGAAAATGGCCGTGCGTGTGACTCGCAGTCGCGCGCACCACGCGCCTAGTCGAAATGTGAAAGACACAGAAATGTCGCTTACCATTCGGTAACTTGCGACCCTCGGTCGAGCTTGCCCGGCGTGCTTTTTTCACGCGACCGGCTGTCACCGGAAAAGCTCCCTCGTTGTACGATGTATAGTTGACACCTGTCCCTCAAGCCGGTGCCCCCATCCCACCCATCCGCCCTCTACTGTACCAGCCTCTTAACTATTTTTTCTCTCCCGAGTCTCCCGACTCCCGACGCGATGCGACGCGACGCGACGCACCGCACCGCGACGCGCCGCGCCGCGTCGCGCTGCGCCGTATCATGGCATTCGTAGCGAAAATACCCGAATCGAGCTATGAGAATCGGGATTTTAACTTGAAACTTCCCGCCAACATGCCATCACATTCCCCCCCCCCCCTTCGACCGACTTACCCTTATTTCATATATATACATATATACACACATGCGATATGTATTCCTATACGACACATCGACGAAACTATTTTCAAAAAAATTGCTTTTGAAAGGGAAACGTACGTGAATCTCACTATAGAGAGGCGAGAATAGTTTTGTATTAAATGTATGTTTTATTTCAGTTTTCTCCTCCAATATTTATGTAAGTAACAATGAAAATGACTTATATACTATTTATCCTAACTACGATAATGATATATATATGTATATATATATATATCTATATATAATATTATGATAATAAAATAATAATATTTCTTGTACAGTTATACCCATTGCCTTTAATTGTGATACTTACAAATAAAAAGTTTTCTGATGTATACATATATACCTTTATCAAAAAGCTTTGTCAGGTGAATCACGATTGATCGATTTGGTTAACATTCGAGGATTTATATGCTTTCTTGTATCTTTTTACATCTCTTTCACATCTCTCGTCGCGTACCATATGCGGCCAAATGAGGAGACGTAGGAGCCGAAAGTACCTCGCACTTGACCGTAACGATCGATAAGTTTTCGTTTCGTGAAACGATAAATCCTTTGTCGATCGCGGAATAATTATCTATAAATAGATTGTAGAAACGTCGATTTCGGAGCAGCATGCTTTATCGCGCAAATGCGTTTCCGTACGTAATTATTCCCGTCGTTTCCGAAAAAGTGAATTGAAACGTTATGATTTCCTCATATGTGATTCTTCCACCATCTCGTTATTAGTACAGCACGTTTGATCGTCACCAACACTTTGCGCCTTTACACAAAGACAACATATGCAATGATCTAAATTATAAAAAAATGTAAGCATGCTTCCGTCAATATATTTCTACAAAATACAAATTGGACTTGACGATTTACCGGCAGATTCCCTTATAATGTCACGATTGTATTGTATGAGAGGAAATAAATAATAAGATTCACCTCGCGCATACGACACGTACCAATACGACGTCCCCTTCCTCAGGGATGAAAAGTCGCGCGTGTATTTACAAACTCTGTTCCATGCCGTATCTGTTTACGCCTCAATTCTTTCATTACGTATTTTATCATCATCGTCGTAAAAGCAAATTATTATTACTATTATTTTTATTATTATTATTATTATTAGCCCAGAACTCGATCGCCTTGTTATCTCGGGCGAATCCAGTTCGCGCTTTCAAAAATATATATTTTTGCTTTTGTGTGTATATTTATTTATATATTTATATATATATATATATATATATCTATTTATATATTTATATAAACTTCATATTTATCTCTAACTTGCGTCATGGAACTGAATCAGCGACAAAAACATCTTGTTCAAGACGAGCGGCGACTATCGCTTCTTTCTCTTTTACGTACGCTACAACGTGTATGTAAAAGAGAAACTCGTGTACACGAACTTTGTTGTCACTTTAGCTCGGCGCGTTTTACAGGATAATTATTATAAACACGTACGCGAGCTTATTGTGCCGTGATTAAAGGTGGATTAAGCCGATGGCGCGAGGATTTCATAATCCCAACAAATCGGTTTTGTGTCGATGGACAGGGACGTACATCTTAAAGAAATGGAGGCGGCGTTTTAAATGCCTTTGAAAGAGGCTGCGAAGTAATCAACTAGCCAACGAAACTTTCGTCCGATAACATGAATTTGCCTATCGAATTTGCAAAATTCAATCAGCGAGTACGCTGTGTCGCGTACGACCTCTGGCGTGCTGATGATTGAAACGAAAGTACCGCCCAAGTTGATTCGGGGCGGTATGCTGTTGCTAATGCTGCTGCTGCTGTTGCGGCTGCTGCTGCTGTTGCGGCTGTTGCTGTGGCTGCTGCTGCTGCTGCGATTGCTGCTGCTGCTGCTGCGACTGCTGCTGTTGTTGCTGCTGTTGCTGTTGATGATGAAGCATAGTCATAGCTCCAGTTTCAGCCGCTGTAGGCAAAACTACGGTAGACTGCTCACTAACGGATATCTGATGAATCTGCGCCTGAGAACCTTGTCCCACTTGTATTTGAATTTGCTGCAACTCGGGCACCGAGGACTGTTGTTGCATTTGTTCCACTTGTTGCTGTTGGTCCGCCTGTTGTTGATTCTGCGTCGTATCACTCGTATTCAATGGATCCTCCTTAGCACGCTTAGTAAGGTGAGATCTCGCGTGCTTTCTAAGATGATCTTTCCGATAGAACGCTTTGCCGCATTCGGTGCAAACTTCGGTCTTTTGTCCAGAATGTATAACAAAATGAAGATTCAAGTGTTCTTTTCGTTTAAAGCCCTTCATGCAAACGGAACAAATAAAAGGCCTGTCAGGATTATGACCTAATTTGTGCCGCTCCAAATGTTCCTTCCGTTTAAGACCAGCGCCGCAAATGTCGCATATAAATCTCCTCTCTATTTTGTGCCCGATCAGATGCTGTTCCAAACTTTCCTTCTCAGGGTACGCCATATTACATTGAGGACAGCAAAATAGGGTCGTGCCATCGAGAGCGGTAACTATGCTTACTTGTCCTGGTTTTGGTTTCTTCGGTTTTGGTGGTTTCTTTTTGTATTTCTTTTTTCGCTTCGGTTTCGCTCCTGCCTCCTGTTCTTCGACAACGTCGGGAATGATGGCCGTTTCTCCTCCGGCGACTGTAATCTGCACAGCTTGCTCTCCCGAAGCTGTGCTTCCGGAAGCGTCGAGACCATCCGCGCCAAGGGGACTCGATTCAATGGTAGCTTCCCTTTTAATAGTTTCCGCCGAAAACTTGAGAAAGTGTTGCAGACTAAGGGGTAAAGTACTTGTAGGCAGTCTAGAGAGATAATCCGCGACCGTGGATCCTGGAGCAGCGAGGCTCTGCCAGCTGGCAGGCATAGAAGTAATGAACTCTTCCCCGCTCTGATTACCTTGACTCTTGACACTGCCTCGTTTGATAAGGGCCACGGGGGTCGTACCCTCCTTCACGTCCTCCTTGGACTCCTCTATGCTTTCTCGCAGAATCAAGTCCTGAGGAATCTGGGCGACCACGGTCAAACCTTCGGGCGCTCCCGGAAGTTGCACCGTCTGCTGAATCGTCTGTTGAGACGTAGTGGTCACAGCGGTGGACGTGCTTTGTGTCGTTTGATCGGATCTGCAATCAAGTATCGGACACGCGGATTAAGTTGATCGCTTTGTGCAAAATACGCGACACACGTAGAGAAGATTCGGTGTGCGTCGATGTACTTACGTTTGCGTAGTCGCTACGGTGTTTTGCGGTTGCACTTGAATTTGGACACCGTCCGCGCCTTGCTGACTGTAGGCAACAGTGAGAACGGTGGCTGCTCCCTGCGGGAACTGACTCAAGGATATCGGTGCCAAATGATACTTTGGCTGATCGCCGCTATTTCCGCTTTGAGACACGCTAGGATTGACCACTTGTATCTGGACAGTTTGCTGTTGCTGCGTGCCATCTTTCCCCGGGACGGTGATGGGCAAGGTAATAATCTGCTGTTGTTGATTATTACCGCTTTGGGCCACGGCGAAACCATTCGGATCGACCGGCCTCAAATAATGAACACCACCTTCACCGCCAGATAATACTCCGACCACCTGTCCTCCAGTGGTAAGGTTCTGCGCGAATTTCGCTGTGGCAAATTGATGAACGGTGCCGGTCGGCAGCGAGCCGGTGAATCCAGGGAAAGGTGTAAAATTCATTTTTCGAAACGCGTACGCCTGTAACAGAGGAGAGATTCATTCTTGTTATTTAGCAGGTTGTGTGTGTGGTTACAAAGTTTATTTATCTCTAAAAACTCTTCAACGCGACATTGATCTATTTCTAAGAAAAGGCTCCAACAATCACCATTACGATGCTACTGTTGAGATGATGCAAACGCGAGAGATTACGAGAGAATCGAGTTTGGAGGTTAAAAAGACGCTATCCTCTCTCTCTCATTAGAAATACGGACAGCTCCAAAATTAACGAATTTTTGTAAAACCATTAGCGCGTACATTTACGTTACAATACACGTTCAATGGACACACGCGCGTGTATGTAAAATATTGTGCGAGGTGTACGAGGAAGATTGTGCGTTTAATTACAGCGTGTAAGATCGTTTCCTATAAGTAAGTAATTAAGAACGAATAATTAAGAACGTCAGTTTTTAAGTGACAACCGAGATGTGCGTTTGTAACGGAGAAATGTCTATATTATATATCACATACGTGCTAAGATCGGTGCGCGTTTATCTACTAACGCAACAGGTCTCTGTGATATCCCCGTCGCGTTTATGGTGCAAGAGATTATCGAAAAGACATGTTCCACTCGAGTCCCACGCGAATGTAATTATTGGAGGAATCTCACAATGTGGAAGGTATCGAAACTCAACCTATATAGATAGAGACGTTCATCCTTTTAAGACCCTTTCGCGTATGGCGATAACAAGAGTGTAATACTCGAGTCACCATCTCCCTCGTCCGCTTCAATTAACAATATAACAATAAAATCAAGACAGACAGCAAAGTGTCGCGCGCGCGCAACGAGAGCGAGATTTTTCTCGTTTCTGTCCCGGTCTCGTGCGCCGCGCCTCCATGCACGTGCGGCCATGCACGAAAAAGTTGGCACCTTATTCCTGCGACTGTAACCGGGACTTGCGAGCTAACCTAACTGAACGTAACTTTCCCATTCTCGCCCCGTGTACTTGTCGCTTTTGCGACAAAATCAAAACTCGGCATTCGAGCGAGTGGCGGCAAGACAGAATAGCGGCGCGGCGTTTCCGACTCCGGACCAGACCGAAGCCTTGGCGATCGCGTTCCGCGTGCACGAGGGTGGGGTGAGGGCTCCCCCACTTCACCCCCTCCCCCTACCTAAAAGGGATCCGGGAGCAGGGAGGATAGTCGTCAAAGTGGCCCAGGATCCCACCCCACTCCACAGCGCGGCGACGGACGACGGGCGACGGTGCCCCTACGGGGTAGGAGCGCGATGAGGGTAGAGGAGGGGGAGGTACCATAGGTGGGAACCTGCCGCGAAATAGAGCTCGAGACTCGGTTTCTCTTCCTCCCGCGCGCGCGTTACCACGACTCGACGTAGCGCGTATCGCGAGAATGGGACGAGAAAGAAGGCGAGCTAACAAGGGTAGGGGAACGTCAAGAAAGAAGGGAGTCGAACCTCGACACGCCGACATTCCCCGGGGAAGGGGAACGCGAAAATGTCAGGGGGCGAAGGTATACCCGTAGCGGGTGGCCAGATGCAGCGCGCGCCAGACGACGTGGGGCACGGATGACAATGATAACGATACTCGAGGCAACGGGAATCCCTACCCCCAGGTACAAGGAACGTTCATAGGATCCGAAGCCGATGACGGAAGGGGAGAGAGAGAGGGAGGGAGAGGTTATAAGATATCCGCGAGCATGGGGAAATCCACCGTCCGTCCGCGTACGCGCGCGTACACCTCTTCCGAGGGCCAAGAGTGTTGCTCCGAAGGGGATAGATAATTAGAGAAAAATAATCCTCGGGTGACGTACGACGGGGCGGCGGCGTCCGGCGACGAAGGGAGGGAGGCGCTACGCTTCACTCGCCGTCGACACCACGCGTGACGCGACGTGTTTTTCGTTGTACGCGGAATGGCGTACGCGACTGATCGGACGGCTCCGTTGTCGCTCGTGCTGACGCTAGACGCTCTCGCAAGACGCGCATGTCGTAATGGCGTACCGCGTCTCCTAAGGTTAGCCGAGGCTAAGTTTATCCTCGTCTCTCGCGACCCGACCGCGACGACCGCTCTCTCTCTCTCCTTCCCTCTCACACTCGAACGTGTCCGCTGCGCTAGTCTCTCCGTCTTTTATCTCTCGAGTGCTCCGCAAAAGACGCGTACCACGTATCGCACGTATGCGGTACATACGTGGGTTTTTTTTTCGCGAGCGTCGCCTCGACGAGTTTAGGGCGTTTAGGCCTGTCTCTCGATATTACTGCTGCGCGTGGGGCGCTGCACGCCAAACGGATCAGCGACTGTTGCGCAACGACGACGTCCCGTCCCGTCCCGTCCCGTCCCGCATCGTTTCCTTTCCGCCTCGCTCCCAGCTCCAAGCTCCAAGCTGCGAGCTGCGACATTGCGACATTACGACGCGCGACTATCGCGAGGCGCGCTGAGAGTTGAGAACGAGTCGCGACCGTTGCGAGGGAAAACTTGGATGCGTTCGCCTCTCCGGGCCGGCCGACGCGCGACGGCGTCGTCGGCGAATGGCGCAAAGCGTGAGCGTGGCTGGCCTATACGCCCGCCATGTTGGAAGAAAAAATGATTCACGCGCCACGTAAGAGCGCGTGAGAATGAGACGTGCGCGACGCGCTCTTTTTACTTTTTACATTTCCCTCTCTGCTTCTCTCCCGCTCTATGCACATCGCGAAATCCCTTCTTCTAACGCGCGCGGAGAGCAGAGTACTCTTCTCTCGTGCCTGATGGTGCCTCTCCCTCCCTTCCTCGTTCCCCTGAGCGCGTCGTTTGCCTTCGCGCCGTACCCGGGGCCAAGGACGGAAATAGGAAAGAGATCGACGACGAGACGCGGCACGCGGCGAAAGACGCGTCAGCTGACGGAGAGCAGGGCAGAGGCGAAACGACCGAGGTACACGGGCAGGGCTGTTGTTTACACCCCCACTTCGATGGGTTAGAGGCAGCGAGATGCCACGGAGGGGCCTCCGAGACCTCGACGAACACCCACCACCACGCACGTTCCAACCCCACCAGCCTCTCAACCACTGTCCGCACCTCCAACCACCCCACCAAAGCCAGCTCAAGCCAAGCCGTGAGCCACGACGAGGGCCCCGCGACGATTTTAGTGTCTTGGGGTGGGTGCTCTCTGTGGCCACCGTTTCGCGGTTTCTCTCGTGCATGGGTCTCGTCGTCGTCCGTCCGTCGTTATCGGGAGTCGAGTGCGACATGGCACCCGCGCCGCGGGGCGGTACCGTCGACCGGAACGTCCGTCGCATCGGGAGGACGATCGAGCCAGAGATATAAAGATAGATGTGTGTGCATATATATATATAATGTGTACATATATATGTATATATTTATATATATGATATATATATGTATATGTATGTATAGGGGGAGGAGGGGAGAGAGAGAAAAGAGAGAGTGGAGAGAGAGGACACGCATATGGTCATTATATCGGCAAAAATGTATACATGTAATAAATGTACTGCATACGGCGTCTAAAGTAGAAGAAAGATTGCGAACGGGCGTGTTCAAGGTGCGAAAACTATACGCGTCTGTGCTAGTCGGCTTTGTTCTACTTACTCGTAAGTACAGGCAGGTAGATGAGCGGGCGGACGATCAGCCGCGACTCTCCGTGCACGCTCGGCTCAACGTACCGCTGTTACTGTCGCTGCCTTCGTTCTCCGTACCTCCACCTAGTACGGGAATTGTCCGTCTGGCTGCCTCGCGCCTCGCCGCTCGCGTGCGTCGTCGTTCCCAATCCTCAGCGCAGCGGCAACGACTTTCTCATTTCAACGTGAACACGCCGACCGACCGACGTATCGCCGCGGCTCACGGCTGTCGCTGCGATGCACACGTCATACATATGCGTAGAGACGTCGGGACGGACGCGCGCGCGTCTCTAACGGAAGCTCGAGGAGAGCTCGAGAGTGACTCCGCGATAAATTCGCGCTCGCACACTGCTGCGCTCGCTCGCTCTCGCTCTCTCTCTCTCTCGCTCGTTCACTCGCGCACTCTTTCTCACTCACTCACTCCCTCTCTCTCTCTCTCTCTCTTTCTATAGCGCGCGACGAGCAACGAGCTCTCGCTGAACGGAGACGCGCACACGCTTCGTTTCCGGGTTTACGACAACCAACCGCGATCGAATATGGCTCGGCCCTCCTCGGTCGGTAGGTAGGTAGACGAGCGTGGACCTCGTTCGAGCCGGCCAACGGGAACAAATTCGCGAACTAACGGTACATAGCTGCCTGACGCCACTACGACCGACCACGACTGGTGGACACTGAGGTGGCCACGCGTAAACTCCGCGAGCCGCGAACGTCAAGCCGTCAAGCGCCACTCGTCCGGAAAGTCCGAGTAATCCGAATAGTCCGACGGAATCGCGCTGGCGCGCAACGTACCGTCTCTGCACTTTGCACAGTCCGCACGTCTGCACGCGCGACGCTTAGATTAACGACGCGCCTTGACGCGACGCCCTCGGCGCCCTCGCCACGATCTCACGTCCAGCGTCCAGGCGCGTTCCGCCTGGCATTTAGCGCCTAGCGCCTAGCGCCTCCCCGATCACGTACGACGTCTATACGCGATCTCTCTCGGAGCTCAGATCCACAGATCCTTGTCTCGCGATCGACAAGACACGCGGGGGAACGCGCTCCCTATATAACCACTGTTAATATTTCAGCGGTTAAAATATTAACTATGGCGGCGGTTTACGTGCAGAGTACGTTGCGAGTGCAATGGTAGGGTGGGAAGATTAGAACGTAGCGCTTGCGCGTACGCACTTGCCGATCGAGTGCTCCGTGCTCCCGCGGCGTAAGAAACCAGCTGAAAGCTGAAACTGCTGAAAGCCTTTATTCGCGGACAACGCGCCGTCGCGCCGCCAGATTTTCGCGCCGGATTATCTCACACGTCTACCTAAACACGTCCGTCCGTCACTCCGTTAAATCCTTTTCGACACTCTGTCATGCGTACTCTACATTGCTCAATATTGCTCACGCGTCACGCGACTGCTTACGGGAATACGGGAACGCCGAACGGAAACGGAGCGGAGCGAAGCGGCTCGACCCGCGCGCACCTAGCGGCCTACGGACCTACCGCCTACCGCGGACACCGGACACCGGAGGTTAAGTCGTTGAGCGGAGAATTGGAGACCCGACCCGACATTGACCGTCCTGTCATCTTCCCTTCTTTATTCTCGAACGCGCGCACTTTTACGAAATGTTTATGAAACCACGATTCAACCGCGAGTCTGACGATCCTCGCGATCCTTCCTCCTACTAACGTCCACGCAAAGGCATCCCTCTCGTCATGTATTGCCGATCAGAGAGACTAGTTGAGTCTCCCGTCTCCGTACTCCCATCTCTCATAACGCGTGTAAAGACTGTAAAGATGCCTCGCGGTAAACTTCACTCTACGCTTTGTTGCGCTTTCTGACAATGAAGTGAAGAAAATAATGTAACCAATAGGATGCGTGTGTATGTGTGATGAATGAGAGAAGTAACAGCGTACAAATAAAGGAATGCCACAATTTTTACGATGTCGTGTTAATGATTCGTGTACTCTCATTTACATAAAATTTTATCCACTATTAGATGCTTAAAATTCTACCGATTGTATATTGAATCTTGAATCTTACATTTATCGCTGTCTCTTAGAAAAGTTTTATATATCGATTTTATTGCCGCAACATGGGACGCTTTACCATTATCCGAGTGCGTGACCGGGAAAGGATAATGAAAAGAGAAAAGGAACGTGAAACGTGTCAAGTATATCACATAGGAGAATGACAAAAGAAACAGCGAGACGAGCTGGCTAAATCTCGGGAGGACGAGTCCGTTTCGCGAGCCAAATGGAACGTGCGCGTTTCAATCAATACAAATCCGGTCTCCTCTGCACGCGTTCCATGTACAAGGAAAAGAGCAATTTATTGCTCTCGTAATAAAAAGGATTCTCCGTCGCACCTAAATCTGGTCTATAATCACTGGTAAAGTTGCTTTGGCTGGAACCACAGCTGCCTCTGGGCGATGACGTTTGAGACACCTCCGAGCAGCTTGGAGACGACATGAAGATGCCACTTTCCCACGCAGTCTCCATGCTCTCCACCGTATTCCCTGCCACTGTATTCAAACCATTGATATGAAGATTGTTGATCCGTTTGCTCAATGGCATAAATTCGCTAGATTCTTCTTCTATGTTGCGACGTCTCTTCCTAAACGATCCAAATGAAAAATGATGATAAAAGCTAACAACACACGACGCTGTTACAGACAGCAGTATTAAACCTACTTTTATACTTTTGTGTGCACGCGCCTGTATATATCATATATCAACGTATAATAAAAGCGTTACGTCACCTCGTAAACATTTCAACAACGGACCAACCTGTTCGTCCGTGTCATGGTGTTGTCGGCGTTGTCGCGTTAGTCCGATCTCCACGAGGACTTGACAACTTCAACAAATATATTTTCTCAGCCGATACATGTTGCGATCCTGGTCGACGTTGCTTGTGATATTCCGCGTTCACGTGTATTTCAAAGTTTCCACTACAAAATTTATAATAAAACTATAAACTACAGATGCTTCGGCAAACAAAATGACTTTTGATCGATCCTTAGATCCTTAGATGTAACGAATGACAAAGATCCGAAATCAGAGATAAATCGGAAAACTAACCTCCTTTTCGAAACGCCAGTCGTCAAGAACGTCGCAACGTGTCAACATTGTGGAAACAATTGACTGTACACAACGGATAGAGGGCGGTAGGTTTAACACAGTCTTTTTAAAGCTATATCCACACAACTTGCATAAGCCCATAAACATAAGCAAAAGAGACGTGCGTGGTCCATATGCATGTGCATAAGGAAATAGACCACGCCGTTTCTTTATGCATATGGTTATGCACCTATGCAAATAGTAGCGGTTAAATGAGACATATTGCACGTGGCTATTACCGCGTTGGAACCTTCACAAATTTAATATTTAAATGTCGCATGTTATAAGACGACGACTCTTGTTCCGCTGAATCTGGGGGCCTATTAATGCTAGGTCTACAATGCGAGTCGTAAAGTCGTGAGTCGTAAGAACTGACCAATCACAATCGAATTTGAGGAGAATAATCGACTGTGATTGGTCAATTCTTACGACTCACGACTTTACGACTCGCATTGTAGATCTAGCATTAGCCATAATTGTAAGGCCGTAAAAAAATAAACCAATCACAGTCGATTGGTTTATTCTCCTCGCGTTCGAGAATAATCGAGTGTGCGTGGTCTATTTTCTTATGGCCTTACGATTACAACCAACAATAAGGGTCGATATCACAGTCTCCGCGTAAACTCACTCTTCGTCTCTTTCGAGATGAGGGACAGTTAGAAAGAGATGCAGAGTGAGTTTAATCGGAGGATCACGTTGGTCGGAGTCTGTGATATCGGCCTTAAAACTTTATGTTACCGATGTTACGTGCAATGGCTTTTACGGTTCTTGAAACGAGGTAAAAATTGCCAAAGTGAGAGGATTCACTAGAGTATCTACGGTTTCATTGGTCGAAATCTAGTAAATCTGTTCACTTTCCGCATTTTTATCTCGTTTCAAGATACACACACGTAATAGGCCCCCTGTTCTTAATCCGATTAGCTGATCCCGTTCCTATTGCCTGTTGCCCGGCCTTATGCAAGGGTTTTTAGTCTTTTCAATACATCCATCGGGGTCTAGTATAATTGGGCGCGTTCAACAGACACAACTGTTGAGTTCGTCTTATCAACACTCTGCGTTCATTGGTTGGTTCTAAAAGTAAGAACCACGCACGTTCGACCGCTACTGAGCAGCTTAGTCTGCTGAACGCGACCAAAATCGTCAGTTTGCTTATCGTTTCTTTTTCATTGACAATGTGATCACTAGCGCAATCTTACGGCTAATATTACAGGTCGCGGACTCGCGGACACCTGAACGATTACGAGTGACATGCACGTCCGTGGAACGAAATGCAGTATAATATACTCAATCTTTAGTGAGGGATGGATAAGTGTTACGTACGAAATGACCAGAATTCAAAGATTCGCAAATGTATTCAGATAGTATCTCTTGTTATTCGCAGTTATACATATTATACGTGCTAGTTTACATTCGTTGATTCCGTCGTATAATAACTTGCACGTAGGATAATACAAATGGGTCGAAAAAAGGAATTCACACGGAAACCCTGACACATATTCGTATATGGAGAGATATTGGAGCATGTTCTGTATTTAGTTAGATAGCTTCTGTGTTGGTTGGACGGTACCAAGAGTAGTTACACGACAAAGGAAATCTAATAGCAAATTCAGTTGGACGCACACTATTATAGTGCGAACTCGGTGCGCGTACAAATCGATGTAAAGAGAGATGCGTGTTTACTGTTTAATATATAAATATATAAACACAGGTTAAACCGCGAAATCCTCATCAATAGACTTTAATTGTGTATTATTTTTTTGGAAAAATATGTATTTTATTATTCGAGATATTTGCATTTCACTTTACGAATGGTCGAGTAGTTGTAATAATCGTAGCTGACAATGACATCTAAAATTGCACGCACACCGAAATTATGTGTACATCTTTTATATATCTATCAAAAGTTCATAGCTCAATCGTATCGACCAAGTCAAGCGGGATAAGTGCGTTGCTTCTTATTATTGTTAGTGGAACGAAATGATCAGATCGTAAAATGATATCATAAATAAAACGGATAAACTGATTTTTGCCTGTGTGCCTGTCGTATGAATCAAACGGTTTCATACGAAATGCTACTTATATTTAGTTATAGAATATAATATATGTATGCGATGAGAATTTACGCTTTTTTAATGTATTAAATCGCAAAGCCTCTAAATAGGATGCGAATTGATCCTCCGTTAGGGCCGGTCTCACAGTCTCCGATTAACGTGATTCTCCGATTAAACTCACTCTGCATTTCTTTCTAACTATCCCCCTAGAAAGAGACGAAGAGTGAGTTTAATCGGAGAATCTAGGGAGAATCACGTTAATCGGAGACTGTGAGACCGGCCCTTAGTCATTAAACTAAACGAATCGCTCCACGTGCATCGCGCGTTGCGCGCAAGCCTCTTGACGCGAGCCTACGTATTGCCTAACAAAGTAGCAAATAAAGATACCGCAGTAGCACGAATAAAAAAATCGCATAAAAATCCTATTTAGGCTTTATCACGAAGGATACCGACATCCGGAGGATATCGCCCTGGCGTAACATCCCGCCACAGGAAGGAAAAACTATATATGCTTTATATGTTTTATCTCGCCGCGGACTTGAAACCAACGGGGACGTTGCATATTCTTCAAGAATCTCCGTTATTTCGTTATTTAAAATTGATGCTTAATATAATGTTTTATTTGAAACTTTCTCTACAATTCTTTTAACATCTCTAATAATAAACAATTGACAACCAAATCCATGATCAATAACGTCGAGTAGTATATGAAATGTTTACAGTCGATATGAATTAAAAGTACTTTTCAACTTTATCAAATAATGTGACCGTGGCAAAATTCGGTCATTGTCAAAATGTGATTTTATTGATCAAAATCTAAATTTACCCTTCGAACCAATATTAATAAATATCATATTATATCAAATATATTCTTTCTCGAGATTTCTCGAGAAAATGAAATAAATTTCGTTAAAATAAAGTTGGATATTCACTCACTAAATGAATATCTACTAAAGTTGGACTCACTAAATAAACTAATCTATAGTAATTTGAAAATAGATTTATATTAACTTTTACGATTCCTCCCGAGGCTTTTTGTTTGTCACTTCTTTACATTTACAAAGGGGGGGGGAGGGAGGGGAAGAGTTTGAAGCAAAAATAGGAACGCTTGCGTTCACGCGACGCGCTACGGCCAACCTTGTGAAACGTGCGTGTACGTGGCCTTGATTTCTGAAGCCGTGAAAACATTTGCCGTCGCCTCGGGTTTAATTAAACCAAGCCACCAAGTCAGTGACTTTATTGGCGCGGCCAATTTCTCCTCGATGATGTGGGAAATGAAATAAGTTTCTCATTACACTTATTATTGTTTCTTGTCAGATTAACGTGAAAAGAGAGGAAGGAGGTAATAATATAAACCGTGCGAGATGTGAAAATCGTGGCATTCTGATATTATTATTGATTGAAAAAAGCAAAAGACGTGACATCCGCGGCGTTAAGTTACGAAATATGATTTTCCGACAAATAATATATGGTTCCGAGATTTTATGTCAGGTTACATCGACGTGATCGTACTTGGATTTTATTATTCGAAATGGTAACTATAATTTAAGTATTTAAGAGCATCTCTTAGAGCGCGAAAGAGGCAAGGGTACGGTCTCTGTGAAAGCTTGAAAGTCTTGATAGTTGATTGGGTTAGGTCTGGAATCATTTATAAACTCGACTACGAGCCGAGGGATGAAGGATGAAGCTACTTGATACATTTTCGATGCGCAACAGCGCCATAGATGAGTGTTTTGTTCTATGTTCTATGAATCTCTACATGGGGGTTTATCGCGCGTTCAGTGCACCTCCCTCGCTTTGGGCGTGGTGCCCACTGCAGACGTTTCTCATCGATTTCTACACGACCGGCAAACACCATAGAGCTTGGACAAGACGCCCTTCGAATCTCTTATAATATAATATTGCAAATTTATGAAAATTTATCGTAATATGTAGTTGTCTGTCGACTACAAGGTTACTTTTCTAATTGACAAACGATAATCGTGATGGTAACTATTAACTATAATTTTCAAGACATTGAAATACTCGACACTGTGGAGTGTGCCGCCTTACATCATCGTTTTGCATTCCTCTCGGGATACCCGTGTATATAACGGGAAGACAGGTGTCACGACGGGAGCAGGTTTTCTTCTGGGTCGATTACCCCTGCGATGGCCTCCTTCGTGATCCTTTGCGATCTAAATCCAAGTACCAATCTACTTACTTTTTCGTATCTGCGAGAGAGTAATCGTTTGTCGAGAAATCATCCAAGAGATTATATATTAAGTCGTCAAGGAACTTGTGCTCTCGAGCAAGTTAATGCAGCTAACGATTTCTTCCTTCTGTTTAAACGTTTCTGACGAAAATGACGACAAAGCAAAACGGAAAGAGACACATAAGTTTGCGTATAGTATATAAGATATATTTCCTGATTTTGGCCCAACGCGTACCGCGTTCCTTGTGTCAGGGTGTCACACGAAAATCAAAGGCTCGATATTCTCGTTTCTTTGTTTTGGACTCAACGCACGTATGCGGCTTTCTGACGATTCACTCGTTATTGTGTAATGCAGCGCGTCCGTAATCTATTCAACATTTATTATCAATTTTTCAACTAGAAATATTATTTATCGAAAATGGTGAAAAAGTCATAGAAATCTCTCGTTACGCTCCTGTTCGCTATTGTCATTCCTCTCCCTCTCGTTCGCCGGCTTGACGCGCCGCCACCGCGCGCCGATCCGGCTTAACCGCCTCGACCGAATCTTTTCTCGCGAGACGTGCACATTAGGTCTATATCTATTCTCATTCCTTCCATCGTGCTATTTGCTTATCTCTATCTGAGTTGATTTTAATCACATGACATGCAAAATACATATCATACTTTTCATAGCGATTACCCATTATAGTTCCAACATTATAAAGAGCTTTTTTTGGAGATACAACAGTTGCATAAAATTACACTTATTGTTAGAGAGAATAACATTGAGTCGATCTCTCTAGGCTCTCTCTCAATCTCTCGTTTCAAGTTGTCTTTTTCGTTGAGTTGAAAGCGATAAACGTTGAAAGAGTATGATTCGTTTTTTGAGCAAACAGCGAAAAGCATGTTGGTATTTATAAAAAAAACTATCCGTCGCCTTTCTACGCACCGTCGCAAGTCTCAATATCTGGCCTACTTTTCGTTACGTGCATCGAGAACGCTGCGTTGACCTAATCTCTGCAAAATCGATGCAAATTTATGTCTGCTTGGCATTCGCGATACAGACATTTGCGAATTCGCAATCAAAAATGTTAGATTGCAAAATGTTCAATTTGTAAATAGCGGAAGAAACGGTTGATAATGACGGAATATAAACAGTAAGGAAGATACAACCGTTTTTGGCTAGAGGCTACACCGACAAAGAAACTGAAAGAAACATGCACACATATATACACATAGAGAGTTCATTGAGTTACGAAGCCATGACCGCGTTTCGAATCCTTGACTGTTTCGCGCGAGCTCGTTGATCGCGCAGTCTCCGAAAGGAGTCAAGAACATGGCTGATAACGTATGCGAGAGCACATTCGCTTGTCAATTGTCTATCGATTTTAGGTCGTGTAAACAAGGTTGAATCAAGGAAGAATCGAAAACGTTATCCAAACGAAATTTTGAACTCGTCGACTTTGCGCGCTATCCGATCGCGCTATATCATTGAGGCTTTGTTATATCAAAAAGATAACGATTTAGAATCTAGAATCTGGATTGATAAGACGGTTATACTACATATCCAAGAGAGCTTTCCAGTGAAGAATACGCTGTAGCGTCTTTATCTCCTCTCCCCCCCCCCTCCACGAGTCTTGTCACAAACTCTCTCTCTCTCTCTCTCTCTCTCTTGCGCGCGTTCGTCCTGTGTATAGCGAGCGAGATTAAATTACTCGTTCTAAAATATAAATTACGATATTATATTAATGGGACGTTTTATGATAAGCACGGCGTATTGAGAAAGACGGCGCGGCGTAACGTTCCATTCGTATGACGCGACATGAGGCGATGAGAAGCAAGACGAAGCGATGTGGGGCTGACGATGACTAATCCATGCGAATGTGTCATGTTGCAAAAACGAATGGGGATATATCTGTGATTGAACGATCGCGTCTGATTCTTTCTCTTACGAGCAGGCATATAAATATTTACTCACTTTCCATTAATGATCCAAACCCTTAAATCAACTATGCAGGACTATGCAGGATGATCGGAACACTTGGTAGGATAAGTTGGTAGCTCGGATATTTATTATTTATATCTGATTTTTTCTCATGTTACATGAAATTAATTAGCATTGAATATAGCGCACTCGAATATCATCGCACGCACGGTTGAGATGCCTCGCGTACATATCAAACGATGACGTTAATCGAGTGTACGACGGTACTGTTACGAGATTATATCAGATAGAATCGTTCATCAAGGATCACGTTAAAATCTTGTGCTACATTTTGCACACACACACACAATCGACATTGTTTTCAAATCGTTAAATATTTCGTAATACAAAAAGTGCTTTCGCTATATTTCTTTTTATCGCTAGTTTACGTATATACACGCGAGCGCGCGCGCGCATTTTGACGGCATTGCGAAACAGCAAATATGGAATAAAATATTGTTATCTCATGATACCAGTACCGATGCCGGTGCAATATACCCGTCTATTCCCCTCCCCCCACGTTCGGTACATCATTTAACAATTAAAAAGTTTCAATTTTTTCGCAGACAATACCAACTTTTCGCTAAAGTTGTCGTTGCGAGTCACGACGCGTCTCGTTGCAGCGAATTTCCAAGTATACGGTAGCTCAAGTTGTAGGTATCCATCTCGTTTACTCATCCAAAATGACGTCATGACGTGTCCCGATCATGAGTCGTTTCAATCACGGCGATAACTCGCGCGGAGACGCGCGTCGCGTCCGCCAAGGAGAACGCTGATGACGATGACTCGCGGTAACATATCGCGCGACTTACAACTCGAGCTAGGTCCTTACGCGGCGAGTCTCCCAAGACCTTGGCGCGTGATCTTATACGGTGGACAAGGTCGAGATATCTCGGGGTCTCAGGTCATTGGGTCTTTAGGACGCACCAACGCACGTAACAGGGTTACGTACTTATTTTATTCAAAGAGAAACGTACCGGATTAATCGAGATCTCGGATCTCGGATGAGATTGTCGATAGTGTCGAGACGTCGCGTGCTACGCGTCATCTGCTCATTTAGCGGACTCAATTAAATTAATGATTAATACATAGGTAAAGTAATCATAATCGTATCACGTCGATCGTCGATCGTCGATCGTCGATCGCGTCGCGAAACTGCGAGCGTACGCGGGCGTGACATCCTAACAGCGTTCCTCGAAGCACGCGGCCGGTTATCTCGTCTGGATGAATCATCGCTCATCGCGAGCCCACGAGTGTTAAATGGAAATGTATGGAAAATCTGGCGATTCGACGATCTATCGGCGAATGTATCGCCGAAAGTATCCATTTTTTCACACGTCCGTTGTACGGCCGGTCACGTGCTCGGCTGCGCGACGAGACCGCGAGACGAGACGACGAGACCGCCAGACCGGAGTACCGGAGAAGAAGCGTATCGATTTTACCCGAGGCTCTCTCTCTCTCTCTCTTCCTCCCACGTAGCCGGACGGGAGAACCTCGCATCGCACCGCGTAGTCTACATTATATAGTGTCCGTCTTGGTCTGTATTCGTCCGTAATTCGTATATATCAACCGGTCCGTATTATATCGACACCGACAGATGAGAGAGCGTATGACGTGGCAAAGGAGTGCAACGCACTCGCATCTCGCATCCTGCACTTGAATCTACCTTTGCCCATCGCCACGTAGCACCTTTCATCTCTCGTTTTTTACGCTACTCGTACTCGGTTCATTGACGCTGCCCTTTTCTCTCTTTCTCGCGAATCGATGCTTGAATTTTATGTCGGTTTGCGTTTGCATTAATCATCTACCATAAAGCGCTTCGTGCACGTAGCGAATTTAACAAATCTTTCTGGCAGACGCGGTTGCGCGCGGCTGGCATAACGCCGATATACATATAACACGACCGTCGCGTCTGAATATGATTAGTTTTCCCCTATTCTGGATATATCGAGAATGTATTCTATTTTGTCTTTCTCTCCAAACGCGCTTTTATAATAATCTATTTGGAAATATTTCAAGGGAATACTATCGCCTCTCAACATACGTATAAATGTCACGTACTCGTATATGTACATATGTACGCATGTACGCACGAGTTCGCAGGCAGGTAGCTGCGACAGTTAATCTTAAAGCGAGTCTTTACGCTAGTATTAGTATATGTTTCCAAGAGACACGCTCTCCGCATCGTACGATTTGAAACGGCATTTGGAGAATCTAGCCGCTAGCCGGCCGACGGACCAATCGGCGCGTTGCTTTCGTTTTATGCCCATATATGGCAAGAGCTGTGACGCCGCACGGTGGGAGAAGCTGGATGGACGAGTCGATTGCACGACGAGGGGTATCACGGTAGATCGGCATTCGGCATGTATGTACATACGTTCATACGTACCGTATTACCGTATATACCGTATACCGTATGTCCCGAGACGCGATCGAATACCAATACGAAATGCGAATGCGACTGCGACAGCGACAGCGACAGCGACAGCGACAGCGACAGCGTGTCGAGCGAATACTCGATCGTTTCTCGCGTACCTAATCGCGAATCTCATGCTCGCCAAAATAAACGTGAAAGGGGATGCTTTAGATTCGGATAATATAGTCTAGGAAATGTCGAGAGTCGAGTCGGTAAAAATATCAGAGAGTCAGACGTGTCGGACGTTGCATACGTTGCATGTTGCATGCCGACCACACCTTTGGACGAGTCCACGCGACGTGACGTGCGCGGAGCGGCGCGCGCGATACCGGCTCACGGCTCACGCTTGTTCGGCCGGACGATCTCGCTCACAGCTTACAGCGTTCGCGGTGCTGCACGGTGTTCGTTCTCTTGCCCCTGGCATATTCGATCAGCACTCTCCTCCGATCCGAGATTCGATCGCTCATAAACACTGCTTTTAACAGCGTGCTAAGAAAGAGGTAAGTACCAGCTATTTCGGTAGCCGGTCACGTCGCATACGCAGGCACGCATCGTTGCGTTACTTTTTCTTTAAACGCAAACCGCAGACGCGTTCTCGGTGGGTGGGTGCCGCAACGTTGTTTAGTTTTAACGTGGAAAACGCAGAGAGTATCGCTTCGAATGTAACGAGCGCGTGGTCAAACTGGTGGTCGACGTGGTCAAATCGATTCGCTCTTTTCTTAGATCTTCCGAACGCGCCGCGCTTCCTAGTTCGTGCCGGCTTTCTCGCCTACGAGTCGCAGGTCGCAGTCGCGTAACGTCGAAACACTCGACAGGTTGTCGATGTCAAGTGGTTATAGACGTACGTACATATATAACGCCACAGGCAGCGAGGCAGGTGGTTGCGTCGTGGCAGGATGGCGATGGCGATGGCGATGGCGATGCCTTATTAATAGCAACGACGACGCGCGGTAGCGTTCGTTACTAACCTACGACGCTCACGACAGATGTTCGCTCCTGCCTTTTGGCAACGTAAAATTTTATACGCATATTTGTACATATATGTGCTTGATCGAATCGATCTTATTCACCGCGAGATTGAAGCGCCGGAAGAGATCGCGGTAAGGATGACTCAGCCCAGTGAAATCGTCAAACGAATATTAGCAGACCGGACTGATTGACTCGCGCTCGATTTTACATATTCGATCGTGAGATCCGCAGAGTTTGACGATTAATTTAACGGATACGTTCACACCGATAGGCGTAACGTGGAATCGCTCGTCACCGACCGGCTCGTCGTCGCGCCGCGTTGCTCGTTGCGCCGGATGACGCGTGGCGAGGAGGTGCGGTGAAGTGAGGTAGTGACTGGGGGGGGGGGGAGGAGGAAAGGGGGGGGGGGGGGGGGGGGGGGGGGGGGGGAAACTGCGGAAACCCCTCTGTGTCAGAGTACTTCCATATATGGTAAAGAAAGCTAGGATTGGTCGAGGGTGTCCCACCCTTGTTGGCCGAGTGTCGACTTGTCGAGCGGTGGGGCCGAGGAACAACGTACGTATCTGTTCATATAATACACCGCGAGCCGATCGTTGACTACACTCTGCGTTTGGTGCTGGATCGTTCGACGGTGCGGCAGTGTCGCTGCTTGAAACTTCTGTACATAACTTGAATTTTTTTACACGAAACGTAAGTCGAAGCGCAAGGTGTAGCGGATTAGCACGTTAATCGCAAATCGCAACGAAGAAACGGGAAGGGCTCGACGAGAAAGTGCGCGCGACGACAATACTGCCGGATATCGTACCAAGTGCAAACGACAAAAACGTGGTGATGTGCGTTTCACGCGGGTGGTGCGCGTGGGCTTAAAGCGCTTCGAAAGTATTTCGATGTGAAGAGACGTTTATTCGTGGATTCGCGTGACACGCGTGGTATAACGCGTAGGTCGCTGCACCGTCAAAAATGCGTCATGAAAGAAAATCCAAGGATGTACGCGTGTTCGATGCAGCGATAGAAACCGGCTCTAAATTTCTAAACGTTCATCGTCAAGTTTTGAAAAATGTCACGTTTGATCGAGACGACGCAGGTGGTTTGCCGTTCGTCTCGTCGGCGTCGGCTGCCGTGAAAGGGCGGAGTGGAGGGGCGCGGTAGGGTGGGGCACAGGGCAGGGTGCGGTCCCGATGATTAACGATAACGTTGCTCTCGCATCTCGCCTCTCGCATCTGCTTGAAGGCTCTTGGTCGCGTTGTCTCGCCATGTCGATTTTGATTATGCTGTACTCTTGTACATACGTTCGATTCTTAAAGCCGGCCGTAATCACGCTACGAGTTGCGGGCTCGGTTGCCGGTTGGGGTTACGATTAATGGTTGTAGGTTGTAGATTGACCGATCGGAGCAAAGCAGCTTGCCGGCTGATTAAACTCATGTAATATACGGTCTTTACGAAGCGTACTTACCTTTATTGGCGTGTCCTCTCGACGCCCCACATCTTAAACGTGTTTCAAGAGCGAGTCGTACTACTCGTACTGACCACCGGTTTTCCTCGATATATATATATACTTTTTCGTTAGCCTTTCAACGAAAACGAGTTTCTGGTTTTTTTTTCTTTCTTTCTTTCTTTCTTTCTTTCTGGAAAAGCGATGCACGCCGAGATTGCACGTGCCGCATGCTTCTTCGATCGTCGGAAATATCTCTGAAGCGCGATAAAACGGGGCAAAGAGTATAACCTTATAGTCGTATTTTAATTTGACGTTCGTTATTTTATTGATTCGATGTAGGTATGATTGACGACTCGCGAGAAAAAAAAAAGGTATTCGCTTCCGTACGCTTGTATAACGCTATACGTGTACGTTTTCCTTTGCAGATAACGCAAGAGAGCAAACATGTGCGACGAAGAAGTTGCCGCGCTCGTGGTCGACAATGGATCCGGTATGTGCAAGGCTGGCTTCGCCGGGGACGACGCTCCCCGCGCCGTCTTTCCCTCGATCGTCGGCAGGCCGCGCCACCAGGGTGTCATGGTTGGTATGGGACAGAAGGATTCTTACGTCGGTGACGAGGCTCAATCCAAGAGAGGTATCCTAACGCTCAAGTACCCGATCGAGCACGGTATCGTTACCAACTGGGACGACATGGAGAAGATCTGGCATCACACGTTCTATAACGAGCTGCGAGTAGCACCGGAGGAACATCCGGTTCTTCTCACCGAGGCACCCTTGAATCCCAAGGCTAATCGCGAAAAGATGACACAGATCATGTTCGAGACGTTCAACACTCCCGCCATGTACGTGGCGATCCAGGCCGTCCTGTCGCTGTACGCTTCTGGCCGTACCACCGGTATCGTGTTGGACTCGGGCGATGGCGTCTCCCATACCGTACCGATCTACGAGGGATACGCTCTGCCGCACGCTATCCTCCGCTTGGATCTGGCCGGCCGCGACTTGACCGATTATCTCATGAAGATCCTCACCGAGAGAGGATATTCCTTCACGACCACGGCCGAACGAGAAATTGTTCGCGACATCAAGGAGAAACTTTGCTACGTTGCGCTGGACTTTGAGCAGGAAATGGCCACAGCAGCCTCTTCCTCCAGTTTGGAGAAGAGCTACGAGCTTCCCGACGGTCAAGTCATCACCATAGGTAACGAACGATTCCGTTGCCCCGAGGCTCTCTTCCAACCCTCGTTCCTAGGAATGGAAGCTTGCGGCATTCACGAGACCACGTACAACTCGATCATGAAGTGCGACGTCGACATCCGCAAGGACCTGTACGCCAACACCGTTTTGTCTGGCGGTACCACCATGTACCCCGGCATAGCCGATAGGATGCAAAAGGAGATCACTGCCTTAGCTCCGTCTACCATGAAGATTAAGATTATTGCCCCACCCGAGAGGAAGTACTCCGTATGGATCGGTGGATCGATTCTCGCCTCGCTCTCCACTTTCCAACAGATGTGGATCTCGAAGCAGGAGTACGACGAGTCCGGACCCTCCATCGTCCACAGGAAGTGCTTCTAAACGCGTTTTCGATCGCAATATTATCATTCCCCGATCCCTGAGACTTTGAGAAATGAGAGAGAGAGAGACAGAGAGAGAGAGAGAGAAAGAGAGAGGCTTTTGTCTCGTTTCGCAGGCGGACGTAACATCAACTTCCGCGACGATTGTCCTTTGGTTTCTCCGGGGCCAAAGGTAGCTTCTTTCAATTCGGATGTACGTGTTTAAGATACGCGAGTGAGGTAAACGCGTCCGATTAAACGAGAGGAGAGAGAGAGTGAGAGAGGGGGGGGGGGAGGGAGGGAGAGGAGCTTACGATGTATCTCGCCCTCCTTCCGCGATTGTTCCTCGGTCTCGGCGGCAACCCAATATAAATCGACGGCTCGTTCTTGCTCGTTTAAACGCGATCATTTTCCATCGTTTTTCATCGATTCGATATAACGATCTTAAACATTGTGCCCCGATTCCCAAATACCTTTTTCTACCTTGTCTTATATCGAGTCCTTTGTATAATATATTTCAACAACTTTGTGTCTAGCAAGTCGGTAGCACGTAGCTAAACATTCCTCGCGAGACACATCCTTCTCTCGATGCGAGAGCAGAACGCTTCTTTTCCGTTAGACTCGTCACTCCCCCGTAAACGTCGTACGCGTAAACCTCGATTGCCACTTTTCTTCAAGAATTCGAGCAAGAAACGGTTACGCGGATAACTCCGAGGTTTTTGTTTCGCGGGAAAGATCGTCGGTTACTCTTCCCGTGGACAGAGACGACGGACACACGATGGCAATCAACGTCGATGCATTCCGATCAATGTGTGATGTTTTTAAGAGATGCTTGCGTCAAAGCTCAACATACGTTGTACGTCATTCCGCGCAGAGAGACAAGCCTCCGACTTCTTACCTGTTTTCTATTATAATTTGCCTATCGTTGAGGGAAAAAATATGGCTTTTTTGTCTTCTTTCTTTTTCTTTTTTCTTTTTTTTTTTTTTTACACGATGGGGTAAACCGCTGATCCGGAAAGGTCTTACCAACGTTCGCTCAAACAAACGGAAAAAAGGCACCACGGTTTCGACCCCGTAAGCGTAGCCAAAGTATTATAATTTATTCCCATTGTATTGCGCAAGACATTCACACACACGTACACATCTTAAAGACTACTTTAGACTTATGGGATTATAAAATAAAAGTCTGAAAAACACATGATTGTGATTTGTGTCTTTTTTGAATTTTTTCCTGTTCGTCCTCACTCTCTTAGACATTTCGACCCTTTGAAACTAGTATATTGACTGCTAATTATATAAACTCCCGTATCCTCGTATTATCTTTTCCTCGTTCAATATGTTGCTCTTTGCACATTTTTCATATTGATATACACACGCGCGCACACACACATACATATATATGCATATATGTATACATTCTTGTGATGGTGTAATGCAAATTGAAATTTTATTCTCTCTTCCCCTGAACTGTCGGAAGACAGTGGTATTGTATGTATACTTGGAATTATCGAAGCTCACTATCAGTTTGCTTAGAAAAAGTTCTTTTTCCCTTTTTTGATCGCTTATAACTCGAAAGTTATCTGAACATTGATATTTTTACTAAAGAAAGATCACAAATTGGGGAGCAGATTGAGACACCTTATAACAAATTATATTAAGCGAGCCTGTAAAGAACCTTGCCTGTTTATATAAATTTGAAACTCCGAGTTTCAGAATTATTTAATAAAAAACGGGAAGAGACAAAAGTGTAAAAAGTTATATACATACATATAGATATAATAGATTAAGCGAAAGACTGTAGCTTACAGTTTCACGGAAAAGAAACGGGGGAATAATGAACAACTAAAAATAATTGAATAAAATAATCGCAAGTCGAGATGTAACAATAAGCTTGTTCCACGTTTAGATCATCAGGTGCAGCATGGTTTTTTTGTTTCTTGAAAATAGTGCAAATTTAAATTGGAATATGATTATTCAATTATATCAACGATTATCGATCATTTAAGCGAAAATACAGGCGTGTCACGATCGGTCAATTTAGCAACGTCGTTCGTTAACGATGTGTCTTTTATTCTGCTATCGGATATTTCGATGATTGGTGCTCCGTGCTTGCTCCGCAACGAAAACTCGATGATGAAAATTTTCAACTGAACTCAAGTTGAAAGTTTGAAAGGGAGAAAATTCTCTTGTTAAGCGCATACTATACGCACAGACATATATATTTATTATTTATTTGATTGATTTGGGGAATAAAGCATGTGGGTGCCGCATGTCAGCATTTTCGTGTTAAGCCCGGCCTACTCGCAGTTCGCGAAACGCAAGATACACGCACACATGTCAATATAACCTCTATACACAGAGAGATTAGATTGACATGTGACTGTGCGTGTCTTGCGTTTCGCGAACTGCGAATTATGTAGACCGGGTTCACCGGGCTTTACAGTCGCGTCATCGTCATCATCGTCAACGCAAAAGAATGAAACGTTCAATCGGTGATTATCCTTTTTTTCCGTTTGTCCGTGCGATTCGCATTCGCACGTGTGACTGTGAGAGAGAAAGGAGACGAGACACGAGACGAGAGGCGACGCGACGCGAGTGACGCAACGCAACACCCTCTAAAATCGCAATCAGATACGTTCTGCGAGTTTAGAGTTTAGAGCTGGCTCGACTCGAGAGAGATGCCCGAACAGAACGTTGGCGATCAGTATCCAACATGGGTAAGGATTAAGGAAAAGTCGGGCTTGAATCGTCTCCGTGCTCCGTTTCGCGATTGACAGCTCGCCAATTTATCGACCATAACCTCAGTTAACCTAACGTAAGTAAACAGTGGATTTGATGGTTCGTTCAAAGGGATCTCATCTCCATCGTAGGTCGGGCTCGTGTACGTCTTCAATCTCATCGTTGGAACAGGCGCTTTGACTTTACCCGCTGTATTCAGTCGAGCAGGATGGGCACTTGGATTAAGCGTTATTTTAGTGTTAGCGTTTATCAGGTACATATGCAGAAGCAACTTTTTCCATCGTTTACATCTAAACTTGTTTCGTCTCACGCCTCTGAATTTCTTCTTTCGTATAGTTTCATCACGGTTACATTTGTCATAGAAGCAATGGCATCTGCCAATGCTATCGTTACGTGGAGGCATATCCAGCATAGAAAACGAGTAAGTGTTTTCCAACTTGTTTTACTTGCTAGCTTTCTATAAAAGACAGTCGTTTGACGAGCGTTCTACAGAGACAATTTTAGAAAGATGCAGGTAAAGGTAATGGCAAGGTAACGATAGCTAAAGACACATTTGATTGGCAATATGTGCATGGTGCAGCATCACCTTGTAATACTGCAAATTGAAATACTTTTCAGGTCTTACGGACAGTAGGTGAATCTGGTCCTTCCAATTCAGATTCAGAGGACACTCCGTTGGTAGCTTCTCTCTCGACTAGTCCAGATCGTTTGGATATGACTTGTAGATATTATGTGATTCAGGATAAAATAGAGATGGGCCAGATGGCATCCATTTTTTTCAATAGATTTGGCATTACCCTATTCTACTTGTGTTTCGCCATATATCTATATGGAGATTTAAGCATTTACGGTGCAGCGGTCGCAAAGTCAATAGCCGATGTCGCCTGCACTTATTTGCCAAAAAATCTTACGTGCAACGACACTATACCAGATACTGAGCTTTGCTGGGAAGGTCCTGCGTTTAATCGACTGGATGCATATAGAATATTCCTGGTACGTCTCTGGTTTGTAAAAAAATTTCACTGCTTTTAATATTCACACACGCACATATTTTGGCACTTTCAATTTTGCGAGATTAAAGCGTCAATATAGTGATATTGATTGTTGCGCTGTTTCTATTTTCAGACCATGTTTGTATTATTATTGGGCCCGTTTGTATTTTTCAACGTCCAAAAGACCAAGTATCTTCAACTACTGACTTCTGTAATGCGATGGCTCGCATTCACTATAATGATCGTGTACGCTTTAAAAAATCTCTTTGTGCACGGCGCTCGTGGCGATCCACCTGTCGCGAGTTTAGCCGGTAAGCTATACGATTGACTAATGAATACATCGTTTATTTACATGATTGCTAAATACCCTGCTCAAAAAATTTAGGGCATAACCTTTTTTCAGTAAATTATTGCCCATTTTTTTAACTGTAATTACTCAGCGAATAATTAACGTAAAAAAAAGTTTAAGAAAAAGGTTTTACAGGGCAAACTCTCTACTATAAAGTGCTTTTATTCAACTTTCATTCAGGTTAATACTCAAAAGTATATAATCACAGTTCAAAAATCGGCAAAAATTTACTGACAAAAAGTGATCCGGGTGATCCCTTAATTCTTTTGAGCAATGTAGATTAATGCCATTAGATTATAATAAATTACAATTGCGAATAAGTCAAGTAATACTGTTAATCTCCATTTTAGGGATTCCCAGTCTTTTCGGTGCTGGCGTTTACTCCTTCATGTGTCATCATTCATTACCGGCTTTGGTAGCGCCAATAGCGAACAAGTCTAAACTAAATCGATTTCTAGCTCTCGATTACACCCTAATCGCTCTCTTTTATTTATTATTGGCTCTAACTGGCATCTTTGCCTTTGAGCGTTTGGATGATCTTTATACCTTGGATTTCGGACCACGCGGTTTGGGTGATTGTTCCAAGAGTGACAATATTTTTATGCTCCTTATGGAATATTTCCTAGCACTTTTCCCAGTATTCACTCTGAGTACCAGTTTTCCCATTATAGCGATTACCCTCCGAAATAATTTGCAATCACTTTTTTTAAAAGAGGATACATTTTACACTTTATGTCTTCAGAAACTCGTCTTCCCCATCTTGGCAGTAGTACCGCCGTACCTGATCGCGATGACTACCAAAGATCTATCGATATTAGTTGGTATCACAGGCTCGTACGCTGGAGCAGGAATACAGTATTTAATACCTACGTTCCTGGTTTATTACGCCAGGAAAAAGACCAACAAGGTCATCGGCCTCGGGGTTATTAATAAATTCGCAAGTCCCTTCTCGGGCAGGTGTTGGTTAACTTTCGTTGTGGTATGGGCTATTACTTGTATGATTTTAGTGTCGGTCAATTTCATACAAGTGCATTTGCAATCTTGGATCAGTCAATAACAAAATGAAAATTATATATTTATATCGTAATCGAAAGAGATTTTGATTTTTGTACTGTAGGCTCTATCAGAGACAAAATATGCAGGATGTTTATGAAAGGCGACACTATGTATCTTCATTGATACGTTACAAAACTTATCAACAGCAAAACGATGTATGGATCAGTGAATGGACCGCAGAATCACGCAGAATTATTAAAGCAGCAATTGGTTGATCGATATTGTCGATTGTATCGGGGTATTTAACCCCGCACGCGAACCGAATAACGACGACTAAATAAGCACGGGATGAGAGCGATGATGCTGTACTGTAACGTGACTGATTCGTAAGCCTGTGGAATTTTTCCCAACATGAGATACCGATAAGTGTAAGGTGTAAGGTGATCGTTATTTGTGGCAGGATACACTCATACGTACGTGTGACAAACCGACAATACTTCGGTAAAAGTCAAATATCGAATAAGTTTAATATTGGGGATACAGCAATGTAGAGAACTGTAGAAAAAAAAATGTTTATCTTTATACGTACATATATTTTACTTTTGTAGAGTCGTCCCGGGAGTCGCCGGGACAGATATGCGTGATTTCTTTATCGTATGGAGATTCTATACTAACGAACTGCGTCTTTATATTTAAACTTTTTTTTTTATACGTTAAGGTAATCCCTCATGTTTGTGTATTTATAATAAAATAATGTGTGGTAGCGACGATAGCAAAGGTATGATATTACGATGTTTTTTTTAAGATTATATTTTTGTACAAGATACGTATGAAACTGCCAAAAAGGTATTTGCAGCATGTCCGCCACATCTGTGTACCTGTGCAAGTGTAGTGTACAATGAAGAATATTGCGGGTGTTATATGTATATATTCCAAAAGCAATTAAAACGGATAATAATAAATAGTTGATTATACAAGTCTCTCTATCGATTTATTCGCACCAATACGCACACACACACGCACACGCGCGCGCATTTCTACATTCTTACATTTATTTGAAATCGAGATCTGCGTAGCACAGACCTTAACACAGATATATTTCTCTTCAAGATTTCAACGATACCAGATAGCACGATTAAAGCGCGATAAAAGCTATTTTCGACAAAATTTAATGTCCCTGATCGAGTAAATTAGCGTGGAATACATTACATTGCCCTTGTTACATAGGCACAGTATCTGTAAAATCTTGAATATTATGAAGCAATGTTATCTTTACGTATATCTGTGTGACAACGGATTACAGTAATAATATTAAAATAAACAAAAGATGAATCTCGATACTCTTATTCATTTAGAATTGCTCGGTGAAGTTGGTTTATCGCAATAATTATTTGTTTTCGAATAAATTTCGTAAGAGGACCATAGTATAGGTGTAATTGTGCACTTGGTAAAAAATTACATGTTTGATCAATTTTCAATAATAAAAACAAAAATTTGGCGCGTTGCAATCACTGTAAAAGAAAATTTAAAAAAGTTGTACTGTTCTTGCTGTTTTTTACGTATGTGGAATTACCTCATACGCGTACGAGAATGTGTCGTATGTGTACGAACGTAAGTGAACACTTTGGAGTGAGAATACATGTTATTGATTTATACCCTGCACGATTCGGGTACATATTTACAATAAATAGCATTTTCGTGCACTTGTACGATTTGATTTCTCTTTTTGCTTTCTAGCGGATTTCTCTTTTTGCTTTCGAGCTCCCTACTAGATTGCAAGCTGGTATCGCAGTGAGATTAGATGACACACATCTCCCTACTCCAACACTGGGTACATTCGAACATTAGCTTGTACTATTATAATTATCCTTTTCTTTCATTCGTCAGTCTTTAACATTGCGAATACTCCAGATGTTTATCTGTTGATATACAACATTGTCAAAGTCTCGTAAATTTACTTTTTAACTGACAGTGAACTTGATTTGAAATTAGATTTTGAGATATGTCTTCGTGTCTCGGCATTAGCTTAAATCACGAGATAACAATGTGTAACGTATAACATAGGTAATTAACACGAGCGATATATTCTTGTCTCACTTTTTCTTTTTGGTCAATTGAAAAAAGTGCTCGAATAGCTTATACAAGAACAAAGATGCATATCACGTATCGTCGCATGTGTAACAACCGAATTTAATCGCACGTAGATCTCAGAGAGCATAATGGCTAGACTCGATACATTTTGTAAATGTTAATTTTTGCAGGAAATCCTTCATAGACTGTTGATCAGAGTTTATTGTGAAAAAATCCGTGTAAAGAGATCAAAGACTTATTTAATCTAACAATTCGACGAAACGAGTTAATTCGTATGTCAAGTAATACTGATGAGCTCGCTCTCTCTCTCTCTCTCTTTCTCTCTCCCCCTCCCTTCTTTCTACAAATTAGACTAGGTTACTCGTAATTATTTAAATAAGGACAGTGTGTATCCTCGTGACCCACGCACTCTATTACCGGATCGTGCGCGCTGTCCCACATTCCTGGACCACATTGTCGGCATAGTCCGGCCAATGTGCAAGGTAAGCGCACAAGCTGACGGAAATGATGAAGCAGGCCACGTGCCTTTCGAAGTATAACGTTTCCGTCCATATACATGGCCAATGAACTAAAATGCAACAACATTTCGTCCGTTCGGAGATCTTGGGCGATTACGTCGTCCGCGTAAACGCACATTATAGCAAGGCAAAGAAATAAGTGGAAATGATCTGTTAAGTAATTGACCCAGCAGGCTTCCCACATGAGCAACGCTGTCTCGGTCGGAAATTCTCTTTTCAAGCATCTGCAACGAGAGAAAAGTGAGCTATATATATATATATATATATATATAAAGCTATATGAAGTCTACAAGTGTAGTTTCTGCTGTTACGCATATATTGTATGTGGGTGCACACACAGTTGTACGACTACGTACAAGAGTATCCACCGATGACAAAATAGAAGTTCCAAGGCATCCGCGTGATTTTGAAGATGCGCATAAAAATCTGGTACCATAATTCTTACTAATTCTCGAAGATAACAGAGATTTCTGTCCATATCTGTATCGGTCGGAGTGCACACGGCTACCGATCTTTGCATCAAACCCGCGAAACACCAGAAGGCCTCGATTTCAGAGTTGAGTTCGGCTAGTAATGGAGCTAGGAGATCGGACATTCCTTGAGTGTAACCCAAGCGGCAATTGTATACCGCGTAGTTGAGTAAAATGTTCCTGCGTGAAAAAACGGGAGAAAAGGAGAAAATGACAATAAATAATGACACACGTGATACGATCCACGCAATATTGTAAATTCAGGGATGGGGGAAGAGAGAGGCACTCTGGAGCAACTCGTCTCGATACTCACTTCATTACTTCGACGTTGGGATTACCCTCACCGGCGTAATACGGGTTAGCTCTATCCGTGCGGACAACATCTTTCTCCACTATGCACACCACGTTTCGCCAGAAATGCTCGGCTTGTTCCGGATTCATACTCAGTCTGCGCTTCTGTATCTCCTCGTACTCTTGCCGCCTAATGGCGTCGATCTGCTCTCTATCGTCGTACGTGCTTTGATAAGAATAACAGTGCAATAGGAAGGGCCAAACGATCTTTCGTAGTGCCGGTTCCAAACCCCCGAAAAATATTCCCTTACGAAGAGCAAGGTCATCCTCCACCTGGCCCCGTTCATTCAACAAATCTTTCCAAGCTAACGACGTGATCATCGGCACTTGACCTTCCTCGGGATGCAACTCGTCCCGGCTTACTTCCGGCCGGCATACCATAAAATGCCTGCGCAACGTACAACATATACGCGTCACGGTTGTATCGCAACGCGACGTAAATATCACGACATAAATCGTTATGCGACAGAGAAAGCGAAAATGCGCGATGCAACTTTTTGTATTTTATGCAATTTATCCAGATCTAATTATGCCTGACCTGTACGGCAGAGTCTCCTCCGTATCCGTGCTTAAACGCGGATAAAGCAATTGATGCCATTGATGTAGAGTGGCGGCTAGCCGATCTAAGCCGCCGTGATGGAAATGCAAGATCTTGTACTGGCTCTCTCTGCTCGCCACGACCAGCTGACCGCAGGTGCAAGCAGGATCGGCGAAAAACAGCCTCAAGGATCGCATCTCGCTGAGATCCACCGAGAATCTTCTACATCGATGCGCTCTACGTAGCGTCACTGGTGACGCGGTCGCGCTCTCGGGAAAGACAAGATTGTGCTGTAGCGCTAAGAGCTCCGGAGACCTCATCCACGATGGCATTTCTTCCGCTACAATACAAATAACAACGTCATTGCCTAGTATCATTAATCATACGCGAATATGGGTCGGTTATATTATATATGGCCGAGTTATATTCAAAAATCGTTTCTACGTACTGTCGGTAGGTACCGAGATTGACAAGCTACACGTCGACGTTAACGACAGGCTGCGACTCTTGACGCTCGTATCGTCGCGAAGCGAGAAGCGTGGCTCCTCGTCGATGCTCCTGGCGTCGTTGTTAAAGTCCCGCTCCTTCTCATTGCTCGAACCTACTGACGCCGGATTCGGACGTTTCTCGGCCTCGGTCTCGGTCTCGGTCTCGACAGTCTTGGCATTTTCATCGTCGCGACCAATCGTGCTTGGGTCTCGACGGCGTAGAAAATTATAGCCGTAACGGTAGCCGGAACCGGAGCAGACGCGTTCACAGTCTCCGCAGTCGACGGGCTCCTTCGCCTCCAAGCACACATCTAGTTTTCCATTTCCGTTATCGTTCTCGCCGTCGTTTTCATTTTCATTCTCGTTCTCATTTTCATTCTCCAGCTCGTGTCTCACGTCCGAAACGTTGAGGGAATCGCCGCAGCGTGTCTTGTCGGAGATTCGGGAACGCGGAGAGATTGGATCGTCGTCACGATGCGCGGTAGCGTTCCTGGCACTCAGATTCTCCAACGCGGTGGGATGCTTGCGCAATGTGCTGTTGGGTATCCAACTTAGGTGCAAAGTCGGCAAATTCGAATTTTTGTTCAGCTTGCAAGTTATAGTCATATATCCAGGATGATGCACCACGTCGGCGTGCTGTCTCATTAACGTAGGAGGGTGCACGCAGACGTTGTTTTTGCAGAACAATGCCTCACCGTCCTGATAAATGACGCGACGGTTGTCTTGGCCGCATTCGCCAAGAATGTAGCTGCTCGCTTTTCTCAAAATGTTTGGGAGAGGCATCGTCGTTGTCGACGTCGCGGCGTCGTCGAGAGATTACTGACAATTACTCCGTTACGCCGTTAGTTTTTGCTGTAAAAAAAAGAGACACGTGAGCAAGAAAAACGCTCTCAGTTGATGAATTCTGAAAAACCCAAGTGTTGGTTAAAATTTAGTAAAATTTAGTTGTTTACACTTACTCGCGAGATTCGACTCTTTTGCCTCTGCTAGAGTTCCAGACAGTCTGGAGTCCGGTCCGGGCTATCCTCGTTCACGAGATTCTGAAATCGCGGGCCATATCGACGTTGCAATCGAACGGAGCCACGCGGCGATGAACGTAGGACGGAGGGTGAGCATAATCGAATAAAAAGCACCGGATCTCTCGGATGGACTCGCCTCAGAGAGTCCACGATGAACCGACTTGTAGTCTCCTTTCTGCTCCTTCCGCCTTCCGCGTAGCGTACGATACACGCGTGCTTATACTTACGCACGCGACGGCGTTATCGCCTCGATTAGCCTCATTACATACGGGGGAACGTCGACAATGCGTATTCGCATCGTGGTAACGTGCGCATCCCGTTGCCAAGTTCTGAATTCTATTCTACGATAACGTAGCCGTGTACTTCGGCCCCGAATCGTAAGACTTTGCCATTCTTCACCGAAGGGGATGGGTATTCTCGAAAACTCCCGATATCTCGATCGAATTAGTACCGCTGAAACATTTTCTCGTGCTGCATAAGTAAAATTGAGATCATCCGCACCAGCAATCAACGTCTCTGCTTCTAAATCGCTGATGTTCAAGCGTCACTGCTTAGTGCGCGAGCGCCGTCGCCGTCGCCGTCGACGCCGCTTGGCTTGGTCGCTACCGCGCAAGTACGTCGATGTCGATGAAATCCGCTAAAATCTACAGACGCAGATTTACTTGCTACTCTACAAGTTTTCCATTTCGGCTTGATCTTCCAACATGCATACACATCTGATTATACGACGACGGGAACAAAGAGCTTAGCTCAGCAACGGATGTATACGAGAAACGCGGGGGGGTATCCTCCTTATCCTAGATCAATACTTGTGTTTGATCGTGGAACCTACCGCCCCTCCTACTACTCGACCCGCTGACATTTCGCTACATTTCTCTCTCATAAGCCTCATAGGCCATTTTTATCGATTCTTCACCGTTTTCATAATTAATACCGTAACGCACGAAACTGTGCACATCACACGTGTTTCGCGTTTATTCATCTTTGATCGAGATAACTTTTCTCCCATGTACATATAACTTCTTTCTCTCTCTCTCTCTTTTTTTTATTCGAAGTTAATCTATCAAGTCACATCAATTGTAGAATTACAACGAATCTCAATCATTTTATTTCATTAATTCAGAAAATTTTTTAATCACGTAAATTTTATTGGTATGATGTATTTATAATGTAATTTTTCAAGTAATGTAAATGCACGATATAGTTTTGTGTCAACACTTGTTCGAAAGAGAGAAAGAGAGAGAGGGAAGGGGATGGAGGGGGGGGGGGCGAAAGAGAGAGAAAATATATACCAAACGTATCATGGAAAAACAACCACCCGTGATCCATCGTTTCCATGCTGTATGCTGCAACGCTTACAACGATTGGCAAAATTAGCAAAGTTCATAGTTAAAGAGTATCTTGTGGTCGTTGCTAAGAACCAGTCCTGACTTAGGTCCGCGTTTAAGATACGATATCGTAGAATATGCTGAAAAATGAAAGTCCTCTTGCAGATAACCGTTTATCAGCAAATGCCCTACGATAGCTTCCGCGGTTTCTCTCGCAAAGTTTGGCACGGGCACGTTAGATACTCGTAACGACGAGGCGCCTTTACCGTACCAAGCGTCTATGAGCTTCAATGCGGTTAATCGTACTTGGTTTTGCACGGCTTTAGTCATAATTTGATACACGTGTCTGCAATATCGCACTATGTCCATCTGCTTTCTAACGTTAGGTTTTCTACAATGATCACACATCTCGGCGCAGTCGTCTCCTTTCCAATTTTCTTCAAAGTGCGTCGCTATTAAACTCCGTCTACAGGACGTTTGATCCAAGCAATACGCCACTACCTTGTACAAGTTCTGCAGTCCGACTTTATCTTGAAATACCATGGTACTCAATTTAAATACGTCCGCTAATCTATAGAGCACGAGACACACCGACTTCTTGCCATCTCTTCCCGCTCGACCACTTTCTTGATAAAAATTCTCCATCGACTTTGAAACGCAATGATGAATCACGAATCGCACGTCCGGCTTGTCGATGCCCAATCCGAAAGCGATAGTGGCGACTACCGCTTGATACTTGCCCGACATCCATTTCGAATAAACTTCTGACCGGTAGTTGGCTTCGAGCATCGCGTGGTAGCATCCGACTTTGATACCTCTGTCTCTCAAATCGGTCGTCAATTGTTCTGCATCTTTAATCGTAGTCGTGTAAATTATACCTGACTTGCCGCTAAATCGATTCTTCAACAGATTCTCTATCATCGCGAGGCACGCCTCTTTGTCCGCCGGTTTGCGACGAACCTCGTAATATAGATTGGGCCTATTGAACGAGGCTCGTAAAACTAGACAACCACTGATGTCCAGCATTTTCTGCACGTCTACAATGATCTTAGCCGGAGCCGTCGCGGTGAGACCTAAAATCGGTATTCCTGGGAACATGGATTTTAGTACTCCCAAAAACTTGTAGTCGGGCCTGAAATCGTGACCCCACTGACTGCAACAATGTACCTCGTCGATCGCAAACCGTTCTAGATGCCCCAACTCGTATGCTTTTTGCAGCTTGCTCATGAAGCGATTGGACTTGGCCATGTATTCCGGCGTCACGTAAATCAATTTGAGAGGGGAGCTTTTATCCACCAGGGCCGTCATAATCGTCTTGACGCTCTCCTTATCAGCCTTTGCGCACAGCATGTTGGCCTTTATATCGAGTTTACGCAATCCGTGCAGCTGATCCTCCATCAAAGATATCAATGGTGAAACAACTACCGTTACACCTTCACTGATCACAGCCGGCAATTGGTAACATAAACTCTTACCACCGCCCGTAGGCATGATCAATATAACATCTTCCTTGGACATGATCGCGTTCATAGTCGGTAACTGCAACTCTCGTAGTTTCTCTATCTCGAATACGTCCTTTAACGCTTTCGCGAGCCTTGCGGACCAAGCGAAGTCTTCATTGCCCCAATTTCTCTTGGACAGAGAAAAACTTTTCTTTAAAAGAGCATCGTCCCGCAACTTGTCTTTGCGTTGCGTCAACAACTTTTTACGATCTTGCAACTTCTGCAGCTCGTTCTCAACTTGTTGTAGCTCGTAATCAATGGCAGCTATCTCGTCGTCCTCCGTAGCTGAAATTTTTTCGACAAGTTCTTAGTACTCGTAATTCTCATTGACAAAAAATTAAGCTAAATAAACGACTCTATACTCTATTTTGCTGAAACTAGAAACTAGAAACTACCGCTAGAAAGTAGCAGTACTTGTCCTGCCTGCCGATCCAGGCGAGTCGCGAGTTTCGAGATTGAAATTAATTAACAACGCTTTTCCATACTCGTGACCGCAATGAGTTTAGTACGTTCTTCTCTTGCAAATTGCAAAAGTAAAGAATGGAGAATGAAATTTTACAATTGTTACAATATCTACGATATATTATATAGAACCAACCTTGACATTCATTCTCGCATTCCTCGTCGTCCAGCGTAATAATCATGTCTCTTGTCGAGTCGCTATTAGACATTTCGATCGATTATATCTCCTCCCGTTGAATATCGAGAATTACGAAATATAATGAATCGTGAAGGCACAACTGTATTTGTGAACATGAAACGATTATTATTAAGTACAGCTTGGCTATGATAGGTTTATATGATGTATCGTATGTATGTACATATTTTTACGTTACACGTGTGTAAGATCCTAACCTACAAACCTAACTACGCGATCATTGGCCTGCACCGGTCTCGTGCGGCGTGCTCGTTTGTATGTAGTACCTATCCTCCAACTGTAAACTGATAACAGTGATAACTACCGCAACACGCATCCGATGATACCTTGGTTGGTGGGATAGTATTTAGCGCATAGGTGCTGGCTGTTATCAGCTGTACTACATACATATGTATACGTACCGACCGATCGACAACAAGGCGGCTGCTAGGTAGTATGGGGAATGATCAGCTGTTTTTTTATCAGCTCCATCGCGCACGACTCTCTCTATTCTTCCACGATATATCTTGTCAGGACTGGTTAGTTGTTATACATAGATATGTCAGCAGGCAAGTAGAAAATAGCAATTAGCGAGGGGCGAGAAGCTTTGTATGCACAAAATAAATGAAACAGAGTTTTTTCTTATTTTTACTTTTGTCATCATGTTTCGTCAAGTTGCACTACGTGTGTGTCCAACATGGCTCGAGAATAAACTCACGTCTATGTATTTCAGGGGTACGTTTTATACATTTGTCCGTTCGCAATATATCGTTATCTTGTTATATCGCGCTATCATTCATAGCTCTCTCTATCTATCGCTGTGTCATTCTCGCCACCAGTGGTTACTCCAGCCTTACATCGCCGCGTTATACATCGTTCTTTTCTTTAATTTATCTATCTCTACCAGTGTTTCTCATTCTACATCTTAATCATTAATATTAATATTTTCACACTTACTAGAGCACGTTGTAGAATGTAGATAAATCACGCTCGCCGTTCAAAAGAATCGCGCGTATAATTGATATATACTAATACTACTTACATATTTAAGTTACACTTTGTACTTTTTTAAACGTTTCAGCAAAGAGCGTTTCTTTCAACGGCAGATCGCACAGTCTAAGCGCAACGGTGGATCATTCCAACATGAAAGTACAAATATTACCAGCGCTTCAAGACAATTATATGTACTTGGTACGTATGCTGCTGTTTATCTTAAAACGTTCCTACGATCATCCAACCAGCCTGAATAATGTCGAGAAATGTATATACACAATTCTTTATACATCACCTCCTGTATCTTACGCAGGCAAGATGTATAACTCTAAAAAATGTTTGAAAAATACCTTTCTCTTACTTCCTCCTTTAATATTGTATATAATTTTTGTTTGGAACTTTGTGTAAGATTATCGATGAAGCAACGAAGGAGGCTGCCGTCGTAGATCCTGTCGATCCAGAAGCCGTAATTACAGCCGTTCGACAAAATGATGTCAAACTGACAAAGGTTTTAACTACTCATCATCATTGGGATCATGCCGGAGGAAATGCTAAACTATCGAAAAGCTTCACTGATCTTGCGATATATGGCGGGGATGATAGAATAGAAGCCATTAATTGTAAAATTACGCACAACGATACGTTCAACATTGGCAATCTGTCGGTCAAGTGTCTCGCGACACCTTGCCATACGCGTGGGCACGTTTGTTACTACATTACGGGAGAAGGAGGAGAAGGAGAACATCCACCATCCGTGTTCACAGGTAAAGCTAAAGAGAGTATGACAAAGAGAAAATACTCAAATAGCAAGTATACTAAATATAATAAACAGATGTTTAACCCATTTAAAAGGAGATACGCTCTTCGCTGGAGGCTGTGGGAGGTTTTTCGAGGGTACCGCAAATCAAATGTATAAGGCACTCGTCGAAATTCTAGGCTCTTTACCTGAAGAGACGGTAGGTAGGTTACTCGAGCCAAATTACAATGGGCCAACGTGGTTCTCAAACGTTTATACCTTGCAGAAGGTGTATTGCGGACACGAATATACAGCCAACAACCTCAAATTCGGCTTACACGTGGAACCCGAAAATCTGGCAATTCGACAAAAATTAGATTTGGTCCATACTCAACGTGCTAATAATCTTCCAACAGTGCCTAGCACTATTAAAGACGAAAAGCTGACAAATCCGTTTATGAGAGTGCACGAATCGTCCGTCATGAAACACGCGCAACAAAATGATCCCGTTCAGACAATGTCGTACCTAAGACGCGAAAAGGACAACTTTAAAGCTTGATTCTCGACAAAACGTCTTCCTTTTTATATTTATCAAGTATTTACATTGTTGATGTCGATGAATTTAAAATGTAAAACATACAGAAGGTGGCTAAATGAATATCGAACGTGTCACGCTCGCACGTATGATATAATATAACGCATCCTATAATTATATCCTTAAATAAAAAAAAATATATACCCATAGACTTTTTGCTTATTCTTTTCTCATTAATTTGTCGCTTATTCAATTTTCTGAATTCCAATTAGAATTTTACTTCTCTTATGTTCACGATACTGTACAACCCTATCACTGCGTCAAAATTTCTAAGTTATTTCAATTTCTTGGCCTCACATTGTCTATTTGTATCAATCGATATATGTATTTACTGGTACATTCGCAATAGACGTACTCGCGAATCGAGAGGAGATACACGAGGCTACCTATAAACGGCCATAAAAGTGGTTCCTCTAATTTTACTATCATGCCAGCCTTACAAAGCTTTGATCACAAGAAGGATAAATCCTTCGTAATCTATATCCATTACAGCTAAATATTACGTTATATTTAGTGACATTTGTTGACATGGCGCATCTTCAGTCTTCTTATTATATATTTGCATCTCGGCAACATATTTCTCCTTGGATCTCTCATACATGTCGTAATATACCTGAAATGCGATACAAGGTATCAACAATGTACTTGACAATAGCGGAAAGTGAGAATGCAAAATATATATCAAAGTCAATATCAGTCAAGTATGTACATAACGTTAAATTTTACTTTTTTATCCTCAGAGCTGAGAGACTTCCAAGTGGTTGCGAGTTGCCTAGTAAGTTCTTGTTTACTAGGCTCCGGTTCTCCAGCTAAACGTTCCATCACACGAGGTCTTTGCTCTTGACAAAATTGAAAGAAAGGATTAGCGGGTCTCTTCGGTGCGTTTGGATCAGCTTTCGCGCCCTTTCTCTTCGTTCCTTTTCTGGGTTTCTCCTCTTTAGCACTGTGAAAGGTACCTTTCCCTCCTTTCTCTGACTTTGGAGTTGTTTGAAACACACTGTTCTCTTCGAGCACACCCATCGGAGCTTCCCGCCAACGATCTCCATGTCGATCCAATCGATCGATCAAGAATCTACGATCAATAACACAGACGATGAAAACATGCGGATTCTTTGACCATCGAACAAACTAATTTAATTTAACCTGCCTGCGAAACTAACTTTTTCTCTTTCCTTGTTCGTCGAAGGAGCTTCCTTACTTTCTGGATTCTGTAGACCAATCTTTCATTTTCCTATCGTTTAAAGAATACTATGTAGTTTGAAGAAAAAAGTAAATAAAAACCGTCGATAATGACTTCGTTCCAGAAGGGAGAGACTTAACCTGTTGTAAGACTTCGCATCTCTCCAACAGTAATTGGTATTTTCTCTTGTAAATATCAAGCTCTTCTGGCTCCACATCATATTCGGACTCATCGGACATCGTAAATATGAAATAATTTACAACGAAACACGCGCGTAAGAGAAACGAAGAGAGAAAAACCAGTTACTAGTTAACTACAAACACTTTACACCGTAATATAAACACCACATAATTGGGTGCATGGTGCATACAGGGATGCAGAGCGGAAAATAACCATTTCAAGGCGCTCCTGCCATGGTGCAATCAGAGAGAAACCTGAGAGAGGCCATCCCGGTCTTTTTCGTGTGTTGCTGTGTTGCATTTTCCGACGCGCCGCCTGAGAAAGTGCAACTCAACTACGTCGTATCGCTCGGTAACCGCACATGGTTTGCGTCCGTGCTAATGTCTGAACTAGCCAGCTGGAGGGGATATTATTCTGGCCGCGGCGGCCGCGCGCTCGGCCGGCCCGGGAGTTGCATCTGATTGCACCTGTTGATGATATTTTTACCTTATTTTATATTATATTTTTTTTTACCTTATTTTATATTATATTTTTTAAATATAGATAAATCGCGCAAAAATATCTGTTCCGCGTAAACAGCCACCGTCGCCTCGATATCCCTCACGTACTGACTGTTACTACGTTTATGCGAGCGTTACTTCTGTAGTAACTTACGATACGTCCGTCGCGTAAACGGGATTTTGTAGTAACTTACGATACGTTACTCCGCGTAAACGAATGATATATCGTAAGTTACTACAGAAGTAACGCTCGCGTAAACGTAGTATGAGGGAGTTACGTAATCGCCAGGCTAATGATCACTACGTGTTCGCGATATATGTATAACACTCGCGTTTCGAGAGACAGCTACGTCGACCAGACACCACCGAGACAGAACGCAGAACGTAGAATACAGCCAGTTAAACCTGTGAAAGTTAACGAAAGATTCGGCATACGTTGTCTTTTATTGTTCGTTGAAAGTTTTCGGTATTTTTGAACCGGCCGCGGTCGCGCGCGTAGGCCGTGACGTCATGCGCCGCTCCGCGCCGCCGGCGCGGCGGATCGATACGGTGACGGTGATGTAGTAGGCAGTGTAGGCACCTGCGCAGTCCGTACTAGCGGCGTGACCGTTGAACTCGAAAGCTCCGTACCTCGAAGATCGGCGCGTTTTCAACGTTGTTTCTGGCGATGAGCGGACTTGTCACTTGTTTCCGTCAACGCTCGGAGTAGTGTTACCTGCGTGAGTGACTCAGTTATCATTCTTCCGAGGAATCTCGCACCGGTAGGAAGTGTTTGTGCTTCGCGCGCGCTCGTCACCGACGTCACCGTGCTTCGTGCTGTTTTCGGAACGCGCTCGTTTCGGTGATTGGCATTCCTGCTTCCTCGTTTCGCGGGCCGCGGGAATACGCGCTACGCGATCGAGTACCGCGCGCCGTGTGCCGTGTGTGTAAAACAATTTAGAGTGTATGAGGTGTTTATCGGAATGAACGTGTCGCGCGACGCGCTCACTCGAGACGTCGAGGCGGAGGTATGTATGAACGACTTGCTTTGCAGTTTCGCGCTGTGATATTCGCGAGTGACAGTCGCTCCTCCCGCCATGTCTGGATTCGCGAAGAACGCTGACGTGCCGGACGTGTCGTGTGATTTAGCTCCGATTCTCTCCGTAGGGAAAAAGGGCTGAGAGATATTGATCGTGTCAAGTGATTCCGGTGATTCGATCGGTGATAACGGAACGCCGCGATACATCGCCCGTTCGTGAATGCTTCATAATCTCGATTTACGAGTTTGGTAACGTATTGTGCGTGCGATATTTAATTTCAACAGCGTATCTCTGATTGACGAAGTGCGTGTCTTTATTAACCGTCCGCTCGACTTGCGTAGTATCGCGCCAAGTTGCCAACATCTCGGAACATTTCGTCGCCCATTATTACGTCGCCCATTAACAACGTAACGCCGGTAACGCGGTGATGAACGCGGAACGACGCGGAGCACGCGGCGTCGCGACTCCTTCAAATTTGCATGAAAAATTCATGTTACCCGCTTTTATATTACAGAGAAAAGTACTTTTCCTTCCCACGGGTACGACCTTGGCGAGGTGGGAAGGCTCCAGTACCCAGTACGAGGATTTTACCCAAGCAAAACTCTTGTTCTGCTTGGATAAAAATTCAAAGACGGGGAAGCTAACGTACCCTCGTCCGCCGATTTAATTGAATGAACGAACCGCAGCCGGTTCGTCGCGTTTGCTTCGGGAGTGCCGTTCAAGTAATCGGACTAAAGGACTTTTCTAAACGGGAGTGCCGTACAGTATCGCGCGAGAAAGACTTTTAATGAAATTAGTCCGCGCGCGATTGTAGTTTATTATCCGCGAGTGTTTCTCGCGAGTGTCCTGTGCGGTGAGACGATGAAGCCTAAGTATCCCCTGAGAGGAGGAGGAGGCCTGGGAGAGGCATCGGGCACCGGCGGAGCAACCTTGGGGTGAGTATCATCTCTTTATATCTGCGTAAAATTAAAATAGTTCTTTTTTATTTATTCGAATTGTTTTATCTCGATAAATTAAAAATAATTAGAGAAAAAGATTATCTAAAATTTTACTCTTATAAAGATCGTTTTCGGTGAACACAGATGATTGTGTTGCTAAATATTTTATTGAAAAACAAATTAATTGCGCGTAAAAATTATATTTTGAAAAATGTTGATTATTTTGAACGC